GCAAGTTATATTGTTACTCATTGTCCCGTTGTCGTATCGTACTTTCATAGAGCTAAGATTCAATTTCTAGGGACCGCAAGGCCACGCCCCTCGCTGACCAAAAAAACGTCGTATATTTCGTTGCATTTTTTTGACATTTCATTGTTGTTTATGCAGTTTCCCTGAACCGTTTTGGGAAAAAATTGAGGGAAACATACAATCGGCTATGCTCTACAATTCTACATAAGAGAAATAGCTGTAAATAAAAAAAGAATCGGTTAAAATGACGTTTTTTCGCGACGCCTTTGTGCGAAAAAGTGGAAAAAAACGTTGAATACTTACAATCCCGCTCGTAGGCAAGTTATTTTTTTTCTTATTTTGTTAAGCATGTAAAAATACACCATATAAGTAAAAATAAAAAGATTCCTGCTTGTGCTTTCAAATATCGAAGCGTCGGAAAAATCGCAACTTTCGAAATTCGGGAACTTTGGCATTTTCCGCGAAACATCGTAAAACATTTTTTTGATCTGTTCTCTATAAATTTTTAAAACATTTTAAAAAAATAAAAAAACAAAACTTTTCATTTCAACCTTGATTTTTAAAAAATAAGTTTTGATTTTTTTGATTTTTTTGAAACACTTGGAAAAAGTATTTTTAGCAGTCGTAGGCAAATTATTTTTTTCTTATTTTGATTTTATTTACTTTTTTTCTTCAACATAGTCAAAAAAATAAAAAAATCCTGCTTGTGCTTTCAAAATTTGATTCATTCGAACAATAAAAAAACAGCGTCCTGCATTTGCGCGTTGGCGAAATTGTGCATTCACCGACCCACGAAAAATTCCGAATTCGCGATGTTTTTCAAAGCAAAAAAATAGCGTAAAAACTTTTTTTGAAATGAGTCAAAAACGTTCAGTAATGTAATTCGGAAAAACAAAAATAGAACTTCACATGCTTTTCCAGAACAAAAAAATTATTTTAGTCGCGCCAAACTCCCACTATCAGGATTCCACTGGAAAAAACGTTCAAAATCGGGAAATTCACCTGAATAGTACTTAAATGTGGATTTTAATGAGTTGAGCGCTTTTAAAAGTACTGTATTGCTACAAGAATGATTATAAAAGTCATTAATAGTTAATTTATTTGTGTTTCTATGGATTCACAACCTTTTTATTGGTTCTGAATTCAGTATTGAATCTTGTTTCAGGGAGAATTTGCGTTTATCCGTGCTTCCTAATGATATTTTAACAGTTTTGAACATCAAAAGCATTGAAAACTCCGTAAATATTAATTTTGCTTTTTTTGCCGTTCAAACTCGTTCAAAATATTCTTTTCCAGTGTTTATTTTTGCTGGTCCTCATCTTTGGACATTGTTCTATCATTTTCAATAATGAAAAACCATCATTACTGTGTTTTAGTGCGAAAAAAATTAACAAGAAACTTTTTCTTTAATTTTTTTACTGGTCTTTGAGAGCGCGCCGCACCCTTGCAACGCCCACTTTTTTCGCGACCTCGACCAAATTTTCTACAGAGAACTGAATTCGCGAAACGCGCGCTTTAATGGCTGTAACTTCGTTCAGAGTCGATATTTTTCCAAGATCTCTTTTTTTAAAAGTTGCCAGGACTATGAACTACACGGCCATATGAAAATCATTTAAATCTTATGGTTTCTAGAAAACTGCCTGCGGTCCCTAGTTATATTGTTACTCATTGTCCCGTTGTCGTATCGTACTTTCATAGAGCTAAGATTCAATTTCTGAGATTTTTGAATCTTTGATTCTTGAAAGATATGCCTCAACTTAGCTTTTTTTTGCAAGTATGCGCTGTGTTTCAGAAAATTTCATAGTCAGTGTCAAATAAGGAGCGTGGGTGGACGAGGTTCGAGTTCTCCAAAAAAGCAAAAAAAAAAGTAACTGTAACAATGGCTGGGAGACGAATGAACAAAATATGGTACTGTGTTCAGTGAAATTATTACAAAACTCGAATTCTAAGCATAACAATTTTTTCAAGCGGTTTCGTTCTCATCAGTTTCGAGGTCATGATAGACGTATATTCTTCCTTTGCAAATACAAGCTTTCCGAGGTCTGCAAAGGCACATTCAAAATGCACCTCGCTAGTACCGTTCCGCCGCCTTACCACTGCTCCTCGTTGCCATTGCTAGCAAAAGCATGCTTCGGCAGTCGCCAGATCACAATACCACATCACGCGCGCATTCTCTTGTGTGCGGCTTCGAAAGGTCTTGTCTTGACTCCGAAATTTTTTTGAGAAAAATTTAATGGTTTTTCCACGTTCCTTATTTCACATGACACTGACTATTGAATGTTTTGAAACACAGCGCTAACTTGCAAAAAAAAATCTAATTTGAGGCATATTTTTCAAGAATTAAAGATTCAAAAATCTCGAAAATTAAATATTATAGTCTGTTCAGATTTTTAATGTCAAATGCAATGACGTCATTCAGAAACACTCTGTGGATGGATCGCTCTCTGATTGGTTTATCGCGCCATTAGGGGCGGAACTTGAGCGACGACTTGACATTCAAAATCTGAACAGACTATAGCTCTATGAAAGTACGATACGACAACGTGAAAATGAATAACAATAGAAAGAATAGAAGAACTAGAACAGAAACATATTCGCAATGAAGAAACGAAAAAGAAAAAATGGCATGAAAGAAAGCGCGCCCCGTTGAAGAATATAGGGTCGTTTTACCGTGAGGCAATCTGTACAAATACCGGTGGCTGTAGTTTCAAAACGTGGACACTATAAAACACTATCAGGTAGCTCTAAACGATTTGCAAACTTGATACGCGTAGCGAAAAATCTGTAAAATGTATTTCTCAAAAAAAAAGAAAGAAAAAATATTAAAGGAGCATACTGTGCGTAATGCCGTGTTCAAAGTAATTTCCGCGAAATGCAAAATGGTCTCTGACCCTCCAAAATTTAGTTATCTTTCTCTTTCTCTGACAGCTATTTTGAATTTCGCGGAATCACTTTGAACACGGCATAAGCGTGGGCTTCGACGCGGTCAGTTATTTTTACTGTGATTTTTCATTTTTTTTTTTCTTGTTTGCATTGTTTTTTTCGAATAATTCTCGAATTTTTTCCTATTTTAAAAGATTTTTTCTTTTCATGGCGTAGTAGCGATAGTTGAATTGAATCAGCGTCGAAAAATGCAGCGAAGTTTTTGAAATTTTCGGAGTGTTTCCCTGGCTTTTGCACACCATAAAGTTATTTCTTCTTACTAGCGCCAAATAATTTTATGATATTCGTACGTATCTCAATGAGACGGATCGAATAGTTATACTTTCATGCTGAAAATCAAACATGTTGGTAACGTTGGATTATTCCCGAATATTCGTGAAAACAAAATTCCTTCCTACCATCAAACCGCTTCCAGGAAATATAATTCAAAAAAAATTTCTTTTTGAATATCAATCAAAACGCAAAAACATAATGATCACATAAAATATCTACAAATCCAGTGAAACGATATTGAAGGCATAGGGGCAGTAAAAACTGGGGTTTGAGGTGAAAGCAGTATCTTATATAGTTTTTCTTTGCGAATCGAATGGTGTACTCAAAAAAATTACAGATGTGACTAATTTTGAAGAAAAACGCGATTTTACGTTCCCGCCTTCAATTTTGAAAAATGCCTTGGATCGGGATACGGACAACTGTTTACAGTAGCTGTGCACGCGATGTTGCGGACGTCCACAGTGTTTCAAAACGGGCGAGCGCAGACGAAAACAATGGTCGTCTCAATGGAGCGAAAACGCGAGTTCCTTCTAACGCAACGCGGTGCGGCGCGTGTCAACCTCTCAAAATTTTATTCAATTTAAATAAAGTTTTTTCTCTTTTTCTCGCGTATTTTTTTTAGATTTTTTAATAGTTTTACTTTCTGTTGTGTAATATAACCGTGTTGGATGCGTTTGAGAGGTACTTGAGTTAATTTTTTTGATCTAGATAGTCCCGAAATTTCGACAAAAAAATGACATTTTTGAAGAGTAACTTTTTTTGCAGAAGCTACTTGGTTCATGTTTTTGTTTTAAAATACTCAATATGATTTTTTTAAGATAAACGCCCGAACCTTTTTTTTTCAAAAATTTTTTTCTTTCGACGTTTTACAAAACATATGTTGTCTAAAATTACTTTTTGAGTTATAAATTTTTGTGCCGAAGCCAATTGATTCTTTTTTTCGTTTTAGAATATTCAGAATGCGTTTTTTGAGGGAACCGTCATGGGTTTTTCCTTTAAAAAATTTTTTAGGACTTCTCGCGACGAATTGTCTTGAAAAAAGGCATTTCGTGTGATAAATTTTTTGGAAAAAGTTTCCATTTTCAATAGGTACATTGTGCGCTGGACTATATTAAAATTACTATAAAAAGTAGAAGGAGGCCTTGAAAAACACTATTTAACGCTATGTTTTCATCCAGTAAATGCACAAAAATCGGCTCTCAATGTCGCGCCACTATTGCAATAACCCGCGCCCCCATTGCAAACGGCCACGCCCAATGCCCACGTCTGCCGCCTGTTTGGGAACACTGACGTCTCATTAGACTCGCATTTTGTGAGAAATAACCGGATATCTGCTTCAAATTTCGGGTTTCTTTTCTGAAAAATAAATTAAGAAATCAAAAAACTCACACCGATAATAAAAAAAACGCAAAATATTGCAATCCTAATCGAAACCTGTGTAAAATCCTCATTTTTCACCAGAAAAACATTTTGCGAACAAAGTTCGCAAATTTCTTATGAATGGAACTTTTAAGGACGAAAAGAATTTTAGTGACAACAAAAAAAATTAGAAATTGAAAGAAACAAAGAAAAAAGCTAAAATGGGAAAAATGGCGAAGCTCCCCTATGCCTTTAATGACTTCCAATTGAAACAATTAAGAAAAAAATCAGATGTAGCATAACTCGGTAGTATAACTTTTGGACTTGGTAGGAGCCTTGCATTTGAAAAAAAAACCGTTTTTTACAAACTTATGAACAAAAAACCAAAAAAAAATACTCGCCTATTTTCACCACTGTGTATATCTAGAGGCCTGTGTAGCAACCGATAATTCCAAAAAAACTCATCAATTTATGAACCATTTCAAATTCAACATGCTCATGGAGGAAATTTTTAAAAAAAAGTTGCACAAAACGACAAAATATGCGAAAATTTCATCTTGAAAATGACTAAAATGTGAACTCTGCCTGTTTTTTTGAATTTGCATTGCGGAATTCTTTTTTATTAATAAAATTTTCCTGAAGTAGATGATGAGTTGAAAAATGTAGATAAATCATAACCCTCCATGTAGAATTAGAAGTTTCCCTATAGGTTTTTTTTCCCGGAATTTCTGCTTGGCACGCAAGCTTCTTTTGCTCTGCACTGGCACATTTGGAATGTAATAAATTCACTTGAAAACAAATCGAAAAGCTAACTTGCTCATTCTGGTCGGATCTCGACATCCTTTGCCGCCTTCCCAGAACTGGGTCCGTCTTGTCGTCGTTGCCGCGCCGCACCTATCACACGGCTCGTTTTTTTTGAAAGGCTGAAAAAGTTATATCCCTCTTTTTACCCTGAAACCTGCTCTCTGCTGCAATGTCCGCAAACTATCCTGTTGGCCAGCTTCATCTCGTGCTCGTTGTTGACCGAAACCTGGTGACAAATGTCGCAGGGAAAGAGGCGTCCACAGCAAGGAAACCTGAAGTGTTGCACCAATTTGGCGAGCTCTTTCTTTTGTATTACAATTTTCATATTTGCCACACGACAGTCTCTCATGCTGGCCAGTAGCAAACGTTGGGCTAATACATCATTACTTTGCGAAATGGGTGCTACTGCCGATCACCCGGTGATTTTTTAACGTTGCGGGATTGCCTCGACCTAAACGGGATCGCCTGGACCTAAACGGGGCTTTAGCTCGTGAACTGGCCATTTGGGTGTGAAACGGGTGATCGGCGGTAGCACTCACGGATGCTACTGGCCAACATGAGATGTGAGAGAAGTGCAGAGTACATATCAGACTATTTTTTTTATCTAATCGGCCACATTTAGTTTCAAATGATCATTAATTTCCTTATTCACCTGAACCAACGGTAACTCTTCTTATAGTGCTTACAGGTGCCCATGGCGGGCAGGCAGCCGCCCTCTGTGAGGACATCGTTTTTCTCAGTCTGCAAGTCTGTTTTCTGCATTATTACTCTCGACATGTGGGTTTGGCCTTTTCATTGCGGAGTAGGTAGCTAGTCCGAATCTTTGAGCAGATTATTTTTAAACTGTTTTTTTTCGAAGCCCAAAAACGAGTGATTGGAAAATTAAATCATGTGCTTTTAGGGAAAACGCACTGTCATTTATTTAACTGAAACTTGAACTGAAGGATTAATTTTACAGTAAGAAATGTGCACAAAAGTAGAATGCTCAAGCATTCTGAGCTTTTTTCCAGGAACCCAAGTTCAGCATAAGTCAAAGTATTTCTACTTTTCACATAATTTCTAACCGAACCAAAGAACTGTCACAGTATCCTAATGAGGATGAAACAGTTGCAATGTGTTCTTAAAATAAGCCAAAAAAAATTGAAAATCTTCTGCAGGATGCGAGAAGGAAGTTTAAAGAAAAACCGTCGAACCTTTTTGGGCCTTTTTGAGATGGCGACCGCAGCGCTACCCTCTTCTCTGCAGAGGCGCTCAGAGTCGCCGAGAAACCGGATCCGAGAAATTGAAAACTGAATGGGAGCATGGCAGCCTCGGCACCACGACTTGTGAACTTCACCGTAGTTGATTTTCTGCGAGCCAATTTTTGCCACACGACAAGCTTTTGAGATTCGCAATTTTTTCGAAAAAGCTTTTAAATTCAAAGTGAAACCTGAACACTGTCTTCTCTATCGCAAGCCAAACAGGCCGCTTCAAAGGCCGAATCCAAGAGAATGCAGTCTGAAGGTCGGCAGCCGCGAGCATCCAGACGACAGAGCAAATTGCTCGATTTATGCACCATTTCGGGTCGTAATCTTAAACTAGAGTTTCTTGCGCTTTAAGTTGAGAGCGACATGTATCATTCAACGAAAAGTGGGATTGTTGTTTTAAAATATTAAAGCTCGAGCAGCATTTTCAGTCAAAATTTCCCGACTTGAAAAACGGGATGCGTAGCGTGCGCGTATGCAGTAGTTGGCTCAATTCAGCTGCCAGCCCCTATTTGGAGAGCTCGTTTATCGCCCTTTTCACTTCTATTTTCAATTCTTTATTGATCTTTCTCATTCGTGCATGAAAAATAGTAGAATAGATACTAAAAGAACGGCGACTGAGCTTTTTAAGTAGTCGCTGGCGGTAAAATTAAACTCGTGCCAAGAACCGCGTATCGCGTACTTTTCCGTCTCCCTCGCCTTTCAAGTCGGGAAGGATTGACTATAGAAGTAAAATTTTTTTTCATGAGTAGTTTGTAAATACAGTAAAAATAACTGCCGAGATAAAGGCGAGAAACTGACGGTAAATTGACGAACTCGCAATAATCTCGCTCTGCCTTCGCGGCTCTCGCATTTTTCAAGGCGCGACCTCGCATTTGTCTAGGCACGACCTCGCATCTTTCTCGGCGCGACCTCGCACGGAAATTTTTGAAATGCGAAGTCGCGCCTAGACAAATGCGCAACCGGCGAGGAGAGAGCGAGATGTTTGCGAGTTCATCAATGTACCAACACCGACCTCACATCTCTCTCACGCCAGACTCGGCATTTATCTTTAGTGATAGCACTAAGAATAACTGACGAGATAAATGCAAGGTCGGTGGCGGTACATTGACGAACTCGCAAACATGTCGCTTTTTTCTGGGCGCGAGCTCGCATTCATCTCGGCGCGAGCTCGCATTTATCTTGCATTTCGGAAATTTTCAAAATGCGAGAGAAATGCGAGCTCGCGCCCAGAAAAATGCGAGACTGGCGCGAGAAAAAAATGCGAGATGTTTGCGAGTCGTCAATGTACCGCCAGCGTCTCGCGTTTATCTCGGCAGTTATTCTTAGTGAGCATGTTGCGCCGAGCTGACTGGAATGAAAGAAGAACAATTTTGCGATGCCGTTTATGATGCTATTCAAAAATTATCCATGACCTTTTTTAATTTTTTTTTTTTTTGAACTTCAACCGCGTCCGTTTAGATCAACGTACCGTAAGCTTTGCGCGAAAGAACATTTTTCGCATCGCCACCCGACCAGTAGCTCGTTCGCCGGAACCTGAGGAAATGATTTAGGATACGCCTTTGCTTTCCGTTAACCTCGTGGCTCGTTTCCACTCTACATCGCGAACATTTCGATTGGATCATCAATGATGTCGCCCGCAAGGTGGCAACATTTCCGCTGAAAAACCATTTTGAGACAAATCTAACTAGTAAGAACAAAGCTAAGGAACAACGAGACAACCTCGAGTCGTTCCAGTTGAGAGCCATCTTGATGGGGTACGAGTCAGCCACACAAGTTTTCCCTTTTTCGAGAAAAGAAGAAGAAGAAGAGAGCTCGATTGGATCCTCAACAAAATTCGCCAATCTTACAAAACTTTTTGATACACACATCAAGGTTCACTTCTTCTGCATCTTCTCGATCTTTTTGAGCAGCTCTGGTTCCCTGGCCAGACGTTGAAACAACTCGGCTCGGGCCAGAAAAGTCCTTCTTATCGTTAGAGGGAACAACAAGTGAAATTCCAACAGATTCAGCCTGAAATTCCATTTTTTTTTTCTCCTATTGAACTCTACTTCCGAGGAATTTATAGTAAAAGATCAGAAGATCTCTTGGCCCTTTTGCTGAGGCAGAAGCCAAGGACGCATTAAACCGTCATCCTTCAGACGATCTTTCGGCCCATGAGAGCAGCCAAAACGCGTAAAAAGCCTGCGTCGCGCGGCCTAACACAGGTCTTCGCCGGACGCTCCACATTCCAAAGACAAGAATAACTTAGGCTTTCACAGAAGAGGCGGAACGAATCGCAGACGAGCCATGCAGCATGATCTTCATTCGAACCGGAGCGGGACGCTGCGAACGCCGTCCAGCTCCCTCGTCCCCAGCCCTATTCCCTCTTCACCCCTTTTGCCGCCTGTCTGATATTCGAGAGATAAATTATCATTATAAAAGCACCATTTTGCTGTATTGATCCGACATGAAGTAAACGCGTTTTTTTTTCAAAGAATAAAGGACCTTTTCTCGACACAAACACAGGAATTTTTAAATTTTGGAAGAAAAAAGGCCGGTTTTCGTAGGTCGCATTGTTCAAAGCTTGCTTAGCCACCTGCTGAACCAGTTTTGTCTTCCGCAAGCCATCGACAAAAGACGACAATAAGTGCTTGTCCAGCCATTTCAGGAGCCACTTTCCAATATTTTCGTGCGAGTCGTTTACAGTGTACACTTTGAATTTTCCCTGCAACCAGTTTTCGAGTTGAGGCTTATGTAAAAAAGGAAGAAAAGCAAAACCTCGATGGTCTCTTCAAGTTTTGCCGTCAGATGCCTTCGAAGGACTTCTGGAAGTCGGGAATTGGACGTTTCCGGAAGGCAAACCTTCGGCGCAACCAAGGGATGGCCAGCAGCAAGAGTGACGTCCATCGTTAGACTCTTTACATCGAAAACCGAAAAATCGCTTAGTTATTAAATACTACATATTTCGAAGCAAAAGTTACCCATTCTGGATCGATCGTTTCGTAACAAAATTCAAGCTTCGTATTTCCGTCCGCAGAAACTTCCACCAAAGCCTTAGGAAACCTAGATGTTCACCGCCAGAATATCTCCAGACTGGTCAGAGAAACGTACCTTCTTTTGAAGAAGGCAATCTCGGCGAGGAGCTGCCGTTTCTGCGCCTCGGTCTCCAAATCTTGCCGTTTAAGACGCTCGACCGTCGGTCGAGTAACTCCCATCGGCCGACGGTTCATCGAATTAACTTGGGGCGGTTCAACAACAACGATCGAATCATCCGTTCCGGGGCGTTTCTGCACGAAGTTATTTTTTTTCAAAGGCTCACGATCTCAAGGAAAGAAATGTTGGAATCGCCTATGAGAAGTCACGTTTATAGTGAAATGAACCCCAATGTATCGCTCCTTTCTAGCAGGACGACCCGATAACTTCTCCAAATGGTCCCAAAAAAGGCAACTGTTTTGAAATTTTATTTCTTTTCTCCTTTGCCTGGATACCTTGCAAATTGTCATCTCCTGTAGAGTATCCCCAAGAGGAGCACAGTCATCCTCTTTCGCCAACAGTGGCTCCTTCTTTTCCGTCACATGCTGATACCGACAATTGTCGCCGTTTCGACATCCCTGAAGCGAGCCGAAAAACTTGCACTCCTTTTCGCTCTTCTTTCCTCCTAGAGAAAAAAAGGAATAAAGGTCAAGAATAATGAGAAAACCTTTACTAGTCGTGTCGTGCAACTTTTTTCGAGCGTACGGAAATCGACGTCGAACTTTCTTTTTTTCCTTGCCCTCACCTTCGTTTGCCCGCTCAGACTCCATATACAGCGAAGTTGTCGTGCTTTTTCTTCAATCAGTTTTTTTTCACCACCAGGAAATGCGGCCAGAGAACAAAAACCAGTTGCTTCAGTTCCTTCTCGCAAATAAAAATAAATAACAACATGAGATGACACATTGGAGAAACAATAAAAACCAACAATTTTAAACTGTTTCATTCGTAAAACGATTCGACAACAGTAAACTTTTAAGACTTTGACAAGTCCTTCTTCATGAACGTGCTGAAGACGTTAGTCATGCCGAAGTTGGGCAGCCATTCGGTAGTTTCCTGAAGATTGCAGATGAGACGGACAACAAGGGTCACTGCAAACCTGCTGGTTCATGGCAAACAGCTGGTCGAACACCGGATCCTTGGGATGGAACTGAACATGAGCCGTTACCTCCTCGGTTAGAGTTCTGAATAGAAGACTTTTCTGTACTCCAAATTTGAAAGCCGCACCTCGCCTCACTGCGACCAACGTCTTCGCGGCTGGCGACGATGGCGGCGAGCAAGTCGATGGGGCAGTTGGGAAATTTCCTCGCGAACGACGTCGCCTCCAACGACAACAAGGACTTGTCGCGCAGGCTGATAACGTCGGCGGCCGACGCAATCACACAAGTCAACGATTTGAACTGAAAAAAGAAGGCATAACGAGAATGTTTCGTTGAACATTTTGAATTAAGAAGAAAATTATAATATAAAAATTTTCCGAAGCTGGGACAGGGTCAAGCCTCGGTAGGCTCTTCAAAAAAAAAACGCCCAAAACAGGGACTAGGACACCTAGCCTGAAGCACAGCCGAAGAGAAAGAGTGCTCTAGTGCATTCAATTCGTTGACTATCTTTGTTCCAATTTCGTTTCAAATTGGTTCTTTGTATTTTTTTCAAATGTAGTCATGTAGATTTTTAAGTAGGGACCACAAGGAAATTAAAAAAAAATTTTTGGGGCATCGAACTTCCATGGATTGATAGTTGCTTCGATTTCAAACTCAGAACATTTTAGTTTTTTTCAAAAAAAGATTGAGGATGAAAAAAATTACGACGAAAAAAATGTGGCGCGCCGCTGACCATTTTTTTTAGTATTAAAATTTGGTATTATCAATTTTAGACATTTTTCTCGGTTTTTCTTCTAGAATACGTTTGGATGCTGGCCTATTTTTGATGTAAGAAACCATAACAGAAAATTGAAATGGTGCTATTTTGCTAGTTTCCGAAAAAAGTCGGTATTTTCCAGAAAACAAAAAACTGCTCACCTGTCGAGAAAGGTAATTTGAACTTTATGCGGTCTCCCACATTTTTCGCTATAATGAAATTTTTATTTTTTTATTTCAACTCGGACATTGGTAACGCGAAACGGACGTGCTCCGGATGTTTCTGGACAATTCTAGGGATCTCTCAAGAGCGCTAAGTCTACTAAAGTAGTCTCTAGAAATGCCACGACACGTCCGATTCGCGTCCCGTTCGCGTTACCAAGGTCCGAGAAAAGTTTAATCTTCCAATGATAAAACATTGAAAAAAAAAATATAGTGCACACGACCGAAAACATACAGTACCGCTCAAAAGTCTATTAAGTTTTGGTTTTTTGAGCATATCTCAGCGAGTACTTATCCGATTTATATATAACTTTCAGGGATAATGTAAAAATATACTTTGTAACATATACGGTATACAAAGACACGTCCGCAATCACTGTGTCGCGTTTTAGGCATTTTTTATTGAATTCAATTTTTTTGTTTTTTTATGCTTTTATTTTTATTTATTTTTATTAAATTTTTTAAAAGTAATGATGTTGCCATATGTTTTTTTTTCATGTTTTCAGACATGGGAAGAACCTCTGGAAAAAAGGATTTGACTGATAACTACAAAAGAGCCATCGTTGTGGGTCGTCAAAATGGACGAAACGGTCCTCCACCAAGTTTCACAGGGGGTAATTGGTATTTCGGATGATATCTGGACCCAATTGGCCTACAAACCCACTGAATTCCGTCACTCCCGAAGAGGAGGAACTTGTTTTCGTCGGACCACAGAATCTTGTTCCAGCCTTGACGGGTCCAGTTGAGATGCTCCTTCGCCCACTTCACCCTGGAGGCTCGATTCTTTTCAGAAATCAGCGGTTTCTTCACTGGACGTCTTCCCATGATTCCAGCAGCATTCAGACGTCGTTTCACGGTCGAGACGGATGGCGGAGATCGCGAGTTCAAGAAAACTTCCTGCCTGATCGCAGGGGCGGTGAGTCTTGGATTGGTTCTGGACGTCTTCAAAATGTTTCTATCGCCATTACGATCACTGACACGTTGTTTTCCAGTGCGTTGGCTCTTAGTAGAGCCATCTTGAGCTTTCCAACGCTTTAGGAACTGAGAAATGCACGCCTCTGTCACGCCGAACATTCCTGCCAACGTCATCATGGTCAGTCCATTTTGACGACTCCTAACGATGGCTCTTTTGTCGTTATCAGTCAAATTCTTTTTTTCCAAAGGTTCTTCCCATGTCTGAAAAACATGAAAAAAATCATATGGCAACATTATTAATTTTTAAAAAAATTTAATAAAAAAATAAATAAAAAAATGAAAGCATAAAAAAACAAAAATTGAAATCAATAAAAAAATGCCTAAAACGCGTCACAGTGATCGCGGACATGTCTTTGTATACCGTATATGTTTCAAAGTGTATTTTTACATAATCCCTGAAAGTTATATATAAATCAGATAAGTACTCGCTGAGATATGCTCAAAAAACCAAAACTTAATAGACTTTTGAGCGGTACTGTAGTTAAAAACAGACAAGATCAAATTCGTTTCACTTTTCTGTACGACACTCCGCTGAAACGCGAGAAACATGAGTGAATTTTACACATATTGAAAGAGGGAGGTTCACTTTCCATCAGTTTTCGTTAGAAACGGTTCAGTATTGCGTTCTTACAAAATTAAGAAACAAAATGACCAAAAACTCAATGCATTTCACCATCGCAAAAAGGGGCGTGGCTCTGCGGTCTCTATTTTTAAGAAGAAAAAGGTAAAAATGTTTTCATTTTTTTTTTTACACGTTAGAACGTTGTTAAAGTTCTTACACGGAAAAAAAACGGCCTGAAAACAAGTTGGGGAAGAAATGAAAAGTTAAAAGGAATGACGGATTGAAACAGAGACAAAAATATATTTTTAGTGCATGGTCGAAATAATGGTGAAATTGAACGGGCTACATACCTGCTCGACCATTTCCGATTCTCCGGTCGTCAGCTCTTCGTAGAGGGCGTCGATTCGCGATACGTCACTTTTAAGACGCTTTCCAGCCGACAGTCGTTCTTCGTAAGAGGCAAAGGTCAGTCGCCTTAACCACTTCTTTTTGCAAAATATATCGATTCAAGAAATTTGGCACCTCGTTTCCATCGCCTTGAGGTACTCGCCAACAATTCGAAACTGCAAGTCCATCAGCAAGACGCAGCGAGTCGAAGCTCTCAAATGCCGGTGATCGAGCCAGTAGTCGTGGATCGTCATGCAGATAGTCTCAAGCGCAGCGCACCCCACTAGCCTGTTCCCAACCAATCAGTTCCAACTTTTTCGCAGACTTAAAAGACCATTTCCTTGAGAAAATCTCGGCGAGGTGCGGGTCAATGTCGACAACAACTTCCTCCCTCAAATAGTTCACCCTGCAAAAATCTAAATGCTTGCTTTTTGCACCGTGCAAATTTCACGACTTGGCATTAATTGGCTCAAAAATTGGGCTTTTTAAAATAAAATAAAATAGTTCCAACCGTAAAGGCCCTAAAGTGTCGCGCTGAGAAAATAAATTTCTACCGGCTCCGGCTACAGCACCTAATGTATTATGAACTCGCCAAGGCGCAACTGGATCAACGACGGGCAGACGAACAAGGAAGAAGACCCGAAGACCATGCTTGAAACTTGATACACGTTTGGATTTCTATTTCGCAAAAGGCGGTCGTTCGATGCTACTCAGAAATTTCTTGTTTAGCACCTAGTCTATCAAATTTTCTATCGACTGAAAACATGCTACGCAATTGAACAACAGTTTGAGCCATGAAACATCAATTATTTCCGATTTCACTTTACAAATCGACTTGACACAGGAAAAAAAGTCGTACGCGATCGAGACGGCGTTGTTCCACCTGGCGTTGAGCCGATCCATGTTTTCAATAATTTGTTGCTGTGTGACACGGGACCGGTGTCTCGAGACTTGCACGTCGCTTTCCATTGATAATCGCACCTTCGAGAGAATTTAAAACAGTGAAAGAACAGGTTTCTCATTTGGATAACCAAATAAATATTGGTAAAATCACCTGCTGCATGTACTTCTCCGTCGATTCAATGCACGTGTGCAAGTTGTTGGCAATGGCAATCTAGAGAGGCGAATAAAAGTTATCATTTTGAAACGTTTCGAAACCATTGTCGAAGTGAACTCTTGGAAACGACTTCTGTCCTCGAAATACTTGACTTTGTAAGCAGCAAAAGCATCTGAGTTTACTTTTCATTTTTTAATGATAAAAATGAAAAAGAACCTTTATATTTCAAGGCGAGCTCGCAAAACTCCTCAATCGTCAAGTTGATGACGCTCGGGATCACTTCGACGGAAACTTCTTTCGCCAAAGTAACCTTAAACTTTCAAATTCTCTTTTTCACTACAACTGATGATTTCCATTTCTAGGCTCTGTTTATTTTCGATTTCTCAAAAGTTGCACATAAAATTATTAATTCCTGCGGAGAATTTGATTTTTTTTTCTCGAAGATGTGAACTTCAATTAGCCTGATTGGACTTTTTTTTCCTCGATACATGGTTGATTATGCTATTTTTGTCATTTTTTATAATATGAGAACGTATAGGTCCATGAAAATATCCATGATGTCACGCATCACAGTAACAAGGAACAAGAGAATCGACATAATCTCCCATCACACCAAAGAAATAAAAAGAAAAGCCGTCCTAAACCGAAATTTACCGCCGTCTCTGAAAAACGGGAAAAAGAAAAGCTCATTTTCATAAATGGCTTACGCCTCCTCAAGCTAATTAGATTTGGGAGCACAAAAAACCGAAATTCATTATGCGATCCCAACTCGAAATTTTTTATTCCACGAGAGAGGGTTTGTGATGAAAGCTCGTACAAAAAATTTTTAAAACTCGGCCTGAAAATTACAAAAACCTACAGCTACACCACCATGGAGCTCAAAAATTTTTCGTTTCATTCGTTTTTTCCAAATGGTCGAGGGATGAGATTACTCCACTTTTTTTCAAAAAAAAAAAAAAGCAGTCGTCGATTCTGTGATGACGAGAGAGAGAGGATGTCATTAGGGAATAATCCAGTAATTAAGAATCGCAGCCCAAAGAACCAAAACATAAAGTCATTGTAAGTGGATTTTTGGTCAATATTGTTTTTTTTCCGACCCTGTAAGCCCGGTCTTATAGGGACAAGCATTTTTTATCTTCAAAAGTTATTGCGAAAAAAAAAATCTCCAATTCCTTTTGAAATTCTTATTCGGTACTATTTTTTTTAATCCTAATTACCTCTTTGGCCCAACGATTGGTTTGGTTGCACGAAAAATTTGTATTAAAAAAAAAATATACTGTGAATGAACTCATCATTATCATTCGTTTTATTGAGACAAAGTCATCGAATGACCCTTGCGAGGAACAGACAAAAAGTACTCGTTTAGATATTCCGAGAAGGAAAGCGTCTGTTTCACTTTTCATTCCGCTTCGGGCTCCGCCTACAAGGCTCAAACCATTTCCATAAAAGGGATTTCAACGTGCCTCTGTTCTACTCTCTCATAACCTGTCGTCGTCCGTCAATCTTACTGGATTTTCAACATTTCAACGTGATTCTATCCTTCTTAGAAAATGCACAACTTGACGCTGATTGCCGTTTTTTTATTCACTTTCTGCGCATCGCTGGCACAAGGCTTTATATTGGTCAGTATTGTTTTTTTTTTGGTCGACAGATCCTCACGCAAACCAGTAAACCAGTATACTTCATTTTGATATGTCACCAAAATGGGTTGACATTTTGAACGCAAAAGACGAAAAATGTAATCAAATTGTAATAATATTTTTTTAAAAAAAATTTTATGAAGAAAAATGAAGTGACACGCAATTACATAAGATTCACGTTTGCAGAAACATTTAAAACTTTCGTTGGAAGCTCAACCCAATTTGAAAATTCAGTTTTAGAAGTGTTGTTTCAGTTTTTTCCCGATCACATCCGTCCGCGGGATCCAGAAGAATTGACTATTTTCGACATCGCCGCCTATGAAAATTACGGCATTCGTCAACCGCCGAGAATCGCCACCACCACCCCCGTGTCTCCAGAACGAGTCGAGGAGGTCCCTCGAAGTGAGTTTTGCTTAGCGATAAACCGAAGCTTGTTCCAAAACGATCACAATAAGATCAGCCTTGTGGCTAATTTTCCTATCCTCTGTACAACTACCCTAAAAGAAGGTGTGTACATCTAGGATGAAGGACGTGCTAAATGCAGGACTGTACGATTATGGAGCATTCAGGTTACATCCGTCGGAGGTCTGCCTCGAACCGAGCCAACTACATGTGCCCGTGTCGACATAAGCTCTGCACAATTGGCAATGAGTGTCCCAACTACTGATCATCATGATAACCTCTAAGCTCAAAGATCTGCAAACTTCTTCCAATCTTGATAGACCGCTGTTTGATTGGATATGCTCTTTGAATCTATCATTTAGTCATCACTATCCAAAAAAAAACGTGTAATCAACAAGAATAGTCGACATTATCATCATGTTATGCTTAAAAACTTTGCACTTTGCTTCTCCGCTTTCATATCCATCTCGTTACGTTGTATTTTGAAAACTTTGCTTTTCTTTCTTCTCTTATGAAACAAAACCGTGCGTTTCGCCATTCTTTTCTCGTATAGAGGGCGCCCTTTTTTGAGGCAATAAATCGACAGAGAATAAAAATTCAATTGTTGATAGAGGCACACTGTCTTGCATCTCAAACAGACTCTTCTTTTTGAAAAAAGTGGTTAGTAGTTTGCCATTCATTTAAAAAAAGAGCTTTCTTCAGAGAACCATTTTTATCTGGAAGCCCTAAAAATATGTATAACTCGTCTGGATGACGCGATTGAGTGAGCGGAAGAAGGATCCGGATGATGATACTTAAAGAAATTAGTTACTCAGCTCGACGGGAAAGAAAAGGAGGAACGCTCCTCCGGTGCAGAAGGAGAAGACACCCACGTGTGATGTTTTCCGAGCCGAGTGAGACATACTCGACTCATAAGCAATGAGGCTCATCACTGCTAGCAAGCAAGTACCGGCACACTTTTAGCGAACAGGAGAAAGCATTTCCCCGTCCTCAAATCAAAAACTATTGACTTCCATTGTTTCGAAAATCAAAATTGCCACTTGTGAAAAACTTTTCTGATTCAGCTTTCAGTAGAAAGAACGACAAAACATTTTTTTTAGGTTGGCCAAGTTCAAGGCCAAGCATTTCAAAAAAGATAGTCAGAAAAGCAAACAGCGGCTCCCTTTCTGACATTTCCATAATATTTGTGTACGCTTGGATACTATCCCAAGGCTCTTTTGCTCAAGGAAATTTACGAGTATTTTACCGAATTGTCTTTTTTTATGGAGTTTAGCCAAAAGTTTTACCTCTCTAAGTCCTCATCATTTGACTCACCTGAACTTTTCAGCTTCTCTAAAAATTTTACCTAAATACCGGTAGCATTAAAATTTTTCTCAGAGCGATTATATCACAAAAATTTCCACGGCTCTACTATGACAGAATAAGTGAGCTAAGTCAAAGAAAAAGGAAATGACGTAGGGGTTTGAAACGTGAATAAGAAAATGCAAGAAAAGAAGTTGCAATTTGAGTTCCCAACTAGGCTTCTAATGAGATGATTCTAGACATTTGTATACGGCGCGGACATTACACAAACTGAATAAAGCTCTAGACGGTACAAGGTGAGGATGAGGTTAAAGAAATAAGGGTCCAGAATAGCCCAAAATCATCCACAAGCCACCGAAAAAGAAAGCTTATTGGAAGTGAGAAAAAAAAAGCTACAAGACCGAATTCGTACATCCATGATCCACATCTATTTTCATACTTCTTTGATTTCCTTAAAAGAACTTCTTTAAGTCAAGTTTACCGAGGCAAGAGAGCCATTTTTTTTTGTTACTTCCGTTTTTTCAACCTTTAATTTTTAGAGTCGTTTTGATTAAGAAAAATCAAAAAGCTCAGCTTGAAAAGAAAACACACGAACCGTATCTTTGAGCATTCCAAACAAGATGTTTGGCAGACTTGTGTAGAAATACCCATTGTTATCCTCATCAGGGCGTACGTTTTTATACCAGTCCTGAAAATTAAAAATTTCTAGTCAAACGTAGAAAAAGAAGAAGAATAAAACCAACATCCTTCTCAGCCGAAACCGTGTTCTCGAGCCAAGTTTTCATATCCTTTCTCGTCATTTCAACAAACCTGAAAATTACAACCTTCGGTGAGAGGAGAGGTTTTGATCGAAATGATCAGAACGAAGAAGAAAGGAAAACTCACGAGTCACATAGATCGTTTAGTGTCGTTCGCGGCAAGACTGGGTAGTCCTGGAGCAAAGCCGCAGCGTTGATTTTCAAGCGCATGTTGCCCAGAAGTTCTTCGCCTCTGTCAAACCCAAGACCTTACATGTTTACAATCTATTCGATGTTCATGCGCGCCGTAGCGCAATAGGTTGTGTGCCTATCATACACAGGCTATATCCCGCCCCAACCTTTTGCGCGCGAAGAACAAATTTCAAAATGTACTGAGATAGGCCGCACTTTTTGAGGAGTAGGCCGCAGTTTGCAGGGGGTAGGCCGCACCCCGGGGTGGGATCCAGTCGATGTATGGGGCCTACCTCTGGTCCGAAGGAACACAAGTTCGATCCACGCCGCGGCCTAATCAAGGGGTAGGGGAAAAATTACGAATACAGGGGTGCACGAAACATTTTCGAGATCTCTTCTCAAACGAAAAATTCCGAACAGTTCGAGTAGAAGTGAAATTTTTTCTATAGTCACTCTCTCAGGTTTACCTTATCAGCTTTTTGGCGTCCAAGATGGTTTTATTCAAGTTTCGAGTAGTACATCGGATTCAGATCCGGCGACTAGGGCGGCCATTCTGAAGAGTCCATGAAGCCAGAAAGCTACGTCTTGCACCACTGTTTAAGGATTTCGGCCCCTTAATCTTGTCGGAAAATCCATAGCCGGTCTCCAAAGTTTCACCCGGCTCATGGGAGCAGTGCCTTTTGCGAAACGTCTTTTTCATAGTTGCGTTGACCTTGACGTTTTGCGGCACGAAAACCAAAAGAAGCTTGCTCGTAGCGTGATTGGAGCCCAAACGATGATTGGAAAAGTGACAATTCTTCAACTAAAATTGGAAGCTTGAACGTTGGGGGCAATGATCCTAAAGTTTTGACGATTCACGGCTACTTCAACCGTAAAAAGTTTTACATCTTTGAAGTCGATATCGCGGAGCTCCGCCAGCGAGAAGCGAAAAAGCAACTCGCGACTTCGATCGACCCTTGTGGCTTTCATAGGATTGCTCAGGATGTGTGCTTCCTGTATCTTGAACTGCTTCATATGCAGTTTATTTGTGAAATTTTTCTGGGCGCTCGTCCAATCTATCTTCATCTTCTCAGCGATTTTCCTGATAGACCTTCTCGGATTTTGACTGATGAAGTCGTGGAACTTTTTGAATTTCCTGCAGATGTAGCAGTGGCCGGTCGTCCATTCGGAGGGTGGTTTTTTGTTGTGCCAAACACATTGAAACGTTTGATAGTTTTGGACACCAAGAACGAGCGGACGCCAAGTTATGGGGAGATAAAAGAGTTGCTAGGACCGTCTTCATGAAATTTCAGAATTGCTGGTCGCAAGAAATTTTGACGCGTCATTCTGTGAAGTCGTAATAAACTTTCAATAATTTTTATATCAAAACATGCATAAAGGTGCAACAAATCCAATAAACAAAAAAAGAACAAATGAAATTAAGGATGCCTTGCATCCGAGCGCGTCAAAATTTTCTTCCATAATTTGCGCGCACCCTGTACAATCTCATCTCGAAAATTTTTAGAGACTTCGTCTTAGTCCCAAAAAAATCTCGTGCAACACTAGGCCGTATGCAATAAAGTGGAGAATGGTTTTCCGCCATTTTCCTGAAACTCGTAAATGACTACAATTAGTCTTTTTCGGACTGGAATAGTTTCTTCTCTTCTCTATCCGAATCTTCTTATAAAGCCCAATTACATCATATAAAGTCGAATTAAATGATATCGTAGCTTTTTAAGGACTTTTCTATTTTCAGGAAAATGGCGAAAAATCTTTTTCCACTTTATTGTAAGAGGCATCCTGATTCATAACCCTCAGCCATCACAAACAAGGACGATTATACCAGGAGAGTCCACTGATTATTACTGAGAACAGGATTTGGGGCACCGACGCCGTACAAGCGCTACAGAGTCGTAAGAAGAATTTAACACGCTGTCTCCGTTATTCTCAAGGTTCTAAAAGCAACGGGTAAAATAAAAAAAATATTGCTTAATTTAGATGAATATTCATCCAGTATAATTGTCCGTCATCTGAAATGCGGACCCAACTTTTTGAGCCATTCCCTCTTACTGTAGCCGGGTTACGGTAGCCAGGTAGGCACCTGCGTATCTCAGTACTGAAGAGTTTTTAGTAGACAAGTGATATGTCAATCGATAGGTAATCCAATTTTGAAAACTTTTACAGTACATACCATCTTGGGTTACTGTGGGAGAATTTTGAGTTACGGCACTTTTTGCGCCTGCCGAGTTAGTTTTTCGACCACCACGAGCTTGAGCCGAGAGATCCATTCTTCCTAGCTCTTCAAAAGATACCTTATGAGAAGCTGTACAAGCTGGTACTAGTTTGAAAAAATCCTAGGTGGACCATCATTTCGAAAAACCTCCCCGAAGGCGCGCAATCGTGGTCTTGCGGCGGTCAAATGGGGGAAGTCCATGACGCCTGACGGCTCATTCTTCACAGATCCATTCTAAACTTTGTTTCCATTTCACTTATAGATAGCTATTAATGGTTTTTATTACAACTTGAGATGATTTCAGGTTGACCATCATCTCGAAATTTCATTTTGAACCCAAATTCGGCCTGAAAACGGCCTGCTCGCCTTTTTCCACGGGTTCCCTGTCCCCAGCTGAGAGAGTTCTCAACTTTTTTCTTTCTGAAACATGAACAAGAGTGTCTGAACAACAGTTTTATAACGATCGGAAACCATTTTGAGAGGACCATCATCTCGAAATTTCATTTTGAACCCAAATTTGGCCTGAAAATGGCCTGCTCGCCTTTTTCCACGGGTTCCCTGTCCTCAACTGAGAAAGTTCTCAATTTTTTTCTTCCTGAAACATGGATTACAGTATCTGAACTGAAGATTGAGGACAATCGGAAGCCATTTTGAGAGGACCATCATCTCGAAATCTCATTTTGAGCCCAAATTTGGCTTGAAAACTTTTGGTTCACCCTTCCAGTGAGATTATTGGTTCCATCAATACAGATCTTGGCCCTTTTCACTTTTTAAAGAGAATATAAACATGAGAACTGAAAATAAATTTTATTTTGGACCAATTCCAAAATGACTGTTTACCTGGGAAACCCACTTTTTAAATAAAAATTTCGCTTGAAAAATCGAAATATTTTTTTGGTTTTTCACAAAAAAATAGTCACAAGACGAATGTCTTGTTTTTTTAGGTATGAAAAAGTTCTGAAGATCCAGAACTACTATTTAGGTTATAATTTAAAAAAATTTATAAAACATCAGCTTGAAAGTTAAGTTTCAACCTCACCGGTGGTCAGAGTGTCAGGTTTTTTCTTTTATGAGGAAAATTTCTTGGCATTTCACAGTTCTCATTTTTTTGATTTCTTGTTTTTGAAAAAAATTGGCAGAATAGATTTCGATTTCGAAAAAAATATGTCGATTTTCAAGCGAAATTTTTATTTAAAAAGTGGGTTTCCTAGGTAAACAGTCATTTTGGAATTGGTCCAAAAATAAAAATTTATTTTCAGTTCTCATGTTTATACTATCTTTAAAAAATGAAAAGGGCCAAGATCTGTATTGATGGAACCAATAATCTCATTGGAAGGGTAAACCAAAAGTTTTCAAGCCAAATTTGGGCTCAAAATGAGAGTTCGAGATGATGGTCCTCTCAAAATGGCTTCCGATTGTCCTCAATCTTCAGTTCAGATACTGTAATCCATGTTTCAGGAAGAAAAAAGTTGAGAACTCTCTCAGCTGGGGACAGGGAACCCGTGGAAAAAGGCGAGCAGGCCATTTTCAGGCCAAATTTGGGTTCAAAATGAAATTTCGAGATGATGGTCAACCTGAAATCATCTCAAGTTGTAATAAAAACCATTAATAGCTATCTATAAGTGAAATGGAAACAAAGTTTAGAATGGATCTGTGAAGAATGAGCCGTCAGGCGTCATGGACTTCCCCCATTTGACCGCCGCAAGACCACGATTGCGCGCCTTCGGGGAGGTTTTTCGAAATGATGGTCCACCTAGGATTTTTTCAAACTAGTACCAGCTTGTACAGCTTCTCATAAGGTATCTTTTGAAGAGCTAGGAAGAATGGATCTCTCGGCTCAAGCTCGTGGTGGTCGAAAAACTAACTCGGCAGACGCAAAAAGTGCCGTAACTCAAAATTCTCCCACAGTAACCCAAGATGGTATGTAATGTAAAAGTTTTCAAAATTGGATTACCTATCGATTGATATATCACTTGTCTACTAAAAACTCTTCAATACTGAGATACGCAGGTGCCCACCTGGCTACAGTAACCCGGCTACAGTAAGAGGAAATGGCTCAAAAAGTTGGGTCCGCATTCCTGAGGAGGGGTTATCACAATAGATGAAGTTTCATCGGAATCAAAAAATATTTTTTTATTGTACCCGTTGTTTTTGAGAATAACGGAGACAGCGTGTTAATTTTTATCGATCAAAATGTCAAAGCCAACCCGTAGATTTGAATCCAACTCATGAGCTGTACGAGTTCGCTCTTTTCTAGACCGTCCGCGGCGATTTCGCGGACCTGAAAAAACGGTCAGAATCGTTTGTGAGAGATGGTGACTTTGAAAAGAGATCAAACTGCCCAACTCTTTTACAGACGGCGTTGTGGTACATGTGAACCAAACGATCGTAAATTTGATACTCTGGCGGAAAACAAGGAATGGCCGCCTTGGCGCATTGCAAATCTTCGAGGATCACCTTTCTGCAAACTTCCAAGTACCTGCAAGTTCTCTTTTGGGCCAATATCGTCAAACTGATACGTTCTCGTTTCTTTTCGCTTCAACAAACCTTGCTAACCAAGCTTTATTCAGCGTTTTATTGTCTTCCAGTTGGTTTCCTTCAATACGAAACACGGCGGTTTTCTCGAGTACCTATAAATTGATAGACTAAATTCAGAGCAATTTATTCTTTTAATGCGCAAAGAGAGACTCAACCATAGATTTTCGTTCGGTTCATCCTCTGGATAGGCCCTATTTGGAACTTCTCATCTTTCAGTACATGTTTTTTCAATGAAAAATTTTGAAAAAAAAAACGCACTTCTAAAGTTTTTTGCTTCCATTTTCTGGGTCGACCAGGCGGCACAAATGCGTTTGCATTTGCTTTCTGATTGTCCATGTAGAACTTATCGATCCTACAGAACATTCGAAAGAATTATAGAGAGCTTGTGCAAAACCTCTCCTCGCGCTCAACAATCCTCAAGCAGCTCACGACTTCCTGCGGTCCACCTCCACTCTCATTACCCTAAAAAAATTGTTTTTTTTCTCTTTCGATGTGCGTCAGGCCGGCTGGCCCGGGCCTCGGGCCTACAGTTTTGAAAAAGTCTCCGCGGGCTCGGGCCAGGCCGGGCTTTGAAAGAAATCTTAAATTAAATTTTTTTTTTTTAATTTATCGATAATTTTTTTTGCCAAGCTCTAAGCGAAGAGTATTTCCACGAGAAGCCTGAATAAATAAGCGTTTTCTGAATGAAATTGAAAAAATCCTAAAGGATCCACTCGAGCTTTAGGGGCAAGGGGGACTGACCCGAAACCCCTATGGGAACTACTTTTTCGGCCCCTATAAAGGTTGTTTATTCCCCTAACTCCTATAGGGACCCCTCTGAAAGTCCTCAGCTTTTAAGCGCTTAGAACCCTGTTTCGTTTCCAGGATGCGCACGAAAAAGGTTAGCCGAAAACCTTGACCATTTCCATCGTGCGACCCAGAATGAACCACATGTTGCTACCCAACGCGGCGACGACGCCATCGACGCCTTTGAAAAAGTTGACGAGAAGCTGAAAATAAATGAATCTAGAAACAAAACTCCACTACTGAATCGCAAACATTTTTCTCGTAGTTGGTGTTTCCCGTTGACATTTTGTGGACTTCAGCAAGGAGTTCGTCACGAGCACGTTCCAAATCCATGATACTGAAATAAAGCTTTTTTCGATGGAATTTGTTACCGGCTTTGTACAGTTTCTTGGAGGGACATTTGATCAAGAGCAGAAGGCTTTGGAGAACGAGTTTCATTTTGGAAATCTAAGTTTTTTTGAAAATATTTTTCCGTCCGATAACTCAAAATTCTTTTTTTTTGATCGAATTTGTGTTAGCCCCTTACTAGGGCATGGTCTCCGCTCGACAACGAGTTGAGAATTGAGATTTTGTGGGTGGATAGGCCTAGGTAAGAGTACTCGGAATCAAGAATAAAATTCTGCTGAACCCCACAGGCGGCTGAGGAAAAGCTTGTCGAAATTTTCCCAGCGCGTATATGGCCGCGCTCGGCTAGCAACTGGCGGCGTGGTGTAGTGGGTTGTGGTCTTGTGCACTATCAATATTGGGACCATTGTTCGAATCCTTTTGGCGGAAATCGTTTTTGCCGGCTCTTTATTCCTTTCACATTTTTGGGATATTTTTTACAAAAGTTTACATCAAAACTTGTAGAAAACTTTTATCTCTACTAATTTTCTCATGCCTCATTCCGCGCAATTTTCTGTTGAAATCTTCAAAAAAACGCCATATCTTCTGACACCTGCAACGCGGAACCGAACGGAAAAGTTTCATTTTTGTTTTTTTACTGTGGTATTGTGTTTCCGTTTAGTACACACGTGTCCAAAAAGACAGGCAATCGCTTTTCGTGATTCGTGGATTTTCATAAAAAAATATCGTTTTTCTTTATCGTTTGCCCATTAAGTAGAAAAAAAAAAAATTCAAATCAGTATTTTGTTTTTATTGGGATTTTTTATTGTAAAATTTGACCACAACCCACTACACCACGCCGCCAGTTGCTAGCCGAAGGCTCCGAGCGCGGCCATATACGCGCTGGGAAAATTTCGACGAGCTTTTCCTCAGCCGCCTTTGGGGTTTAGCAGAATTTTATTTTTGATTCCGAGTACTCTTACCTAGGCCTATCCACCCACAAAATCTCAATTCTCAACTCGTTGTCGAGCGGAGACCATGCCCTAGTTAGTAACTTAAAAAACCAAAACAGTGTTCTTTTCTTCTTGTCAACCTCTCACTTTCTTATTTCTTTCTTAAAATAACAAAATGAATTTGGTCGGCTCTGATCTCGAATATCAAGCAGCCAAGTCCGCTCCAGCGGTTACACTATCTTTTGAGACAAAAAGACAAACTTGCGATGGGCCAAGAGCAATTTGCCTTTCTCCAACGCTTCCCTCGTCTCCTCCAACGTTTGGTTGACGTTGAAGATGTGCTTGAGGTTCTCCATCGCCGCCGCGTATTGCCCATGGAGCGCGTTGGCATCTCTCAGCTCGCCGAGCTTCTCTTTCAGCGCCGGGAACGGTTCGAGCCGCTTCCGAATCGCGTCGACCCTGCAAAATACCACAATCTATCTAATTTGCTGTTTGAACGAGGAATTTGGGAGAAGACATTGAAAGAGCCGACAATCTTAGTTCTATCAAAGCTTTTTAGTGTTACCGTTCCATTCTGAAAGCTGTGTGGTCAAGTTGGATTAGAATAAAAGCAGAAACAAACACATGTTTGAAACCTAGGCTTACGAAACTTGCAGAGACTCACCACATTTTAAGCCCTTGTCTTATTGGTGGTATGAAAAAAAGACCAGCGAAAATTCGAACGGCGACTTTTCCGATTTTTCATATCGCTAGGGCACTTTATGACGGAGAAGTTTCCGATTAATCCTTTTCCGACTTTTTTTTCTTGATAATTTTTTTTTCAAATCACCGTCTTATTAAAGGCTCTAGGTTTTTTTATAGAGCGCAAAGTTTGTTTTAATTCAGACATTCAATTGCTGAATTTCACATGAAAAATTGCTCTTGAGAACACAAGCTTTTCCAAAATGAAGCCCGCCAGTGATAGATTTGAAAAAATCCATAGGAAAATCAGACGAGAGTTCCATTTTGATTCAAAAGGCCACGTGCAAGCAGGCCAACTTGCAGCTGCAGCGTTGTTCAGGTTTCGAAAAACCCGTTGCCGATGGCTACGATGTCCTCGCTGGCCGTCTGCAGATGTGCGATCGCCGTGCGGATCCCCTCAAGTTGTCCCTGGACTCCAGTCCTGAGCATCGCCTCCACCGCCAGCTTGAAAGATAACCGTTGACGCGAAACCGAGGCGATTGTATAAGGCTTTTTGCACACAACTTGCTCTTGGCTACCTTTTTCCTCTTTGAGATTCGACGACAAACCTTTTTTCTATCAGCGCGTTTCTTCAACTCGGCAAGCTTCTCGAGTTGATCTGGCCGTTGCAGTAACGCAGCGACCTGAAAAAAATTTTTAGATGTTATAATAAATTTGTGCATCGATGAACACATTTCGAAAGAACAATCGTGGATGAGAAAGAATGAGAATTAGTTAGTTTCGAAAAGGATTGTTCGCTCACGGACAGATTTCTGTGGCGTGAAGGAAAACAACCAGTACTATTAAAGTTATAATTGCCTCCACTTTGATAAAGATATACTTTAATTGTAAATATCAGAATTTATCTACACATTCTTGAAGGTAAAATCAACTGAATACCTGTTCAAGTGCCGCATTTTCCACATCCAGGTCGACAGTATTCATTCCATGCGAAAATGATCTCTGAATTTTTGACAACTTTTCAAATAACTTCCGGATAGTGAGATATGCGCACCGTGGTGTTCGAAGGAATGAGCAATTCGAAAAAAACATACACATCTCATTGCAAAATTCATTCTCATAATTATGCACGATCGCGATAACGACACGAAAAAAAAACCAGTAATAAAACTTTCTAAAATTTTGTAGTGAAATCAGAAAAGAAAAGATGAGCAAGTTGTGGGGAGCAAATGCACTTGAAAAAATGAACAGTTCGAAAAACTTCGAGGGTACAGAAAGTTTTTTTCAATTTAATTTCAATTTCAATTTATTCAGACATCAGAGAAATCAAAAAGGCTCTGCTGAATCATGGTAGATTTGAAGTTTTTTCAAATTGTATCAGAAATTAGGCTCACTGGATGGATTACAAATCGTCTTTCCTTAGAATTTCTGCCGCCGGTCCAAAAAACTGCTGTCCTTCCAGAGTAATCTGAATTAGAAGTTTTTCTATCGCTTCACAAACAGAAAACAACGCAACCTCGGAAACATACTGCTGCTCCAGCAAAAATTTTTTAGCCTGGAACGCCTGAGAACCGTCTTTAAACATGAAGATGGCGCGATTGTCGTCAATCACAAAAACCTGAAATATGTCTCTTCAAATTTATTGCGAACCCTTTACCAAATTCATTTTTTACTGTTTTTGAGTTCTTTAGTCTATTTTGTTAGAGATTCGAGTTCAGAGACAGCAAAAAATTATAGAGAAAAAAAATAGACACAAAAGGATTTTCGTTATTAATACAGTGATAATTTTAAAAAAAAAAAGTGCACACAACCTGCACGTCGATATGATTGTTGTAGAGTTGAGATTGCCAAAGAGCCGTCCATTTTTCCGTGAATGATCGAATGTCCGTTCTTTTTGGTTGTGAAGTATCCCTAACGCCCACAAACATCATCAGCGTTTGTCCTTTTTTCGTCATTGACAATAAGTCTTCGGGATTTTTCGCCTAAAGCATAAAAACTTTGAAAACCGAAAAGCCAAAAATAGAATACTTCAGCTCTCAGTGAATCCAAATATTTTTTCGGCCTTTTCTGTGCGGGCGAATCTTCTTCTTCAGACAGTTCGTCGTCATTTTGCTCCCATTCCTCGTATAATCTTTCCAAGTCGGCATCTCTGAAACTTTTCCATTCAATTGAAAATCAGAAGGGGGTGTAGCTCACGTGTAGCTCATTAAATCTTTTTTCGGCTTTTTTTCATTCGAATTAACGCCCGAAAAAAAGAGGAAAAAAACGACGAAAAGCGAGTTGAACATCATTATAATGTGAGAAAATGGCTGAAAAAATTTGAATTCACATAAACAGTTTAACAATTACTTTATGAGCTTTCTGCACTATTTTTGAGAACAGAACCACTAGACTTTTAATTGGTTGAAAAGTTTTCAAATCAGTGAAAGAATTCCATTTGAAAATAAAATCGAAAATGAAGGTTTTGTGAGGCCATGTTCAAAGAAATTTCCGGAAATGCAGAATTACCTTTGACTCTCCAAAACTTAGTTATCTTTTTTGTTTCTCTGACGGCTATTTTGGATTTCCCGGAATAACGAATCATTTTGAACACGGCATTAATGGCGTGTTCGTCGGAGAAACGAATCATGCTTCAAAAAGAAAAATCGTGTTCATCGGCGCGCCAAAGTTGCTCCAAAACAGTACTAATTTTTTGCCGTGTTCAAAGTAATTTCCGCGAAATGCAAAATAGTCTCTGACCCTCCAAAATTTAGTTATCTTTCTCTTTCTCTGACGGCTATTTTGAATTTCGCGGAATCACTTTGAACACGGCATTTGTTTTGGAGCAATTTTTGCGTTTCGGAGCAATTTTCGTTTTGTCCGATGAACGCCATAAAAAAAAAGGAAAGAAAAGGGGCAAGTGCGCTCCAGTTATACGCATTGCGGGCGCAAATTTCAAGCAAACTCTGCTTACTTTTTTTTTATTAATTTACGCCGCGGTTTTTTTTTGTTTTTTGTTTTTATGGCGTATTCATCGGAGAAACTGAGCATGTTTCAAAACGCAAAATCATGATTATCGGCGCACCAAAGTCGCTTCAAAACAGCACCAATTTTTAGCCGTGTTCAAAGGGTGGTACGAAAAATTTTTCAAAAAACACCAGCGAAAATTCAAACGGCGACTTTTCCGATTTTTTCATATCGCTAGGGAACTTTCCGACGGCCACCTTTCCGACGGATCTCTTTCCGACTTTTTTTCCCTTATTTTTTTTCGGTCTGTAAAACATCTATTCACAATTTTTTATTCCTGTTTCTTTGTGTTTTAATCATGGACCAACTACCTACTTTATATAGAAATATTTGAAAACGAAGAGTTTATCGAGAAAAAAAAGTCGGAAAAAGTTTCGTCGGAAAGGTGGCCGTCGGAAAGTTCCCTAGCGATATGAAAAAATCGCCGATTGATTTTTCGCTGGTGTTTTTTTCATACCACCGTTCAAAGTGATTCCGCGAAATGCAAAATGGCCGTCAGAGAAGGAAAAATATCACTGAATTTTGGGGAGTCAGAGATTATTTTGCATTTCGCGGAAATCACTTAGAACACGGCATTTCAAACCATCGCTCCTTGATTTTCTCTTTCCAGATATGGCCGAATGGATAGTCTCAGCTGATAGTCGCAAAATTATGAAACAACTGGTTTTGGATGCGCACCTTTCACCCAAAGATTTATCGGGAATTGATGATATCCTCGAAAAAAATCGTGTCAATTTTCAAGACTTAAAGAATTTGAAGGTTTGTTTTTCAGTTACTTTCGTTGAACTTTTTTTCTTTCTTTAGAAAAAGCTACCAAATAATGTTCCTATATGTGTATTTCTCGAAAAGTTGAAGTTACACTTTGAGCCCCAAGAATACACTGCGTCCCTCGAGTTCAAGCAAGTTTATCATGTATTACTGTTTCAAATCATTTTAGAGCGAAAACCGAAAGTCTCCGTCAGAAACAAAGTCAATACGAGTACAAAAAGATTGTCCAATCAGTTGATCCGACGCAGAAGTACGGCAAAATAAATCACATGGAGGTTTGTCTCGTTGCCTGAAATTTTTCAATTCGTTAAGCTGAACTTTGATAATTTCATTCTTTTATTATGCCGTGTTCAATGGGGTTCCGCGAAATTCAAAATAACCGTCTGACTAGGGAACTACTCATACTCGGGTACGCGTTTCGAGTTGAAATTTTGGTGGCTTATAGACCCGGGTAAGAGTACTTGGAAACAAGAAAGATTATTTGCTAAACCCCATAGGCTTCTGAGAAAAAGCTTTTTGAAAATGAACAGTTTAGGCTTGAAAATTATCAAACTTTTGCTTTCCTCCTTCTTTTGGCTGGAAAAAAGTTTTTTAGAGTTTATCATAGCCGGATCATTCAAAACGATCGTATTAAAATATAAAATAAGGTAAAAAAGTAGTATTCTAGAAATTTTCAGGCCTAATTTTCACATTTTCTATTAATTTTTTCTCAGTTCTCCATTGGGTTTAGCAGATATTCTCTCTTGTTTTCAAGTATTCTGGCTTGGGTCTATAAACCACTAAAGTTTGAACTCGATCCGCGTACCCGAGTCCGAGTAGTTCCCTAGTGAGAGTGAGAAAAATAATTTGATATATCTTATCTTTTTATAGACGTTAAACGTTTCAAGAAGTTTGAGGTTACTCGAAGACATAATTAAATGGTCACCTTCATCATGTATTTTTTGAAAAGGAGTTATGTATAAAAGTCAGTTTTGAAGAACTTCGGCGCGGAGATGAAGACTGTGAACAGACAAGTGATGTCCGTTGTGAACGTCCTGATAACGGTGGTCGGCGCTTTTTTCTTTGGCTTTTCCGGCGTCACCTACGCCTACCCTCACCTGAAGCTTGACCTTGCCACCAGGTTTATTATTGGCCTTGTTCCAGCAACCATTGTCTTTTTTGCTGATTTGTACTTCATTATTAAGAATTTGAGTTTCGATGACATGCCTGAAGAAAAACAGCCTTATCAAACTTTCAGTTTCAAGAATATGGAAACGAAAAAGAATAGTTAGATGGTTCTTACGCAAAAAACTTTAAGAACTTCTAAAAAAGTAAAGATTATTCTGAAGATATTCTGCATTGTAGCCTGCTTGAAGGAATTTATAAATTGTGATTTTTTGAGTTCGGAGTATCAGGCTTTCGCTTTTTCTTTAATAATGGTATAGATACAGAAAAAATTTCATTTACTTTTTTAATTCGTTTCTTCAAATATTTTCATCGCTTAGTCCCGTCATTATTTTTGTGATATGTCTTCACTTAAGTCTCTCAAAGTTTTATATCTCTTGAAATGTGTTCTTTGTTCAAGAATGAAGAATTTCGTACACTCTTAATTCACTTTTTTGGAACACCCCCGACGTTATCTTATCACTTTTTCTCTCGTCAGAAAACACAAGCAACCTGATTGATGGGCTTCAAAACTGGATGTGTTCTGGCGTCACTATTAGCAGACGAAACGTGTGTTAGGTCTGACAGAATCCGCAGAATCTGACGCGGTGGTCTTTGCGCTTTCCCATTTAGTGGGTAGACGCGGTTTTTAACATATCAATGCGTTTATAAAACTTTTCCAAAGTGTGCTAAATAATTTAAGCGAAGAGAAATGAAGAAGAGATTAGTGAAATTCGTAGGGCCAAAAGGTCTCAAAAGATACCAGATTGTTGCTTATCCTAACAAAAAAACTCATTCGAAAGCTAATTTTTTTATTTTGACGTCGAAAAAAACGGCCTAAATTTTTTTACTATATATATATATATATATATATATATATATATTGAAACGGTTTATTGCATCTTCAATGTAAGAATACATGTACAATCGACTTTCATTGAGTTAACTGTGTTTAAACGGCGGCAGGAGCTGTGACTTAAGCAGAGAAGTTTTGAATTTCGCTCGTATAGGTCATTCCGCGCCAGCTTGTCACGATTTTAAATTTCCTCGGAGCTAGAGTACCCATTTCGGCGCTTCGCTTCGATGCTCTCGGTGTGCCCCTTGCGTGCGCCTTTAATAAAACTCATTATTTCCGAACTTTGGAATTTTCTTATTTAAAAACAGTTGTAACATTAAATTTTATATCAAACTAACTCAAAAAAATTATATGCAAGAAAAAGCTCGAACAGTCGGTTTCCTTAATAACAATTAAAAAAATAATAATTCAATCTTTTTTTGATTTTTGATTTTACATATCCAGCACAGAATCTGAGTGTGTATAGTTAAAGCGAAAAATGAAATCAATTTATTAAAAACAACCTCGTAAATTAATAAAAGAGATAGAGGACATTGAAGCAATATCTTAATCAGAAATAATGTTTTATTAAAGGCGCACGCAAGGGGGAACACCGAGAGCATCGAAGCGAAGCGCCGAAATGGGTTCTCTAGCTCCGAAGAAATTTAAAATCGTGACAAGCTGGCGCGGAATGACCTATAGAACATCAGGTACAAGAGAGGTCGTAGGGAGAAGTACGGTGCCGGCTTTCCAAAGGCCGATGGCAGAGATGGAGCCTTTTCGCTGCATGCAGCTCCCAATTTTATCTACCCCGGAGGGATGAAAGGCTTGGTCGACCTCGGGGGGACTCGAACCTACGACCTCGCGGACGTTAGAAATGAATCTTTACCAGCTGAGCTATGCTGCCCCCTATATATATATATATATATATATATATATATAATGCCGTTTTTCGAATCGGTTTTTAAGTGAAGGGCAGACTTCACCTGTTTTGCTGATAGGGTGCATTGGAGAAATAACAAAGGGCTATTTTTGTTTTGAAACTTTAAACGCTACAGCTGTTCTTTTTGCCTAACTCAACACAGGAAAAGTTTCCTTTTTGCTTAAAAAAAGCCTTTCTATGTTGCGAGATCCAAAAAAAAAACAAGAATGAAAAATGATGGCACTCTCTACGGTATCAGTCTCACTTTCGCCTTTCTGATCTCTACGGCTGCTGCAGCGTCAGAGAGGAACCAAAAAGATGACCCACATGAAGCCTTCCGCAGCGGTTGGCCCGGTTCCCACGATCACAAACCTCTGACGTACGTCAAAGTCTTTTAATCATGTCCTTCTTGGCTAATATAAAAGCTGGGGAGAAGCTTGACGGAAAGTTCATCCCAGCGAAATGTCCTCTCGACTTTTCCGCACCTTTTTGATTCTCAGCCTTCTGCAGGCTATCCTCGCAAACCCTTACGGACGACATCGTTATCAAAGGTACTATCAGCCTTATCAACAGTATTATGGATACCGCACTCCAAATTATCAAGCTTACCCATATTATCCTACCTACTCCAACGGATACCAGAACCCGTCCGGAATAAATTTCGACCAGTACGGCAATTCCTTCATCGGTACCAAAGATAATGGAATTTTTTTGCTTTGTAATGGCCGTGGATGTCCTGGTAGAGGATGATTCTTGTTCTGGCAAAAATTTTTCACAAGAAAGTCAGAAGCTTCTCGGAAAAGCTTTAATATGAAATGGTGTCGTGTGTTTTTTTGTTAATGCGTTATGTTTTCGTCGTTCAATAAATTATTCGCAATAAATTTCTCAGAAGCAATGAAAAAAAAATTATGACAATCACGAAGGAGTGCATAAAAGAAAAGTTTCAGATCAACAAGTTTATAATGGAAAATCGAGTCTAAAATTTAAAAAAATCATCAGTTTGGCTACAGAAAAAAAAATTGAACTATTTATGGTGATAGTCAAGCTAAAAACTAAGATTGATCTGGTTTTTTGATAATTTTTTGGTGACCTCCTCGGATGGACTTGAAATTTTTTTTTCGAGTGTAGACGAAGGCGCGTTTGGAGAGGTGATAAAAAGCTCTTAAAGCCCAGAGAATCTTTCTCGATTGTAGGTCTTGATGTGTAAAGCAGCCGTCGCATGGAATCGGCTCACAAGCAACTGACGCGGTTAAATTCTTGCCTGTCCTTTAAAAAAAAAACTTTTTCTCTCTTTATATTCTTAATTTTTTTTATTCCTCGTTCTGTAGATTATTTTTTCAACCAGTTCTAAAGAAAGGAGAATTTCTAATTTTCAAATTTCTTATAATCTTCCAGCAGTTGAAAAATTGATTCAAGCGGTTCACTCTAGTTTTTTGGTGGCGCGGAGCCGGTCAAGTGTCCTTGCGGCTCTCTAGTTTCATTTGTGCTCTTTTTTTTTAATTTTCAACTTCTCGCAGAGCAGGAATTGCTTTCTGTAGAACCAAATTTCAATATTTGATTAACTCTTTTACTTTTCTTGCTTCTCAAAGTTAAATATTCATCTTTTTGATTATCCTTTCAAATTTCTGTGATTCACTGTAACTAGACAGATTTGAGGACTTTTTATTAGTAAGTGAATTTGTGATTCTCACTTGAAAACTTATCATTAGCTCAGTGTTGAAAAAAAGAACAGAATAGGTGAAAACTCATTCTTTTGTGTTCCTTCTTTGGAATCGAGAGCGAACGTGTGCCACTCAAGCTCAAGGACCACAATTGACACAGAAAAATCGGGAAACAAGTGGCCTTCAGACAGCTTTTGATCAATCCAAATCTGGCGGCTGAAACACCGATTCGCTATCTATTCACGCCAGTTACAGATCCTTCTTTCAATTTTCATCGTTTTTTTTTAGTATCCGACCGACCGAAATTGAGAGCCCATGAGGGTCCAGACGCGGAGTTCAAGCGATCATTTAATTGATTATCTACATCAATTCCCTCTTCTTCTTTTATTTGTGATACCTTTGATTAGCGGATTTTTGGGCCTACGCAATGTAGGCTTGAAAAGTGTGATCCAGTTTCAACAGGTTTGTTTTCAAGTAGATTTCGGAGATTTTCGGTATGCTGTTTGTTATTTTTGAAAGAAAACTGACCTCTTCAGGGTAAACTGGGAACATCTCCTTGGCGAGTCGCCGTCACGATGACTGTCGTAACAGTGCCGGCTTTCTTTTCATGGTCGGTTCATGAAACTTCGCCCTTCAGAAAGGACTCTTTCAGGTGTCTTTGTGTGAGAGGCCCATCTGCTCTATTTTATCAAATCGGAGCTTCGACTTCCGTTGTTCTTACCGCCCTGTCATCTGCAAGTATCCTTCACTACATTCCTTCTCCTTCCATCTCCACATTTTTTCAACTTCGTTTTCTATCTGAGAATTGTGAGTCATAAATATGTGGATAATGCTCCTGGAAAAGGCTTTCAGTGGAGAGTTGCGTTTCCTTGGTGCAAACTCTCGTGCTGGGGTCGTCGTCAGCCCTCTTGCTCTACTATTCAGCTTCATTTTTGTCAGCTGTGACATCTTTCTCCAATTACCTGCTGCTGCCTCTGATAGCCTATTTTTCTCTTTTCGCCATAATTTTCTCGGGTCATTCGGTCATAATGAATGCGTCGCTTCTGCTAGAGCTGCTGGTGACAAAAAAGCACCAAAAGCAAACGGAAAAAGAAGAGTTTCAGGTTATGTTTTCTGGTGTTACCGTTTTTTTGTATAACGCCATCGATGACGTTGCCTCGTTCACGGCAATAGTTCCTTTGGCTTTTCGATGGACAGATTCTCTAATTTCCTTTTTCGTAGGCTTTATCGTCAACTTTTATTTCTTGAATTCCCCTTTTCTGTATCAGGTTAGCGTCTTTGAAGCAAAGATCAGAAACATGCTTTTTTGTAGGCGTATTCTCCCATGCCGACAATTCATAAACTTCGCTTGTCCATCATGCTCTATGGGGTTTTCCAACTGTTCCTAACCTTATTCGCATTCCTCATAGCGACTTTATTTTCCAATTTTTTAAATAGACACTGCGCCCTTTCTCTTTCATTTGGTACATTCTTCCAGTTCACAAAGGTCAGTTTTGGTTGGAAATGAAGCTATTCAAGAGAAAGACTTTTGATTTGAAGGTCAGTGTTGCGGCAAAGTTCCAAGCGTACGCAATATGCGCCGCTTGCCTCTGTGTGCTCAACTTTTGCTTCAGATGGTGAGCCGACTTTTCTTTTTTTTTCGATATAAGATATCATCACTTCTAGGTGCCTTTTATCTGTGATCACGGTTGTTTGGGAGCAACACCTGGCCAAACGGCTTCGTTCCTGGAATCCCCTTCAACAGCTCTGCTTTCTGCAGCTTCTGTTGGTCGTCTTGCTGACGTTGCTGCTTCTCGCGGCAGTGGGAGCACACATAACTCACCTGCCGATCGGATTCATATTCCCACAAGTTGTTTTTGTTATATTGTAAGTCCGGCAGGTGTTCGAAATTAATTTGATCAATTTCAGTAGTGCGTTTGCCATGGTCGGCGGGTTAGTCACTTGCGGCTACTTTTTGCCCTTCTGCAGCTCTAAAGGGGCTCTTGCCTCCTTCTTTTTGACGAGTATCCTATTAATTATCAATCTCTGCGTCTCCTTCGCGAATAACTCGATGCGAAGTCTGCAGAACGCATGCGACACGGACAGCTCGACCGGAATTCTCTCAAATGTCACCCATAGGTTTATTTTAGATAGTTTGACTGGATTGAAAAAATGTATGTCATAAATAATCATATTTTTCAATGTCCTCAGCTTGTTTTTTCCGTTCAATCAAAAATAACGAGTTTTTGGGTTAACTTTAGAGGTGTAAGAGCTAGAAGACGCTAGACGACTTTTAACCAACGGCCTTATTAAACTTTAAATACTAAAGGATCTCCATTTTTCATTATTTTCTGCAAAGCATATTTTTTACGTCTTTAACAGAAATTGAAGTGAGTGAAAGAAAGGATAAAATTTTATTTCAAAAAAAACGGTATAGAATTTGAGAAGAAGAATTCCGTGTAAAATCTTCATTCCGTGTAAAATCTTCATTCCGTGTAAAATCTTCACTCGAAGTGGTAGCTCTCATTCTGAGGCTTCCACCTAGAGCACGGTCTCCGGGCTCCAGCACAACATCCGCTACCTTCTGAGCTCGTCAAGGCGCAACTGGATGGACTACGCGCAGAAGGACGAGGCGAAGGACCCTCGCCAAAGGCGGTTGTTCGTTATAGCTTTCAAAGTCCTTGTTCACCGCCTAGTCGATACATCTATGACTAAACCAACAAAATAAATGATTTGATTTGAAGAAGAAGGTTTAAACTTTTCAGAGCTATTAATGCGGAGAAGGTTTTCTCTGTTGTCGCTCACATGCCTCTTCAGGCGCAACCCATCATTACTTATTCTGTAACTATTATAATCAAGATGAAAGTTTTGAATTATCTTTTTTCAGGCGTTCATAGCCTTGTGTGTGTTCGTCTCGATGATGACCGGCGGCCAGGACCAGATGAGCCTTGATTGGAACTTGATAGCTTTTACTTGGACGGCTTCCGTTCGTTCTCCAACTTCTTTTTCGAAGAGACCTTTCCTGGAGACCGACTCTTTCCGGTTTGCGCAACGGACGCAGAGCTCTAGTAGTACTAACATCCACGGCTACAAGTGAATGTGAAACAAAGTTCATTTTTATGATGCCATTTGACAAAAGTAGGCAAACAGAGAACCTCAACAGGTGCTGGTGAAATACGCTGTAAGAATCCAAGGATAGTTCATAACTTTTAACAATGTTTCTACTTTTTAAATTTTTTCGTCATATGTGTACCTTTTTCAATTGTTGCGGGTTGATTTGCCGGTGAACACTTTTTTTTTCTTTTTTTTTGCATCATGAGGTTAAGCCTAACCTTCGGTAGCCTGATAAACAATTTTGTGAGTATATAAATCTGATGTCTTTGATAATTGGTTGAAAAAATTGAATTTATTTTTCTATTTCACATAATGAAATTGCGAATAGTTAGGAAAATTTTATTGTAGATGTAATGATTTAAAGACGGCACAATTCAGTAAGTGGTAAAAACTGCTCTTTTTTAGTGACCGATGACTGCTTGTTTTGCATCGTGGAGCTTTTCGCTGATTTTGTCGGCAGCGTTGTTGCAAGCCGTCTTTGTACCCTGAGCCAATTCTTTCACCTGAAAGAATTTTTAAAACAAGTTACTGAATATACTTTTTTTAAAAAATCAGAAAAATCCCCAGTATTATTAATTTATGAGAGTAGTTGGCCGTCCTAGGGTGAGTTCTTAAGCCGAAGCTCACCGAATAACTCCAAGAGGCTCTCAAAATTCGGCTTCAAGTTAAGCGCTCAGAAAAACGGCAGGTCAGCGCGCACGTATAACTGATTCACGGCGGTAGTATGAAAAAAACACCGGCAAAAATTCCAACGGCGACTTTTCCGATTTTTTCATCGCTAGGGAACTTTCCGACGGCCACCTTTCCGACGAAACTTTTTCCGACTTTTTTTTCTCGATAAACTCTTCGTTTTACATCTTCCTATATAAAGTAGGTAGTTTGTTCATAATTAAAATACAAAGAAATAGGAAAAAAAAATGTTTATAGATGTTTTATAAACCGAAAAGCATAAGGGAAAAAAGTCGGAAAAAGTTTCGTCGGAAAGGTGGCCGTCGGAAAGTTCCCTAGCGAAATGAAAAAATCGGAAAAGTCGCCGTTTGAATTTTCGCTGGTGTTTTTTTCATACCACCTTCACGGCTGGCTTGAGCCATCGAAAAAAGGGTCCTGACACGATAATGCACGAGATAGCGCCGGGCTCGTGGAGAGCGCAGACAGGACACGCCCCTTAGCGTCCCAAGCTAGTCGTGAATCAGCTTTATCAGTTCAGGAGCATGGTAAACTTAGAGACCAGAGTCGTACTCAACACTAGAGTTCTCAAAAGTAAATGTTTGAACGAACGTTCAACCAAACATTTTCTGAACGTTTGATGAATTCGACCAATTAGTTAAATTTCACATGAACCGTTCTTTAAAAATTTCATTTTGGTTAAATTTTATAACTGAGCATTTAAAAAAAATGAACAATTACTTATTTTTTTCGAAAAAAATTTTTGGTTAAAAAAATGAACATTTAAATTTCATTTTGAAATTTTTTTGGTCAAAAAAAGTAAACATTTAAAAATTCATTTCGGAAATTTTCGGTCAAAAAAATGAACATTTAAATTTCACTTTTTGAAAATTTTTGGTCAGAAAAGTAAACATTTAAAGTTCACTTTGAAAATTTTGGTTAAAAAAATGAACATTTAAAATTCATTTTAAAAATTTTGGTCAAAAAAATGAACATTTAAAATTCATTTTAAAAAAATTTTGGTCAAAAAAATGAACATTTAAAATTCATTTTAAAAATTTTGGTCAAAAAAGTAAACATTTATTCATTACTTTATTCATTACTATTACGGTACTTGGCAGTATCTGTGTCGGAGTCAATTCTATCTCAGTCTTCTCCAAAATGAAATCTTGAATCGATTACTTCGAAATTCAAACTAATTTCTGGTTAAAAAAATTAATAAATCTGTTGGAAAAACAGTGATCTGGATGGTCAAGGGCAAAGCTAAAAGCCGGTTAAAGCCGAGAAAAATTATATGGAACCGGTCAAAAATGAGCAGACCGGAAGAAAGGTGCTATCTGGAGAATTAATTGAATGAGGAAAAAGAAAGAGTATTGATTTGGATTTTGGTTCGGAAAAATCCAGGTTCGGAAAAATTATCGGCCAAAAAAATAAACATTTAATTTTCACAGTTGAAAAAAATTTTTTTTACGAAAAAAAGTAAACATATAAAAATTCGTTTCGAAAAATTTTGGTCAAAAAAGTGACCATTTAAAGTTCATTTCGGAAATTTTGGTCAAAAAAATGAACATTTAAATTTCACTTTTGAAAAATTTGGTCAGAAAAGTAAACATTTAAAGTTCACTTTGCAAAATTTTGGTCAAAAAAAGTGAACATTTACTTTTTCACTTTGAAAAAAATTTGGTCATTAGGACGAACATTTATTTACTAGTCAGAATATGATTGTTTAGAAAATGACCATTTATTTTTCAGTCATTATTTGAAAAGTCACAAAATGAAAAGAATGAAAGTGATCAATTTTGGTTGATCTTTCAAAAACGACATTCGTTTGAAATGTCAAAAAGAAAATTTTTCGTTTTTGAAAAATGTCATTTTTTTCAATTGGTCATTTTGAGAACTCTACTCAACACGTTCTAAACAACGTCTAAGGGTCGCCGAGTTTGTTCTTTCCTTGTTCCTAGAGTACGTTTTGAACAATTTACATCAAAAGTTCAATTCGAGGCCTAAAAAACTGTCCTTGTATAGTCTGTTCAGATTTTGAATGTCAAGTCGCCGCTGAAGCTCCGCCCATAATGGTGCAATAAACCAATCAGAGAGCGAGCCATCCACAGAGTGTTTTTGAATGACGTCATTGCAGTTGACATTCAAAATCTGAACAGACTATAAGCGCTGGCATTCGACCGATTTGACTGATTTAAGCCAACCAAAGAAATATCTTGCCCTGCCGTTTATTTTTCGAAATGGGCGCTGCACTGCCGCTTTTGTTCTCAGCGGCGTAGGAAGAAAAAGAAGAGCCGATTTCCGGCAAAGGGTTTTCTAACCTTCTCGGTAGCCTCGTGAGCGTAGTCCTTGGTGATCTCGACGGTATTGTGCAGTATTCCCTCGTTGTGTGGCAGAGACGCGGCCGCCGTGTAGTTGTCGGTGGCAATTGTAGTCGTCGGCTGCGTGTTGGGATAATTTGTTCCCGTGTCCACCGGTTGGTTGTCCTGCACCGTGCTTCGATAAATCACGTGGCTGCTCATTTTTGAATTCTGAAAAGATTTGTGTGAGAGAGCCTTCAAAAAAAGAAAAAAGTAACGAAGGACGTGAAAGGGAAAACGGACAATCACGAAACGTCCAAACCTTAAAGCTGGAAAGCGCCAAAGCGCGCGAGCCTTCGGATAAACATGTTTTCGTGCTCATCGAATCCTTATTTTTTCTTTTCAATCCGAAGAAATTGGTCATTACCTGCTTGATTTGAACCCAAAAAGAACCAAACCACAGGTTGACGGTATGAAGTCTTTGCCTGGATCGAATGATTCGTTGAATTAATTTTTTTTTTTCGTTGCTCGCTCAATAAACGAACTTTCAATCAAATTTTTTTTATTTAAATTGCAATATAAATTTTGAGGAGATAGAAGTTTTTCATCTTTTGACGTGATCCTTGAGCAGTGTTTTGAAAAATAAACACATAAGACAAGAACTTCAAGAAAAAAAAAATCGTATATTTCATCCTTTAATGGCTGTTTACAAGATTTTTTGCATCGTGCCACTTTTCTTTGAACTTGTCGATAACGTGGTCACAAGCTACCTCGGCATCATGCGCTAGGCTCACCATCTGAAACACTGAAATTTCGAAAGAAAGTTTTTTTTTTGAAGTTCTTTGCGATAGGAGTTCTGGAATACTTAGTGCACCAAACGCTTTAAATAAAATTATGTATAAAATCTCAGTCAAGCTCAGTTTTTTTTTTGCTTGAAGTTTCGAAAATCCTCAGAATTCAAATTTAATCTGAGCGGCCAAACCAAACCTTCTCCGAAGCTTCATGAGCTACAGCGCCAGTGCGAAACTTCACCTCGTGCAATGGACTTCCGTGGTGGTAGTAATGGTTTGAACTGTGTCCTGGCTCACAGAATGGTTCTCTCAGCTTGGTTTTGGAGCACTGATGACACTCTTCCAGATTGGTTTGCAGCGGGAACAAATTTGTCGTCATTTCTGTCAAAAATATTCCACTAAAATCGAGGTTTAGAGACTCGAAAAAGTTTTTGTGAACAAAGGAACAAGATGCTCAAGTAAGAGCTAGTAAGAGGAAAGTCATGCTCATCAGATAAGACTTCCGAGGAAATTCATTAAAAAAAACATGAAATGATGAAAATCCATAAACCCTATTTTCGTCAGACGGAGTTTTTAAAGCAAACAAATTTCGAAAAACAGAAATCATCTATATATGGTCCGGTTCTGAAGGACATCAGGCACTCTTTACACGAGAAAAAAAAATCACGATAGATAGAAAGAAATAGAGAAACTGGTCTATGACAACCTATAAAAGACATGTTTGTCGCGAACCATCCATTTTTGAGAAAATACCAGAAAAACAAAAAATAAATATTTACAAAAATAAATACTTACATCATTTTTTTGCAATCTTTAAGTTCATGATTACAGTTGATCTCCTTGTAATCTATTCTAGTTCTTCGAGCGCTTTACTTCTGAAAGCTAGAAGATGATAGTCCATCCCCAATTGTTTTCGGATTCTTTTGAAGGTTCAGATATTTTTCTTGAAACTAGACAGGGCATGGAAAAAACTTTATTCATGTTTTCTATACAATTTTATACAATTCAAAAACATCGAAAAACCGTGAAGGTGATATGTCGTCATAGAAACCACTTTTCGAAATCTCAATGACCAGAAACGGACTTTTTTGCATCGTGAAGTTTTTCTTTGACTTTTTCGACAGTGTGTGAACAAGCATCGGCGCATTTAGCGTTCTGAAAAAAAAAATGATATATCGAAATCCATGCCTGAGACAGAAATTTTCGGTTAGACTGAAGTTTAACATAGGAAAGAGTTTCAGCTATCTCTACAAGGTCTTCGAATATCGCTAAATTTGGAGAGGGAGATTGGAGGTTATTGAAGGCCTCACGAGAGCTTTGCAAAATTTTAGTAGCATTTCTTTCGGATCACACACATTACAAATATTTTAAAGCTAAAATCAAACTTGGGAAGAACAATGTGTTCCGTGGAAATCACTTGGCTCGGCGTCTTTGACTGTGTAATGGTCCGTTCGATAAGGCGTTGAGTTAGTATCATCTCCATGTGGGATGCTCAAGTCAGGCGGATTCACAGCGCTGTGCTTCTCCAATTTAAGAACTTGTCCTTCTTCACTCATCTTCTTTCTTCCTGAAATGAAATATCGATTGAATGAACAAAAAAGAGGGAAAAAATTGAAAAATCAATCGATGCAAACACTTAAATACGAGGCGACCAACACACTGCAACAAACAAGAAAACACTTTTCACGTTCGGTGGTCTCTCAGCTGACTTTTCACAAACATTCGTCGTTTTTTTGTTCTTCCCGAGTTGTGTAGATTAAGATTTCAAACCGAGATGAATAAGGCGAGTTCAGAACTACTGTTTTCCCCGAAATTTTGAAAGAATTGTTTATTGAAGTCCAAGCGTAACAATTTCAGATTAAAACGAGCAGAGATAAACATCAATTTTCGGATATGGTTTTCATGGCTCCCGTAAGACTCTCCTTCACCTTGCCGCCAGCTTCACTGCAAGCTTTCATTGTCGCCTCAGCGACGGATTTCACCTGGAGAAGAGCCGTCGAGCTGCCTTCGATAAATACTAACTTTTTCTCCAGCTGTGGCGACGGATTCTTCTTCCTTGGTATAGTTGGGATCTCCGTTGGCAGCTGTGTAGTGATTCGAGGAATAGACGTGATGTGGTGGTTTTGGTGCGTCTTGATCAACCGGACCATTAGTTTCCTTTTGATTAATGTAAGCGTTCGAGAACAAAGTTCGCGACATCTCAGTTGAGCCTACAATACTCCATTCAAAAAAATTCTAAGTTATCAACGGTTTTTCACGGATTGTGTCTGAAAACGGTGAGCTAAATGTTGAGAAATAAATAGAAAAAGTCTCTTAATAATTCCATGTTTCGAACCGAAAAAGGGAAAAATCAGGTCAAAAATTTATAAACACCAAAGAAACTCGAGGCCGGAAATCGTGCATCAAGACCATCATTTCAAGAAAGGGCTAAAAAAGAAAGTAAGGCTGAAGTCCAGTGAAAATATAAAACATCAAAGTCCGCGTCAACATGTTTACTCCCTTCGAAACCCCGCTATTTACAATTTTCACGTTTTTTTTATTGACATACAATAAAAAAGAGTGGTAAAATCTTATAACAGAAAAATTCTTCAAAAGCGGAGAAGTCTATCAATTTCCTTGATGAAACTGATGATGATCAACTTTCTCATTTCTTGAATTCCTTTGAAGCTTTCATGCTCAGTTTTTTTGTATCATTAATGATCATTTTATGCAACTCGTCGAGAAAGGAAAATCATCAAAAATTTTTATTCGTTTTTCGGAAAGAAAAATAAATACAAGGTAGGATTTACAATTTGTAGAAATTCAATGTACACACTTTTTTTGTCTAGCGAGATTCTTTGAAGTAAAAAAATGTTGGATTGATTATCAAATTATATGTAGAGTAAAAAAATATAGAGGATATCATGATATCAGTTACGTGAAAGTATTGGTAATTTTAGTGTCCAGCAACTGCAACTTTGGCATCGTGGAGCTTGTCCTTGACGGCGTCGGCTGCATGTCCACACGCCTCCTTGACGTCATGAGCAGCATCCTTCACCTGAAAGCTTTCGCCATCATTTAATCGCTCTTAGGCCAAAATTGAACGTAGTTCTGTCATCTCCTATATACTCCTCACTCCGCTGAGAAATTTTTGAAGAATAGAACTATTCCTCTGTCACAGAAACTTTAAGCGGAAGCGCAATTCTATTACAGTTCTTTAAAGAAAATCAGGTGAAGCTAGAAGGATCTGATTTTTAACTTGGAAGCCTCGATTGCTGACCTTCTCCTTGGCGTTGTGCATGGCACCGCGTCCATGGTCCGTCGTATAGATGTTGTCTTCGGTGTAGAATCCGGTGTTGTTGTGGGCAACTGGCACAGTGCCGACCGGCTCAAGCGTGACTCCGGTGCATTTCAGGGGCTTCACCGACTCGACGCGCACCTTGCTGTATTCGTGAACCATTTTCAGTTGTCTTTTCTGAAACAGAAAAATTGAAACGTAGAATATAGAGCTGGAAGTGACCTTTCTACTTGCTCACCGCTTAAATACGGGCTCGACAAGGGTTCATAGGACAGAAGTCGCGCGAGCCTACACTGTAAATATGTTGACGGCGGTTCCGGCGATTTTTTATACAAGTTGCATGGGAATTGTTTATTTGTTGACTACTTCTCTTCAGAGACGCTGAGGGGATTTCCTAAAAACAAGCGATCCGTAGGAGAGCTATAGCTCAATGCTCAGTGAGCAATATGGAAAAGCAACGTGTTCGCTAACGAGAGAGGCAATTTTAATTTGCGGTTGGGATTTTCCTAAAAGTTAACCAGATTATTTCTTTATTGAGCAGATGAAGATATTGAAGAATTCAAACTGCACAGCTTCCTTATTTTCGAGAAAGTATGTCTCAAAGTCAAATAAAACTCTCACAATCCATTAAAAAATCCAATCCATTAAAATTTGGGGCTTTCGGACCTTATTTCTCGAAAAATAACAAGTTACGAAGGCTGAGACTTTCAGAATCTTTATCTGGTACACCAATGAGTGTTCTGCCCAATTTTCAGGAAATTCTTGACCGCAGTAAAATGAGCTCCCGTGTAAGCTTTAAAAATTAACTTGCTGTCGGAAAGTTTTTATCAAGTGGAAAATGAAGCTATAAGTTTTATACGGTATCCAATATTGCAAGCTTCATGTTTATCGACGATCACACTGTAACTTTCAATAAGCGAACTACTTCGAGTTGAATTTTTTCAAGGTTGAAATCCTTGTATCTGTTTTGAAAAACCAAGAAACCCGACTTCTTGAATGAGTTCCAACTTTTGAAAATAATATGAAATTCAAAATTTTCTTCCGACATTGTGAGCAACACTTTTATGACAGAGAAACATTTACCAACTGAGTTTTTTGTATTTATTATTTCCTCAGGCGCTTCCCAATGAGCTGAACTTGGACTTTTTTTGAAATCTCCAGCATTAGTGATATACGGAATATTTTTGTTGTTCATGATTAATTTTTTTAAATCAACTTTTTATTCCATGGAAAAATCGGAATGAAAAGTGGCATTATTATCATGTTTGTCGGAATTAAAGGAACATTTAGAAGCATGTACAGCAATGTTTAATGTCCGGCGACGGAGACTTTGGCGTCGTGCAGCTTCTCCTTGACTTTTTCGACCGCGTGGCCACAAGCTTCTTTCGTTTCATGAGCGACTTCTTTAACCTGAAATTAAAAATGTTGCGAGGTTTCATAGAATCGAGATAGTGGATAATGGTCGCTGACATGGGACGTCATTTTAGCGTAGGGTTCAGAATTTTTTCTAAATTTGCTCAAACAGTCTTTGCACGGCATTCCTAATGGGGGTGAGGGAAGGTGAGCGAGGTTTCAAAGTTTCTGAATTTACAGAAAAAATTTAGTGCGCGCTACGGATAAAATTACGTCACAATTACACTGAATATTCAACGTTAATAACTTGTTTGTTCGATCGCCTTCGGCTGAAGTACTGTAGATTTCAAATTTCGCGCCAAAATTTTTTTGACGTCTTGCCACCCCGTTTGGGAACGCCGTGCTTTGATGGACTGAGAGTCGATCCCTCATAGTCGCTATCTGCGCAAACTTTTCGTTTTGGATATGATTTTTCAAAGTTTTTATCCTTAACCATGTGTCGCTGTTTGGAAGGAATCTGGCCGCGCCACCAACCACTGCATGACAGCTAGTAGCGTGGTGCAGTGGTTAGCGTGTTAGACTGCGGAGCCCATGACGAAGGTTCGAATCCTTTTGCCGCCAACTTTTTTTTTGCAAGAAAATTTTTTCTGATGATGTGAAGTCTGCCACAACTTCAGAAACTTTTCAAAATTTAGTCCGGGGAAAAACAAAGTTGTTTTGGAAAGAAAATAGCTATCGAACTTATTAGAACGGTTATGCTTATAAATTCTTCTTCTGACTTATAAATTCTTCTTCTGACCATTTGGCATGACCGGCTCGCTAGCTTTGGCCTGAGGATCAACTTGAAGAAGACGGAATACATGACGACGGACGCTGACGAAGACGGAACCATCACTGTCGCCAACACGGATCTCCCCAGAGCGAAGTCGTTCAAATACCTTGGCTCGACGATTGCCGAAGACGGCTCAATCGCAAACGACGTCACCGCACGTATACAAAGTGCCTGGATGAAGTGGAGATCTACAACGGGCGTGATGTGCGACCGAAAGATGAGCGACCGACTTAAATCGAAGATCTACCGCACCGTGATCCGCCCAGTGGCAATGTACGGTACCGAATGTTGGCCAGCGACGGCGAAGGACGAAGCAAAATTGGCGGTCATGGAAACTACGATGCTTCGCTGGACCGCCGGTGTCAAGAGGCTGGACCATGTGAAGAACGAGGACATCAGGAAGAGATTCGGAGTGGCGCCGATCCGAGAGAAGCTGCGCGAAAATCGCCTGAGATGGTTCGGCCACGTCCTACGAGCCGACCCCACGTCCATAGCGAAGACAAGCCACACGCTGGAAGTCGATGGAAAACGGCCAAGAGGCCGACCCAAAAGAAGATGGATGGACACGCTGAACGAAGACCTTAAAGAGACAAAACTACATCCAGACCAAGCAGCCGACAGAACAAAATGGCGACAACGTTCCAGAAAAACGGACCCCGCGACCGAGCGGGACAGACTCTGAAGAAGAAGAAGAAGATGCTTATAAATTTCAATATTCTCATCAGATTTCTAGAAAAAACAACGGCAAAAAAAAGTTGGCGGCAAAAGGATTCGAACCTTCGTCATGGGCTCCGCAGGCTAACACGCTAACCTTTGCACCACGCTACTAGCAGTGTTGGGTGGCGCGGCCACAATCCTTCCAAACAGCGACACATGGTTAAGGATAAAAACTTTGAAAAATCATATCTCCAAAACGAAAAGTTTGCGCAGATAGCGACTATGAGGGATCGATTCCCAGTCCATCAAAGATTGTTTGAGCAAATTTAGAAAAAATTCTGAACCCTACGCTAAAATGACCTCCCATGTGAAAGGGAGTCTCGAAAAAGGCCGCAGAATGGCAGCAAAGATAGTCCTTCCATTTTTCTAGTATTTCGAAGGCTCGAGCAATGGTGAAGAAAAAGAGAGGCAGTAAAAATGGTACATAAGGGCCGAGAAAAGGCAGCAAAAAGGTAGCACAAAGGGAGCCTTCATCACCCTAAAAGGAAGATATCTATGGGGCCTTCCAGCAGCCTTTATGACCTTCGGAGGGTCCTTCCGACTTTACCCATGAAGTCTTTGTTTTCCAAGAAATATATTCAAGAATATGAAAATAAAATAAAGACAAACCTTCTCTTTTGCATTGTGAAGCACGGTGTCATGATGTTCAGAAGGGTATTCTTCGTCGAGCCGATGCTTTGAGACGTCATAAGTAGTGATTCCAGTGGACGTCGGATAGTTCGAAGCATTCGGCATGGCCGTCTTCGGCGCGTCGGAAAAAGTGTTGGTGTTGATTGGAAGAGTTTCCCCGGTTTTCAAGTTGATCGCTGTGTTGCCCGGGATGTGCGGCGGCTCGTGATTCATTTTCTCAATTGTCTGGATGCTGGTGGCGTTCATATCGCAGGAATATCTAAAAACACGAATGCTTTTTTTTTTGCAAAAAAATGGTGAGAAAGAAATGAGAAAAACGGATATGTGGGAAAAACGTTCTGGACATGAGTTTTCGGGGGGGTGGCCTGAACAAGAAAAAAAAGAATAACGATACCGTTCAAAAGTTAACAGAAAAGTTGCGGGAAAACCTGCTAAATTTATAATAGTGATTAATTTTAAGAGAATGTAAGCCTCGAAAAAACATATATTTGTAGGTGCTTTGGAGACAGCATGTAAAAAAAAGCTGTTCAAAGACCGGCCTCGGGCGTGGCTTATTTTCGTAAACAAACAACAAACAATCGCCACTAAAGTTTTCCTCTAGAAAATGATAAAATTATCTCTGTTCCAAAAATTTTTACAAAAAAAAACATTCACCACTTGGATCTCAGTCGTTGATCAGAATTATCTTCTCGTCGGAATGTCAGAAAGCTGAGAAAAGCTTAGCGCGAAAAGCAAACTGCCAAACTCGCCATGAAGTAAGAGTCGATCTGGCCAGAAAAACTCATTTTGCAAAGAGCACAAAAGCTTTCTCCACAATGACACTTCTGTTACCAACTCTTCTTTATCTCTCCCAATTTCCACATCAAAACACATGAAGTCCAAAAAAATTTATTTACATTCATTTTTAAAAGTTAAGCGTTTAAATATGTACAAATATATTAAACACCTCGCTTAAAAAGAAGAAAAAAAAAGTTTTTCGAAGAAAAATATTAATTGGAGATCATTTAGTGGCCAGCGACCGCAACTTTGGCGTCGTGAAGCTTGTCCTTGACTGCTTCCGCAGCGTTGCCACAAGCCTCCTTGACATCATGAGCAACTTCTTTCACCTGAATAAACAATCAATGAAGCAATTTATAATAATGCTCCACAATTTTCAAATTTCCTCAAGCTTGCAAAATGACTAGTTTCATATTAAATCGGTTTTCATATTAGCTAGGTCAACTGTGATAAAAATTCTGAAAATTTTTCAATAAAACTACCTTTTCTTTCAAGGTCGAATCGTGATGAACGTTGTCGATTGGGACACCTTCATAAGTGGAGCGAGTAACGGTAGTGGTTGTCGGGAAGGTGGTACCAGTAGTTGATGAATAGTCGTAGACGGTCGTCGTGTTGTTGGCAACAGGAACGTGTGTCCCAGTCGTCGCCGAGAAGCCAACGTCCGTCGGATTTGGAAGCGTCGAGGTAAGGTCGCGCACCGGGAAGTGCTGGTCTTTCTCGATGGTGTGAATCTTAGCAGTCTGCTGGCTGGGAATCATTGCGTCGATTGGTTTGCTGAGAATTTTGCTGCAAGTTTCATGGTAAGAAAATAATAACAAAAATAGAACGTCGTAACACGGAGATAAACAACAAAGAATATGTTACATACTCTATGTAAAAAAAAAGAAAAAATGAAGGATTACTGGTTTTTTTGAAGGTCTTTTTTTTATCAGTGTGAAACGGAAAGAACCAGTGAGAAGCTTGAAAACTGTTGAACAGCAAAATTTTTCGAAGCTTCAGGTTGGAATAGATCGAAATTAAAAGTAAAAATCGACTATTACAGCAATATGCAGTTATTATACAATATTGAAAATTTGGGAACCAAGAATGAGTGCTTAGAGGAGAGAGCTGCGAGGCTTTTATACAAAAAAAAATGCAGAGGGAATGACGAAAGAAATAAGAGGTCAACGACCAAAACCGGAGAGTAAACATGTCACACCGCGGTGCACCGTCAACAAAAACAAATAACGTTGTTTCCCTGGCCAGTCATCGAAAATAGAAAATAACGTGTCCACGTGGCGATCAAAATAAATTTAAAAAAACAACTTGAAGTTTTTTTTATTGATCTCAAAGTCAGGAAAGAAGAAAAAAACCAAATTCTTCAACAAATATCCTCATCTTTCTCTTATTTAGGTGCTTAAAAAGTTGCCGAATTATCGAAAAATTGGTGGTGTGAAATAAAGATCAGCGAAAATTCGAACGACGACTTTTCCGATTTTTTCACATAGCTAAGGAACTTTCCGACGGCCACCTTTCCTACGAAATTTTTCCCTTCTTTTTTCCCGATAAACTCTTCGTTTTGCTATATAAAGTAGGTTCAGCAAGACGCTTCTAGATCTAGGTGGTTAGGGAACTGCCAATCTTTTGAAAAATCTAGAAACCTTTTGATTTCAGCACCGCCAAGTTCAAGTGGCTTCTTCCAGCCTCTGTTCAGCAAAGCTACTTCATACCCAGGCTTGTGCGTCAGGCCGGGCCGGGCTTCAAAAAATTTTGAAGTTTCATTTAAAAATTTCCACCGAAATGTTACTTTTGAAACCATAGTTTTTGTTAAACTTTAAGCAGGCTTGTGCGAGGGCCGGCTTGTCAGCCTATCGGCCCCCCGGCCATTTCCCCAGTCCGGCCCGGCCCGGCCTTCGGGAGGCCTTAAGCTAGGGACCGCAAAGCCACGCCCCTTTTCGCGATAGAAAAAGTGGCTTTTTTTGGTTTTCAACTTTCATTTTGTTGTAGTTGCAAAATATGTGGAACTGGATAATAAATTTTGACACACATGCACAGAAAAGCTTCCTCTTTCGTTTAAAAAATATTTCACGCTTTTTTGATGCGTTCTCGCGGAATGTCGTACAAAAACGTGAATGCAACTGAAAAAGCTTGTCATTTTTTTGCTTTTTTTCATGTGTTTTTCAGGTCGAACGCACTTTTTTTCTTTTTTTTGAATAATGATTTTTGCTTCAAGTAACGGTAATTTTAAGACAATAAAATAAAAAAATTCGTCTTTGCCAAAAAAATTTTTAGGGAGTGCCGAAAGTCATAATTCAAAAATATCGTTAATAAGCGAATATAATCGAGTTTTTTTGTTTTTTTCAAAAATTTAGACCATGGGCTTACTTAATTTTTTTCTCCACAGCATATGTGCTTGAAAAAAAGTTGTTTGATACGCAAAAAAATGCTCTTGAAAAATAGAGAATAAAAATTAGCGGCGTTTATCACACAAAAAAACGGTCGAACGCAGGTTTTTTTCAAACGATTATATGCATTTACTAGTAAAAAAATCTTTCAATTAAAAAGAATAAAATAAAAAAATTCGTCTTTGCCAATAATTTACGGGGCCGTTTTAATGCAGCGATCGTTAAACGAGGCAAAAAAAGCACTAAAAAAACAGTTTTTTTCGAAGTGAATTTCCACGGAAAGTTTGAGTAAAGATTTGCGAACATATTCTGATGAAAAATAGCTAAATTACTTCAAACTTTTATTTTTTTGAAATAGGCAATCTGTGCTATCCAAACGGCTCAAAGGGTATGGGGGATGGAAGCTCCCTTGCTAAACCTAGCAACTTGGCGCAGCGCGTGCGCTGCGCATTGTCTTTTGAGGTCGCGAGTTCGATGCCCGCAAGCGTCAGTTTTTTTTGGAAAATACCGACTTTTTTTCGGCAAACTGGCAAATTTTTATTATTTTAGCACTCTATTATTATTGTTTACATCATAATAGGCCAGTATCAAAAATTTGTTCTAGAAGAAAAAAATTAAGAAAAAAATGTCAAAAAAATATAATACCAAAATTTCAGTACTAAAAAAATGGTGCGCGGCGCGCCACATTTTTTTCGTCATAACTTTTTCATTCTTAATCTTTTTTTCGAAAAAAACTAAACGTTTCTGAGTTTTTGAATCAAAAACAGCTATCAAAACCATACGAAGCTGAATGCTGAAAAAAAATTTTTAAAAATTCGTCTGCGGTCCCTACCTTAAGCAAAAATGGCCGGCTCGGCCCAAAAAGCTCAAACTTTCTCCATGTTGAATTTTTCGCTATTTTAACGAGAAAATGCGGTTTTCGCTTATTTTTTCTCATAGAGTTATTAGAGACTAGGATTCAACAAGTAAAAAAACAGTTTTTCTGGGACAATTTTTTTAATAAAATTCAAGATTTTTCTCCGAAGCCCGGCCTGGCCCGAGCCCGCGCAGGCGTTTTTTCAAAAATGAAAACCCAAAGCCCGGGCCAGGCCGGTCCGGGCTTTGGGCGTTCATTTTTGGCCCGCAAAAACGTAATTTTTGTCGTAAAAAAAATTTGATATCCGACTAGAAAAAAATCTTTATTTTACCCTCCATCAATATGCGTAGAAAGTTTGTCATCACAAAGTGAGACAAGACCTCGTACTCCAAAACTGGAAATTGCTTCGACACACTTTGAAAAGCATTCCAATCAAAAGCCCGATAACCGGAGTGATAGCGCATGCTAACAGTCTGGAAAGGGAAAAGAGTTACAAGGTTAAAAGTATGACGATCGCTTCTTCCGTGCAAAACTTTGCGTTACGGATGACGACCAGTTTGATTCTGTATCAGAATTAAAAACGTCATAATGTCAGATTCTACAGCAAGGCTGATCTGATATAAGCCGATCGAGAGCACGCAACAGTGCCAAGTCCGGCTGAGACTTTCCATCATATGGTAGGATCCAACAGGAAATATTGATGGAAAAGGGCCTTATAGGAATTTAGTCGAAAACTCGACGGAGCCTAACAGTGCCAAACGGGGACAGTCTGCGAACTAAAGTGAGACGTCCTCGTGGATCCGAAACTGCAGGGATTTGGTAGCTGACATTCCGAATCTTCGCTCTAAGCGATAAAAAAAGATTTGGAACGTCCGAAACGGATCGCAATCAAGAGGAACGGCCATATCTAGTCTTCCAAAACGAACAAAATGTTCGGGTTCGACCGGAGGCGTTCAAGACGCTTAGGTGGGAGCGGAAGGCAATAAGCCTACGTGAGTCGTCTACCGCGACGGCGATTCATCGGAGTTTCTCTTGAGTGCTCTGAAAACTCAGAGGTTTCATCGCAAGAAACAGTAATCGACAGTCCAGAGATTCCTGGACAGCGCTGTGTGTTACAGTCATAGCAGGATTACTGGGCGAAACCTTATAAATGAGTGTCTTCGATTGCTTAAATAGGCGAATAAGTATAATCGAAACCCTGGAGAGCAGCTTCCCAAAACTCTATCGAGCAAAAAGGATGCCCTAGCTACCAATCCTCCAGAAGTAATATCAGCAAACACTCTTATGACCGTCAGCTGAAGGGCGAAATCGGAGATTTTTACTTCGGCTAAGAGCCCATGAAAAGAATTCAGTGATGCGTAATCATAGAGAACTTCTGAGAAGGGAGAAGCCTGATAGATAATCCACGACAGGAAAAGAAATTTCCAAAAGAATCCTTGCAAAGAGGCGGGGTGGTATCGTGGTATGCGACCTCAGCGGAAGTTACGTCACAAAGTTAGACGCTTCCAGAAAGAGGTCACTAGAATTGTCCACGTGCTTATTGAAATCAATCAGATGGTACATTCGGAAAGGTTCAAAGACCGAATAAGAGGACCAGGGAATTGTTCCACTGGCGTCTCTATTGTGATCATAAATTTCCGATAACACGCAAGTCAGTTCAATGAATTAGAGATCAAGAAATCCCAGAGCGGGCAGGAACTCAAAGGAGGCCTCCAGTGGGATAATGTTGCATCATAAATGATCTCTGGAAAGAGCTTAGCCGGTAAACCGAGTGGTTCAATCATCGAAAAATACCGCAAAGCAGACCAATGGGGAAACGGAGAGCAAGTGTAACAAAGGAAGAACCTCAAAACGCTGGTCGCTACGACCTCTCGGTTCCACCAGGTTCATTGGACGCCACAGATCGCACAGGAAACGCAAAGAAAGGGACTAAAAATTGGACAAATCTTCGGATGAACCGTTCATAACAGTCCTGGCGAAATATCATTCCTGGAGAGGCAAACCTTGGCAGATTCGTAGATCCTGACGGATCCAACAGTGTAGGTTATGCACCAAGTGAGAATCCCAAGTTCGAGCAAATCTGTGTAGAGAAAGCGAGAATCTGTTTGGAACTAAAAATACGCCCTGCTATGAAGCGTCATTATTTCCAATAAGCCTAATGAGCTATTGGATTCAAGATTCAGTTTAGATTTTTTCTCAGTATGGAACAGTGCAGTAGTTCCATTGCTTACTAGCAGGATTGATTCGAACAAGTTTTGAATTCAGAGGTGCTCAAAGAGAAGCAAAGACAAACCTCTCCAGTTGCTAGAATAACGGTGTCGAATACTAAGAATTCGTCTGAACAAATAACTGACAGGTCTCGGACGATAGCAATCGCTGGAGTGAGACCAGGGCAAGCTATGCTCTCAGTTATCAGACTGAACGGAATTCTTAGCTATTAGAACGGTGAAAAACTGGCTTCGGACTCAGATAGGCAGAGCAACCCTCGAATCGGTTGACGATCCGTAGAGGAGCACTAAAAGAAGTCCTGAGAAGCAGTTCTCTCTAAACTAAGCGAAATTGTGTCAAAATACACATCGCGAAATCCTGAAACAGGACCGTTAAGGCCTCAGGAGACCCATCAAGGAGAGACTATCATCGTGCTCACACCGAGCTAGTTCAGGAGGCACACACAACAAAGAAGTTGAAGGTTGAGGTTTAGAGGCTGAGCTATCAGTCGAAGGCGTCGCCAGATGGCCCCTTCGCGAGGAGAGCTTCAGATAACGCTCAAACGCCTTGCAAGCAGGGAAATCCCAAATTCCGAGGCTTTTAACTAGCTATGTGATCGTTTCGTAGTATTTGTATATAATGTTGTATTTTGCTAGACAACGCAGTTGTTGACGTAAAATATCTATTATATATTAATACGAAGAAACGATCAGATTTCCCACCCTAGGTATCTTCACAAGAGAAGATAAATTTTCCCACCCGTGGGGAATTCGGTGAGGTAATCAAAGCGTACAACAGGCGCAGAAGGTCAGTGAAAAATACGGGCATACCCGCATGGCCATCGTTACTGTTAACAGCAGCTCAGCTGAACCGCTACAAATTGGCGAAATGGTTGTCTGAGGTGAAGCAAAGCACAAAAGTGAAGCCGCAACGCTCAGGTCATGCCGCACACAAGAGATGCGTTTGTGTATCGCCACGTGATCTTCGAACACGTGGAAATTTTAAAAACTTCAGTAATGGACGCAAAATGAGACAGCAATGTGATCGTTTCTTCGTATTAATATATAATAGATATTTTACGTCAACAACTGCGTTGTCTAGCAAAATATAACATTTTTTTTTCGTAATTTCTGAGTTTCTTTTTTCGACTACTCGAACGCTTTTTGAGACAACTTGACAGTTATAAGCCAGAATCGCCCCCCACACTGTTTTTGCCCCCCGCGTTCCAACAAGCCCCCCACCAAGCCAAGTTCCGATCTGTGGGGGGTAAAATAGGAGGACTTCATGTGGGGGGAAGAATCGAACGCGGGGGGTGAATATGTATTTTAGAATGGCCCCCCACAGTACAAAAACGGGGGGCGATTCTGAAAATGCCTAGGCAATCTTTCATATTTGCCCCCCGCACGGCTTTGAAATAGTCCCCCAGAGCTCATTCGAACAAGCCCCCTCCCATTTCAGAATGGCCCCCTCCATTTCAGAATGGCCCCCTCCCATTTCAGAATGGCCCCCTCTATTTCAGAATGACCCCCCTCTATGTCAAGTATTTTATTTATTTGACGAATTGTTCACTGTGGCTCAGTTTTTTCGAAGCGAGCCACAGTCGGCTTCGCGCTATGCGCGCTCCGCCTCCGTGTGAAGCCTTAAAAACTAAGCCTATTTTTCCTAAGTAATTTATTAATTAATGTGCATGAAAAAAGAAAAAAAGCAAAAAAATTCTATTCCTCAGAACAATTACTTTATTGAAAAACTAATAAAGTTCATCTTAAATTTTTTTCTAAGTGGCCAGCGCCCATAATTTAATGATATTCGTACGTATCTCGGCGAGACGTACCCGTAAACTTCTTTTGTCTGACTTGAACTTCTCATGAAACTCGGTCAGCGACCTAATTTCTTCCATGGTCTAAAAAAACAAATCACAAAAAAATTATTAAATTCACAAAAAGAACACGAATTTACATGCGAAAAATACAAAAAAACCATTTGAAACAACCAAGAACGACGAATGATACGAAAAAAATTAGAAAAATAAATTAAAAAAATGGAAGCTCTGACACGTGTCCTGCGTGATCGTTGCGTGACTTTTTTTCGGTGTGGGGGGTTATACTGGATAGTTCCGGGGGCTATATTGGATAAGTGTGGGGGGCTTGTTCGAACGTGTCGCGGGGGGTGATATCCAACATTTGCGGGGGGGCTATACTGTAATATGCCCATCATATTTTTTATTGCAGTAACTAGAAAAAACTCAGTTGCGTTTTTTCTTTGTTTGAAAAAACTCACTTTTTTTTTTGAAAACTCATGAATTTTCTGTTTATATATTTAGAGACCGCAGAGCCACGCCCCTTTTTGCGATGGTGAAATGCACTGGTTTTTTAGATTTTGTGTTTGATGTTTTCGTAAAAGCACAATACTGAACCAAACACAGAGAAAATTGGGAGAAACATAGAGAAAACCTTCCTCTTTAATCTGATTTACTTTTCTCCCGATTTTCGTAGCGTTTTAGCGGAGTGTCGTACAAAAAACCAAAACTACTTTTTTTCTTCGGGTTTTTAACCTAATTCCATGTCGTTGGCGCCTTTTTTTATTTTTCGAATTCGATTCTTAAGTGAAAAACAAATCTTTTAAAACAAAAAAATTAAAATTTTTACGGTGCCTAATCTTCGTGAGGCCGCGCAAAGTTGAAAAATGTTGTACTCGGTTTCGAGAGCGTGTAAGTAAAAAAATTTTTAATTTTTAACTTGTGGTTTAAATTGTAACTAAAAACTTTATTAGTATACAACTTATTCCGAAAACTTTGTTTTCTGAGAAAAAATAGACAGTGAAAATTTCGAAATTCATTTTAACATGGTCAGATGTCGTTGGCGCTTTTTTTATTTCTTAAATATTAGCGCATCTCATTTTTCAATCAATTAAAAAAATAAAATAAAAAAATTTCCACGGTGCCTAAAAAGTTTAATCAGTGTTAGTTTGAAACCAACGTTAAAATAAGAAAAAAACGCCGAAAACGGAAGCATTTTTGAACTGAATCTCTATGAATAAATTATTTTTAGGTGGTCCGAACACACGTGACTAATAATTGTTCAACTATCATAACTTTTTTTTTGAACAAGATTGTCGGTAAATGCTGTACTTTGAGGTGAAGTGGTGTATAGCGCGAACGCCTTTCATCTCCAAGGGATGGACGTGGAGCAGCGCAAGTGCGCTTGCATACAGTTTTGATGTCGCGAGTTCAATCCTCGCAGCGGCGATTTTTTTTATTTTCCATGAAAAAATAGCTTTTCTCTTCAAAAAACTTGTTGTTTTATACTGTTTTAATAACTAATTATGACTTTGAAAAACCGAACTAAACTACTGAAAAAAATTTAAATCCGATATGAAAACAAAATGAACGACCAAAAGTGTAAAAATCTAAACTTTCAGTACTAAATTTCGCGACTTTTTTTCTACTGTTTTGACGATAACTTTTTTTTGTTCTTAACCTTTTTTTCGAAAAAAACTAAACTTTTTTTGAATAGTAAATTAGAGCAGCTATTCAACCATAGTAATATTAAAGTTCGAAAATTTTCTTGAAAAATCGGGCAAAGTCCGAAAGGCTAGAGAAAGGGTGAAAAAAAGGCAGAGGCAGTGAAAAAGGGGTGGAAAAAAAGGGTGAAGGAAGGGTGGAAAAAAAGGGTGAGGGAATGGTGGAAAAAGGCTGGAAAAATGCTGGAAAAAAAGGCAGAGGCAGTAAAAAGGGGTGGAAAAAAAGGGTGAAGGAATGGTGGAGAATGCTGGAAAAAAAGGGAGAGACTGGAAAAAAAGGGTGCCGAAGGGTCAATTGTTAAAAACTCTCTTTTTAAAATCCTTTCAAGTTTTTGATTTCTTTTTCTATTCGTGAATTATATTTTCTCGTTCGTTGTTTTAATGTGTTCAATTAGTTTCAAAGACAAGGATATGAGGCATAAACTTTTGTGAAAGTTATATATCGTATACGAAAAAAACATGTTGAAACGTTTGAATGAAATTAAAAAAACAAATTATGAAATTACAAAGAATCATGTAACTTCAGATCTCCTCTCACGATTAAGGATCAGATTCCCGATTACGATTAATGCCAAGATGCGAAAAGGTTTTAGCTGGCCGGGGAATCGCCTTCGGGCGACGGTTTTTTGGTAAGTAAATTATTTGAAAAAATGTAATCTTGAGCTTCTTTGTTCCGTTAATTTAATTTTGTTATATTTCACGGCATGCTGAAAAAACTCGGATGGTTCGTTTAGTTCGGTCGGACTTTCCAGGCAAGAAAGGTAATTATATTTTTTTTTATGCGATTCCTGCTTTTCGAAATTCCTCGTTGAGCGTTCTTCAATAAAACTAAATTCTTTTCAGTGCGGAAGAAGCTGATCTGAGAGAAGCACAAGAACAAGGTGCTGGCGATGTCAACGAAACAACTATTGATGAAGAACCTTCAAATATTGATGTGGTTGGATGAAATATTTATTGATGTGTTCTTTAAGGTGTTTTAACTGTCACATAGGCCATTCCGCGACAGCTTGTCACGTTTTTCTTTTCGCCAAAAAGACCGTATATATCAAATTTCTGCTTTTATAACGGCAAGAAACAACGGTCTTGAAGCGAAGTTGGTGAAATTTGACCTGGCCTTTTGGCGGAAAGAAAAACGTGACGAGCTGGCGCGGATTGGCCTATAGACATTTGTGTCTACTTTCCAAATCTTAACACGCTGTCTCTGTAATTCTCAAAAAGAGTGGGTACAATAGAAAAAATATTTTTTGGTTTTGAGGAAACTTCACCCGCTGTGATAGTCTGTCATCAGAAATGCCGACGCAAGTTTTCAGTCCGATTCCTCCTACCGTAGCTAGGTTACGGTAGGCAGGTGCGTCTTTTCGTATTTAGGAAACTATGCGTTCTTTCTAGGAATACCTACCGGTCATCTCGGAAAATCGCTTCGAAGAGGCTCAACTTGGCATCTGTCGGGGAAAATCGCCCGCGGTTAGAGATTTCTACCTCTCTTCTCTCTTCAGATCCGGTGCTAGAGTTTTTTTCATTTGATAGAGCAAGGTTGTACTTCACAGATGATAGTGTTTCCTCCGACTTTCAGCCTACCCTTCTCACAAAAAATTCAGTTTGAAGCCGATTTTGGCCTAAAAACAACGATTCTCAGATTTCAACGATTTTTCCTGAGCTCAGTCCTACGGAGAAGTCGGAGGAAACACTATCATCTGTGAAGTACAACCTTGCTCTATCAAATGAAAAAAACTCTAGCACCGGATCTGAAGAGAGAAGAGAGGTAGAAATCTCTAACCGCGGGCGATTTTCCCCGACAGATGCCAAGTTGAGCCTCTTCGAAGCGATTTTCCGAGATGACCGGTAGGTATTCCTAGAAAGAACGCATAGTTTCCTAAATACGAAAAGACGCACCTGCCTACCGTAACCTAGCTACGGTAGGAGGAATCGGTCTGAAAACTTGCGTCGGCATTTCTGATGACAGACTATCACAGCGGGTGAAGTTTCATCAAAATCAAAAAAATTTTTTTTTATTGTACCCACTCTTTTTGAAAACTTTTGAAAATTACAGAGACAGCGTGTTAACTTGTTATTTGTTTTCTTTTGTTTCTTCTGTTTTTATATTCCTGTTGTTGTTAAAGTTTGCTGCTTCTATCAATTCATTTCCAAACGTTGACCGAATAAAATGATATCAGCATGTCTACACTCTTAAAAGAATACTAGAATAACGTGAACATGGGCTATAAAAAGGGTGGAGAAAGGCTATGAAGAAAAAATCGTGGAAATGGTGCGTAACGGGTGCATAAAGGCAGAAAAAGGGTGCAGAAAGGCAGCAAAAAGGGAGCCTTCGTCACCCTAAAAGGAACATTTCTATGGAGTCTTCCAGCACCCTTTGAGGACCCTCGGAGGGTCCTCAAAGGGCCCTTCGGACTTTGCCTATGAATTTGGTTGCGGTCCCTATATATATTTCTCCTTTCTTTCTTTTCTTAAATATAAGGAGTAACCGGCAGTAAACCATCTCTCGGTTTTTCAAACCGTTTTCAAGTAAGTTTCAAACAAATCAGAATTTCTCCGACATTTTGCAAACTTCTTCCCATGTACCTTACGGTTGAAAAGATATGCCTATTCTTCGAAACCTTGAGGTGCTTGCTAGGATTTATTCACAAATCAATAATTATAACTGTACATTATGTATTGATTGTACAAAAAAGCTGTGATTAATTTATGCGCAGGATTCCTGAGGGTCGAAATTTAGTGGCTGCCGAACTTGTCCTTGATGGCTTCTTTGACGTCATGGGCAGCGTCCTTGACCTGTAAGATTCAAAGAAATGAACATTATTCAGGATTTTGCCAGGTGTCAATAGAGAGAGAAGAAAAGTGTTTGAGGTTGGCAAACCTTCTCCTTGGCATCGTGCATAGCTCCTTTGGCGTGAGCATCGCGGCATTTGCTGTCGCCACAGCGATTCTCGATGCGATGGTCCTCGACGTAAGTAGTTCCTCCGAAAGCTCCGTCGACTGGGTGAACGTTCCTCTCCTCGACGAAGTGTTGCTCGCCACCATGGACGCCACCTTCGCGGTGGACCTCTGTCTTCTCGTGAATTCCGCGGCTGTTCATGATTTTTTCTTTTTCGGTGTTCTGAAAATTCAATTATATAAAAAAGGATAAAAGGAAAACAGACGGAACGAAGAATTGAAAGTTAAAAGAAACTGTGAGTTAAGCCTCTCCAACTTGTCTTAAATAGGAACACTAAAGGTCCAGTGATCAGATAGACTGTAAACAGACCTTGTTTTCCTTTTATTTTCCTGGTGGTCGACTAACTAAAACGTGGTACGATGAATTTCGAAGAAATAAGATGACGTTTATGGAAAAAAACATTTTCATTTCAATGAAGTTTTTCAGAGTTGTTGTTCCCGAAAGGAGATGACCAAAAAAATCGTATTATTTGTCAACAACATAAAAATATAAAAAAATTTTTTTATAAAAAAACTTTGATCTTCGAGTTTATAGATGCCATGTAACATATATGTATATCGATCTCAAAAATTGTTTCTTAAAAAAAGATCTGTTTTTTTTTTCAAATGTCGTTCCCTCTAATTTTTTCGCTCCTTGGAAGTCTATTTTGATCTGGCATACCTCAAGCATAGATTCCAAATGGCTTCGGAAGAATGGAAACCTTGAAAGGATTTCTTTTTTTTCGGCGTATTAGACGGAAAATCTAATTTCTGAGAAATTTTTTTTGTTTTGAATTCTGAATTTGGCCTATAGGCCTGAAATATCGGGATATCAAAAAAAGGTAATAATATTATCGCTTTTCCTGATTCAGGGACTCGAAAAGCGTGAGACTGTATTTTTTTTTATCACGAGGTTTTTCCTTGTTCTAGTACACTGCGACGCATAATTATAGACCCACCCTAATTTCTCCGATTTTAAGAAAGATTGAAAAACTTTCAGCCACCAAACTTTTTTTGTGTTGAACCTTGTTGATAAGGAACATAATCATATCATGATTATCAATCACCCAGTTGAAAAGTTTTTCAAGATACGAGAAAATCTGATTTTTGACCGAAGCAGAATTATAGACCCACTATAAGTAATCAAAAAAATTCATTTCACAAAATCAACGAAGTATAACAAAAAAATTAATTAATAATGTGTGATGCCTCCTTGTTTCTGAGCGACTTCGAAAATCCTGTTCGGCATGCTGCCAACGAGTGATTGCAGCAGTGACTTGTCCAAACCATCCCACTCGGCACGAATCGCTCTTTTCAGATCGTTGACCGTTGTGTACTGCTTGGCATTCGCGTAGACCCTTCGTACCAGGACTGACCATAAATTCTCTACAGGGTTGAGTCCAGGAGTGCACGCGGGCCAGTCCAGAAGAACCACGTTATTGGCCGCAAACCAAGCCAATTTGGATGCATTGTCTTGTTGGTAAATCGTATTAGCACGTGCTGGGCAAGCAGTTGTTGGTAGTCTTGCGAATTCGTTCTGGTCCCAATAAAAGAAAGAGCTACCGTGCCGTTGCCGCAGAAAGCCGCCCAGACCATGAGGCTGCCGCCGCCGAAGTTTCTCTTGGAGAAGTACATCGGATCTTTTCTCAAATCTCTCCAGTAGTGAGCGTACCCATCTGGCCCATCAAGGTTGAGTTTCTTCTCGTCGCTGAAGATGGTCTGAACAGAAAAATTGGGAATCATAAGGTGATAGAAAAAATTGATACCTTATTCCAATCCGTGGCCATGTTAGAGCGTGCAAACTGGAGCCGTTCATTCTTATGGCGTTGCTGTAGACGAGGTGCTGCCTTCATTAGAGTATTCACAAGACGTTTTCAGGAATTTCGGATCTGAGGCCGTATGCAATAAAGTGGAAAATGCATTTTCCAAGCGAAAGAAAATGGTTTTTCTCGGTAAATGGCATTTTTCCGTATGCAATAAAATGGAAAATGCGTTCGCTTTCCATTTTCTTTGGCGAAACCATTTTCCTACTCGAGGGTCGGTAAATGGCAAGGAAAATGGTTCGCCAAATGAAAATTTTATCTATTTTTTTCGAATTTTTTGTGTTATGGGCCTAGTTTTGGTTGGTTTTTGTTGTATATGTGAAAAAGTATACATAATAACTCAAAAATTCATATAAAACTTTTATTTGTAGCTTTTAATGAAAATTTGAGCCGATTTTTCAGAATAAATAGGTTGTTTTTGTTTGTTTTTTTGTGTTTGGTGGTACGAAAAAAGACTATCAAAATTTCGAACGGCGACTTTTCCGATTTTTTCATATCGCTAGGGAAAATTTCCGACGAATCCTTCTCCTACTTTTTTTTTCTCGGTAAAATCTTCATTTTAAATGTTCCTACATAAAGTGGGTAGTTGATTCATGATTAAAACACAAAGGCGAAAAATTTTAATAGATGTTGTATAAACCAAAAAATATAAGGGAAAAAAGTCGGAAAGGATTCGTCGGAAACTTTCATGTGCTCCCACAGCAACAACAATCAATTGAAAGCGTGACTTAGATTCGAAAGACGCTTCGCGAACACACGCAGCGGAATAGCGGAATGTTGTTCCGTGAAATTTCAACTCGTGGCAAACAGACTTTATCACCGAAATAAATTCATAGAAGAATTAAACGTTTCATTGCCAAAAAGTGAGAATACCTTATTCAAAATATGTACAATATGAATTACATTAGGTTTTCAAAGAAAGGTGAGCCACTTCAGTGTCCTGAAATGGTTCCCATGCGAGCAGTCATTTCTTTTCCAATCGTATCCGTTGTTTGAAAGCACGTTGCTCCATCATCATTGGCAAAGTTTCCTATCTGCAAAAAAACTTTGAAAGATTTTTTTATAAATTTTAAGAAAGACATGTTTTCAGAGGTTTTTCCTTCTTTCAACATTTTTCCTAGAGTTCGCAACTTCTTTGATATTACTACTGGAGCAGATCGTGAAGGTAATGAAAGCATGTCGAAGGCTGTCGTTAAACGTTAACGTCTTTTGTACGGTATTCGCATGCGTGCAAACACAGCGACACAACTGCTGAAAATTACTTTTCGCGAGAAGATTGGTGGCGTCATGGCGAATCCACGCAGTGCTCACACCTTGGTACCGCGAACAGGACGCGAATCCGACGTGTCGGGGCATTTTTAGTGGCTACTTTAGTAGCCTCAGCGCTCTTAAGTGATCCCTAGAATTGACCAGAAACGTCCGGAGCACGTCCGTTTCGCGTTATATACCAATGTCGGAGTGGGGCGTTTAAACTCTGCCCTTTGCCGCGATATTCAATTCTTTTTTACCCGTTTTGTCGGTTTTGGTCATTTTTTCAAGGTTTTTTTTCCGTTTCTCTATTTCAGTAAATTTTTTTTGTTCTTTGGGACAGTCAAGTTCGTAAACTAGTGCATAGAACGCGTGTTTTGAGAGTAGTTCAGTCTGATTTAACATGTTAGTTCAGAAGTTATAAGATTCCGAAATTATTGAAAATTTTGGCTTTAGCTTATGTTGACTAAAAAGAATAATAAACCCCAGTCGCCATCGTGGGGGACTGGGGTTTTTAACCTTCAGAAATCATATTTTGATTATCTCGAATTTCTAATGCCGTGTTCAAAGTAATTTCCGCGAAATGCAAAATGATCTCTGACTCTCCAAAATTTAGTGATCTTTTCCTTTCCCTAACGGGTATTTTGCATTTCGCGGAAATTACTTTGAACACGGCATAACCTTTTGAGGTCTCAATAACTCTAGTTAAGCTTTTGATGACAGAAAAACTCAAGTTTCTTTCGCACACAGTTGGGGAATATGTTTTTCAGTGAAAAAAAATTTTGATCGTTTGAATTTTCAAATTTTTGTTGAGTTTAGGTTGATTAAATTATGAAAAAGTGCGGGGGAAACCCAAATACTTTTGTTTCGTGGCTCCCCCACGATGGCGACTGGGGTTTTCCGAGTTTTGTTGGCACCCGAAGGATGTCTCCGAATATTTTAGACTCGAGACTCGTTGATTTTTTGACGAAATATAGATTTTCGAAGGTTTTTACTGTAATCCTTTGAGCCACCGTATCTCAAAAACGGCGAATGATGCTATTCAGTTTTTTTTTTCAAAAAAATCCTATAAATCGTTTTTTTACAACATATTTTATTTAGAGAAAAAAAGTTATCATAACACCCTTTTTTTCCAACCCAGCCTGAACCCAAATGGCGCAGAACAAGTCTTGTGCAAAACTGCTTCATTTTATTTTATGACTGGCATTGCTTTGAGCAACAATAAAAGCATTTTAAAATATTTAAAATATATTTCAATGGAAATTTGATTTTTTTTTTTCCGTTTTGATATTGATCCATTTTTAAAAAAAAATTCTAAAAACTTCGGCAGTATGTAAGTTTTCGTCAGCGGGAAATGCACCAGAAACATCTTATTTGACGAGCCGAGATAAACGCGAGACGCTGGCGGTACATTGACGATTTCGCAAACAACTCGCTTTTTTTCTCGCGCTGGTCTTGCACTTTTCTAGGCGCGAGCTTCTCTCGCAATTTGAAAATTTTCTGAAATGCAAGATAAATGCGCGGTCGCGCCGAGAAAAATGCGAGATCGCGCCGAGATAAATGCGAGATCGCGCCTAGAAAAAAGCGAGATTTTTGCGAGTACGTCAATTTACCGTCACCGAACTCGCGTTTCTCGTCAGTTATTCTTAGTGTACAAACGCCATGACGTGTGTATCGGACAAAACGAAAATAGCTTCGAAACGCAAAAAAATTGCTTCAAAACAAAATCTAGTACTGTTTTAGAGCAACTTTGGCGCGCCGATGAACATGATTTTTCGTTTTGAAGAATGTTCCATTTCTCCGATGGACACGCCATAGGTAATTTCAAGACGCTCTGTATCTTAATTTCAAACTCTGCTCAATAGCTCTCGACGTCGAGCCCATGGACGGCTCTAACTCAATTTTTTTCAATGGTTTTCTGATGGTGTTTAGAATTTTACAGATTGGGAAGTTTTTCTGTGATTGCTTCAGTTTCAACTTTCCAAAAATTGGGTCTCAGTATTTTTTTTATTGTTTTGTTCTTCTCTTGCTTGTCTCTATTGTGCTTTTCATATAGAAAATTTGAAAAAAAAACGCTGCATAGATTGTTTTTTGCTAGAAGTTTTTATAACTTTTATAATTGGATTTTCAGGTATCAAGTCTCAAGAAAAGGCTTTGAAGATCTGTTCAACAACGTATGTTTTTGCTAACAGGTATTATTATATATATGCTCCCTGCACTTCAAAAATATTCACTAAAAATTAGAGAAACTAATATTTGAAATTTATTTTTTTTAAAATTTTTTTCTTTGTGTTTGACGCGCGCAGCGAAAATGTTTTCTGGTTCAAAAGCACGAGCCGAAACGCAGCAGATTCCCACGACGTGATTGGTTGGCCCCGCCCAGCTGACAAAAAAACATTATTCTGAAAAATAAATTTATATTGGATGTTTTCCAAAAAGGCGGACCAAATCACATCGTGGGACCCTGCTGCTTTACGCTGCGTTTCGGCTCGTGGTTTTGAACCAGAAAAACTGTTTTGGTGCGTGCGTCAAATTAGCTTTGAACGCGGCATGAAGATTAGCGGTGTCTCCAACGACGACTTTACAATCTTCCCCATTTACTACCAAAAGTTCCCAACGTATCCTTTTCTGACTTCTTTTCGTATATTTTTGTTTTTTATTTAACGTTTTTTATGTTTCGCTGTCAATATTCTATGAGGATGTTCAAAACGAAAAAAAATTTTCAAAAGCTCTTAAAAAAAAAGCAATATGAGGGAAGCGGTACAATCGTTGTTGGAAAGTTGGCTAATATTAGATTCTTAGTTGAATTTTTTCCTCTTTTGATCATGGCGCACGTGTTGAAGAAAAAAGGAGGCTTATAAGACCTGGAACGAGTATTTTTCGTGTATTTCATATCTTAGGGTCCAAATGAATCGATAGCCAATTTTGATGGATTTTTGATGTCATTTTCTTTTTAAATTCAAGAAACTATTGCGACACAAAAGTTGCTCAGAGGACGAACCTTTTCTTTGTAAGTGTCGTATCGTTGTTGGTTGATAAAATGGCCGGTAGGTGTGTCGTCGGAAGTAGAGACGTCGTGTGTGACGGGGTCGACGACGCCGGGCAGCACTGGGTTGGTGTTGATCGGGTAGCTCTGCGGCAAGTCCACTGGGTGTGTTCCGATGTAGACTGGCGTGAAGTTCATAGTTGCGATTATCTAAAATAGTTCGAACACGGTTCAGTCTTAAATATGCAACTTGGAAGGGGCCGATAGAGAATCGGGTGTAAACATGTTTTGTTTCCCTTTCACAGTTGCTAGATAACAGGAAGTAAGATGGCGTAAAGATTGAATATTTTTCTTTCTCGTTTCCCTTCTGCGGAAGCCGGAGCTTCGCCCAGTGTTTTGGATTGATATCGAAGGTTTTTTTTCCCGTTTGATTCACCAGTCTGCTGTTGAATGAGTGAAGCACCAATGACCATATATTATCAACGAAAAAACGTGGTCATAAGCTTTTTCACAACCTTCCATACTATTGCCTGAAGTTTCAAAATTTCAAAAAAAAAAATTTTATTTACATCTGAGTGGCACTGTACAGAAAGAATAATTTACTCGTTTCAGATAATTCACTGGCGCTTTTGGATGTCGCGGCCAGATTTTTTGAGCTGCTCGCCGGCCCGTTCTCGGAAATCGCGCGCCTGTCGAGTTTCCTCGGGAGTTCCTTTTATGGCGTCCCATTGCTCGGCGGCGTCTTCTTTCATCTGCCGATAGCCGCTCTGGACTTTCTCCTTGCCGTCCTGGGCGATTTCTTTGACGCTTTCCTTCAGGTCCGCAGCCTTGTCTTTCAGGTTTTCCCAGGTTGACGAGGCCTGTTCACGCAGGTCTTTTGACTGAAATCAACAGTTTAGCGAGGGGAAGGGAAGATTATTATTGCTTTGAATGTTTTCTTTTGTTTGCTTATCTTCTGGGACGCCAAAGGGCAGTTTAGTTCTGACCTTATCAGATGTTGCGTCGGCGTAGGACTTGTTTTGGAAGTCTTGCTGGCCAGCGACAGAGTTGTACGCATCCTTCATTCTTTCCTTGGCGTCCGAAGCCATTTCTTTGGTTTTGTCGATAGCGGCTCCGAGGACACCTTTCTCCGAGCCCTAAAAAGTTTTAATAGTAAGAAAATATTTAAAAATTTTCCTCACGTGAGCCATTCGTTGAGCATTCTGCAAATAGACGCGGGAGGCAGTGTTGGTCAAGAACTGAGTACGGGACAGCATTTTCGTTTTTTTCTGAACGGTATTGCTTAGCAAAAACTTAGATGGAATTTTTTTTAGACGAAACACTATAAAAATCGGTCATGAATAAAAGATGAAGGAGGAAGATTTTTCATATTGGATTTTCGCGAAGTTATCCATGAATCGCACAATCTAAAAAACGTCTCAATAAATTCAGGCTGTTTTGAGAAAATGGAAAAGATGGATCACGTCGTTTCTTCTCATAGGCCTATATTTATAACCAACCCTTCATGTAAATATTTTGTTTACTCTTCTCAAAATCGTCACTCTCTCTCTCTCTGTTGTGTCTCTTCTTTCCGCCTGTTGTGTTTCTTCTTTCCATGTGTTTTCTTTTTGTTTCGCTCTGCGACTCCACCCTTTGGGAACAAGAAAACACTTTCCTGCTGAGTTTTCTGAGCTCTTATGATTGGATAACCTGTGCATGCCGGAGAACAGCAAAGCAGAGGATGTTGGAACCCTAACTTTTTAAACGGCTCAAACTCTGAGTTCAGCTTTCAAAAGGAAAATATTTTTGACTGAAACAGAGTTAAAGACTCAAGTTCTGAACTTTTTTTCAGAATCATGGAAATTGTGCTCGATCGAAATAAAAATTCGCTAAACGGTCTTCGCTAAAAAGGAATTGAATAGAAATGAAGTTCTTCACAGACGGTTTCCAATCCCACGAGCCATTTCTTTTCGGGTTCAATGACGCACAAAATCGCCAAAAGTCCCTCTGAAATCGACAAAAAAACTTGCTCTGTGGAAGATGAGGTTTGCTGGAGTTCCGGTTTTTTTTTTTACGATAGTAGCACTTTTAGACCCGTGTAGCAAAATTTTCGTTCATCTTTATCACTATAAACATAACACTTATACACAAAATAAGTTTATAAAGACAAGTATCTTACAAAGTTACAAAATTTTTTCGGAAACGATTTAACGAGATTGGTGTTTGTAGCCTTCGGCCTTTGTGTTCTTTTGGATGATGTGACGAAGCTGGAAAAGTGTTTAAAATTAGATGTTAAATAACGGCTTCCTCACCTTTTCATCAACTTTCTGATGATCACTTCCTGAGCTGAGAGATTTCTGAAATATCGATTCAACAAAAAAAAAACTGTTTAATAAAAGTCACTTTATAGTTTGTAATAGCGTACTTAGAGGGCTTAAAAATATGGGGAATATATTTTGGAATAACTTCGTCTAATTTTTATCTGTATTCATAGGCAAAGTCGGAAAGGGTGGAAAAAGGCTCCATAGAAATATTTCTTTTAGGGTGGCTAAGGTTCCTTTTCTGCTGCCTTTTTGCGCCACTTCATCGGCTCTTATGCGCCATTTTCGCTGCCTCTTCCTTTTTCCATCATTTCTTGAGCCTTCAAAATTCCAGGAAAATTGGAAGGCTCGATGAAGGGACTCTTTTTGTTGCCTTTTTGCTGCCTTTCTGTGGCCTTTTTTGAGCCGCTCCCTTTTAGCGACCATTATCAACCATTTCGACTTTGCACTAGTTGTAAAGTTTTTCAAAACTATTTTTTCTAAGGACCATGAACGTGTACATATAAATACAAGGGATTAGTTCGTTAGTGTTCGTCTTTTACCTCTGCCGCAATTTTTTCAGAGGCTTTCGATTTCTTGTAGGAGTCCACGTCCTTCTTGTTGTTCAACGCCGGAGCGACTTTTCTGAATGTTTCCAGGGCACCGTTCAGGATTTCGTTCTGAACGCAGAAGAAGTTTATCAAGAAATTTCGAGCTAACATGAGCCATCCTTTCCGCGTTTCGAAAGTAAGCACGCCCTGTGATCTCAGCAATTTTTTGAGCGCGCGAGATCATTTCGTTTTTTCTTTCTGAAACCAAGAAATTCATTAGAGTAAAAAACATCTTCATTTTTTTCAAGAACAAAATGAAAAAAGAGCGAGACAAGAGCTCGTCGACCGCATTTATAACAGAAAAGAAGCAGCCTAGGGACGTTCTAGACGCATAAATATGTTGACGAATTTGCCCTTTTTTCTCTCGAAGGTTGAGGGTTTGTTGTTTTTTTGTCCGAAAAAAAAGAACTTTGATGCTAAAGATTTTTTAAGAGAAAATAATTTTTAAAACTATTAGCTTGATTTGAGAGCCCTGATAGTTTAGTATACTTACTTTCAAATTTTTTAGTTTTTTGTTAGAAGTTTTCCGTGTTACTCGTGTTACTGCCTGAAACTGAAGTCGCTATGAAACCTTTTTTTTCTGATTGCGGAGCGACTTCAGTATGAATTCATAGGTACAGTAGAGATAGGATAGATCATGAAAGTGAAAAAAAATTTTATTTTTGTACATGAAGAAGATAAAAAGCTATATACAAACACTTGAAAATATTCAAATTCTTCTGTTTTCGGATTTGGCTGGCTCCATCTTCAAATTCTGATGTTTGACGTGGTTTATCTGAATCAGTGTGACTTGAGAACGTGCTATAAGGAGGGAGAAAACCTTCCGTTGGCCGGAGAAAGTCTCGTCATCGAGCTTCTTGTCGAATCGGTTGTGCTTCTCGACGGCTTCTTGGGCGCCGTTCCACCGGCTCTTCACGTCTTTCCACTGGTTGCCGTGTTTGTCGCGCAACTGCGCGTTCTAATGAATCAAGTCTTTCAACCTCATAGATTTTGTAGAAAGGAATAGGAATTGATATTGAATTTCAAGGAAGCGTCATTCAAGTGTAAAGTGATGCGTAAAACGACTTTGAATGCAAATTGAGTCGGGGGAAAGAATGTATAATGAAAACCTTGTTCATGGCAGCGTTGGCGTAACGCTGAGTTGCCTCGCCTGCTTGTTCAGAGCCAACGACGGTCTTGTAGGCGTCTTTGAGCTTATCGGTGGCTTCCGACGCCAGTTCCATGGTTTTGTCGATGGCATTGCCGATAATACCTTTGTTGCTGTTCTGAAAAGCTTCGATCAAGAGTTATTGCAAAAAAAAAAAGATCCCATTACGAACATGTAACAGCCGTTGGGAATGGACAAAAACGCGAGTTGAAGTCTCGGCGACGATTGGGGTGCGGGAAAGCATTGTATTCTGAAATTTTTCGAATAAGTTGCAACCCGACAAATTCAACTGGAGGTAAGTCACGAATGAGGGGAAAAATCGATAGTCCGTCAGTCGTCGGATAGTATTTATATTTTCTAGGACGCTCTTCGTAAATATGTTGTTTAGCTCTGTTATCACGTCACTTCTCGCTGTCAAGGCCTATTTTTTTTCTTTTCTCTGCGAACTCTGGTGTGTTCAATAAGAGTTGTTCGAAAAGACCGCCCACTTTTAAAAATTTTCAAAAACTTGAGAATCTAGAGATGATTAAACTTATGAATTTTTGCCAATTTTGAAAATTTTGATAAAAAAATACCACGGTCCACATGCGACCTTAACGGAGGATTGCTTCTCAAAAAATGGATGAAACCTTCGAAGCTACCTTTTTTTTCTGAATTTCGATTTTTCCCTGTTCTCTTCCACTGACCTTAAAAAAAATTAAACTCAAAACCGCGACGTCCCCTTCACCAAGTCATTAAATATAAAAATGTTCGAAAAAAACATTTTTGAGTTTCCTGCAATTGAAAAAAAAATTTTTTTGAAAAAAACTGTTCATTTACACGGGTATGAAATAATTATTGTCATTAAATTTACTATGTACAAAATTTCTAGAAGTATCTAGGTTTCTATTTGTTTAGTTTCGAACATCGTCACGCCCTCCACGGCTGGCGCCTTCAGCATGGTCGATCTGCAAGAAGTTTCCTCAATTTCGAATAGAAGATCATCTTTATTATTTTATTTTAATGCGACACTCAGAAACGCGGAATGAGATTATTGAAATTGTTCTAGCGGAGAGAGTTTAAAAACTGCCCGGAAGGCAAAATTAAAAAAAAACGTTTAAAAGAAGGTTTTCAAGAGGTGAATTGAGAGAACTTCCTAGAAGTTTACTTGAGGTCACTATTCCGACTTTCAGTTACCTTCTGTTGACCGGAGTAAGAAGTTTCGTTGTACTTTTTCTCCACGTGCTGCAACTTGCGCTCGTTGGTGCCTTTGACGTTTTCGCACGTCTCCGCTGGTCCCTGAGCCTTAAAATTACGGCTGCCCATTATAATCCGATCTTTACATGCAAGTTGTACTTGTTATAACTCTCCACGTTTCCAAAAAAAAAAAGTAACTTTCGTGCAGGTACATTGGATTACTAACACTTATCTCAAAACTTGGAATAAAAAAACTTATCTGCCTTGAAATTATTGCTCAAACTTGCCTTTTTTCAGTTCTACATTTGAGTATGCTAATTTAAATATATAGCGCTTTTTTCGATGGAAATTTTCATTTATTCTAAAAGTTTTTTTCTCAAGGATCTTCTTTCTTTCGGCAGCTCTTCTCCCCACTTCGTTCAACTTGGCCGATTTAGCTTGATTCGAATTGGGTATTTGGTTGAGCAACGCTGCGTTCACCACTTACCATCCTCTTTTGAACATCGCCGTAACTCTGATTTCCATCAAGTTTTAAATTTACTCCGGAAGTGATTGATAATATCACGATATGCCAATATCAAGAAAATCAGCAACCTTTTTCTGATTGGCGTCATTGACGTTGTCGACTCCGCTCGCGGGCCGGCTTCCAGTTGCTTCCCAGCTGTTGTCGCGAGTGTTTTTTCCTTGTTTTTGAACTTCTTCTTTCGCTCCGCCGACTACGCTGTTGTAGGCATCTTTAAGCTTCTCTGATGTCGCTTCCGCAAGGTCTTTCGTTTTGTCGATGGCGTTGCCAAGGATCCCTCTCTCGGAATTCTGAATGGCTTTATGAACTAGACGATAGAAGGAGTTATCTTTCGAAATAACTTTACGTGTTTATTGAGAAATTAATGAGCCATTCTATAGGAGCTCTGCATGTAACCACTCCATAGGAGTACGGAATAGAGTTCGAGTGAAGAAAAAAATTCTCACGTGAGCCATTCGATAGGAACTCTGCAAGTAGACGCGTGAAGCATTGTTAATTACGATTTCTGTACGCGACAGCATTTTCGACTCGAGCTTTGATTGGGGTTTCTGTAAGCAGAACAAAGTTAATTGGTTTTTAGAAATTTCAACGACAAAAAAGACGCAAAAACGCACGTGACTTGAATGAGCAACCCCTAAACCGGCAATAGGATTTTAAGATTATCAAGTTTGAATATGAAACGCGGCTGAACGAAACGCTTTTTTTTTCAATCTCTGCAAACATTTTTCACGATAAGAACTTTTATATTACGAAAACCAAAGAAAAAATAACACAAGATATATCTTGTGTACAACAAGGTAGACTGAACAGCGCGGTATATCAAAAAAACAGTTTCAATACTCACGAAACTTTTGAGAAGCGAGAAATGAATTTATAAAATGAAAACAAAAAAATGAAAAACATAATATTCCACGTGCCGAACTTTCTTATTAAAAGATCTTTCAAGTTTTTTTTTTCAAAATCTGAATGTAATAAGGGTTTATACTAATTTCGCGAAAGTAAATGACTTTTTTTTCGGAACATTACAGCTGATTTCGCTACGAAAAAGGATCAATAAGTCGATTTTCTGGGGTTTTCCTGGTTTTTAAACGAGCTCGTGCAGCGCAAAGGCATCAAGTAAACATGTTTACGAGGAGGATGGTCATGCCCTCCGTTTTTTTTTTTGTTTATCTCGTTTTCTCGCCGCCAGAAGACCAGCTGAGGGGGCTTTTTCGAATGGAATTTTTTTTAAATTCTGAAGAAGCTTCAATTTTGTTGCCACCTCCTTCGAGAAATCACTGAAACAAAAATTAATAATTATTATCAAAAAGTTAGTTTGAAAAAGGACTCTCACGTTCTCCTTGGCAAACGTGATAACCTTTTTTATGGTCCAAAATTTTATTGAGGCTTTACGAAAAAAAATATATCAGCGACACTCGAAATCAAAGTATCGAAATAAGTTTCTTTGGAAGCTTTTTTTCGTTGTACGTCCGAAAAGAAACAAATAGGAAAAGTTCAACTTTTCATTCAACAAACAACGCTCAATTTATCATTTATTTGCCCTTTCTTGATACCTTTCAAGCCACAATTAATATGTACAGTTGAATTCAAATAGAAAGATAGACTATGTACAAACCAGTGATGAGCGGAATTTCCGTTTCCGTTTCCGCCGCTAGGCGGAAGTAAAAAATTTTCCGTTTCCGCCAACCGGCGGAAAAAAAAAACGTCTTCCGCTCATCACTGGTACAAATATCGAAGAAATACATTTTCGTTTTGGTTATTTATTGTCTTAGTTGGTCGCTGGCGTTTCTGGGAAGATCGTGACCAGGGAAGCTGTTGATTGGAAGCTAAAATTCAAAAATTAAAACATGTTTAAACTTCTTCGAAAACTTTTAAGTACATGTAGATTAAAAACTAATAGAAATAAGTATTCAACAAAAAAAACCTACGTTTTGCTGGTCGCTACCAGATAGGTTCTCGTAGTTTTCTTGGGCGTTGAGCTCATCCTTTGGAGCTTCAACGCCAGTCATAACCTCCCATTGCTCGGCGACCTTTTCTTTTAGACTTTCGAGAGCTTCGGACAAGTTCTCTCGAAGTTCATTTTTCTGAAAAGATTTGAATTTATTTTCGTCAACATCATGATTTGAGAAAAAGTATACAAACGGGAAGGATTCTCCATGGAGCACTGACAGCTGACCCTAGTCCAGGCTTGTGCGTCAGGCCGGGCGGCCCGGCCCGGGCTTTGGGCCTAAAATTATTTTAAAAAAAAGCCTGCACGGGCTCGGGCCAGGCCGGACTTCGAAAGAAATCTTAAATTTCATTTTGAAAAAATTTCACGGAAAAATTATTTTTACTTCTTGAATCATAGTTTCTAATAACTCTATGAGAAAAAATAAGCAAAAATACCAATTTTCTCGTTAAAAAAGCGAAAAAATCGACTTGAACAGAATTTAAGTTTTTCGGGCCGGGCCAATCATTTTTGTTTACGGCCTTCCTAGGGCCGGGCTTGGAAAGTGGCCGGAGGCCGAGAGGTTGACGGGCCGGCCCTCGCACAAGCCTGCCCTAGTCGGCCTAATTTCAAGTCTAAAAGAGAACAGCTACCTTTTCCGCAGCCGATCCTAACAAACTACGAGAGTCTTCATCCGAGGTGCTGGCGACGGCCTCAGTGTTCGCAGTCTCTCCGCCGATCGCAGCTTTTAGGGCTTCTTTCAGCTTGTCGTTGGTGTCTGTAGCAAGCTCTTTGGTTTTGTCGAAAGCATTGCCGAACAATCCTTTCTCGGTGTGCTGGAAAAATGATTGGCATGTACAGGACCCTCAATGGTTTTTCGAAGCCAATTCAAAAGGATGGTCGTCACAGACTTCAAAAAAAAAAAAACTCACGTGTGCCATTCGTCGCATATGTTGGAAGTAGACGCGTGCCGTGTTCTCTGCAACAACTTGTGAACGACCCAACATGTCAGATTTATCGATAAGTAGTTTTTTGTCTGTAATATAAAAAAAAATAGGGGCGAAATGAAAATATTATAGAAAAACGCGCAATACAGACCAAGTGTAAAAAAAATTTCAGGGAATTGAGTACGCGTTTGAAAAAGAAGGTTTCGACTGGAATTGTTGAAAAACGTCATTCAACGGCTTTATAACTCACAGCTCTGCTGAATGTAAACATGTTTACTTCTTTGCGTCTCGCCACTAGAAAAAAAAAAAATTATTGAATCAGCCTCACCCAACATGATTGCCTACATCGCAGCGGGCCGCAGGCGATATAGCCAATGTTTCTTGTTGCGATTTCGTCAACATGTCGATGCGACCTCGTCAAAGTCTCGCTGCCATATCTTTGCTTGCTGCCATATCCTCTCAAAAATTTGAAATTTGAAGAAAAAAATTTTGATATATTTTTGACTTTTATGATTAAATGAATTGAATTAAAGAAGAAAACATAAGAAACATTTTTCAGAGAGCGTTATAGTCTGTTCAGATTTCAAATGTCAAGTCCTCGCTGAAGCTCCGCCCCCTAATGGCGCGATAAACCAATCAGAGAGCGAGCCATCCACAGAGCGTTTTCAAATGACGTCATTCTACTTGACATTCAAAATCTGAACAGACTATATAGCGCAAGACGTTCGCGATTTCGCAGCGAGAGGCGAGCGATATTGCTCGCGCTCCCCCGCGGTATAGCGTTATTCTCGCTGCGATATAGTCTACAATATTAGGTGGCTGTTCGATTTTTTTGAGAATATTTACCTAGATTTTTGAAAATTGGGTTTTTTCAGACTTCGCGTTAAATCGCAAACCGCTACTCCCTGACATGTTCACGTGAATAAAATGAATATATAGCCAAATATTTCGATTACGCTTATTTCTTGTGTTACGAATGATGTCATGAAATGACGTCAGGGAGTAGCGGTTTGCGATTTAACGAAAACTTTTTTCAGTTAATAGTTTTTTTTTTGATTTTCTGACAGTTTTCCTTCAGCATAACCCCGAAGTACATTTTCTTTTCTGGTTCCACGACCCAAGTTTTCCATGTTTCGATATAGGATATCTCAAGAATAGCGTTGTTTTTATTGAGGCTGAGAACGCTCGTTGTTTCCAGCTTATGAATTCCAATCTTTTTATTCAATTGAAAAAAAATCTAAGAGACACAGAAGAGAAGCGCAGCATTGAATTACGAAAATAGTTTAAAGAGATCGTTATTGGTTTTTGCTCTTAGTTTCTTGAATATTAACCCCCTATTACTCAAGAAAGACCTTAGTTTCATGAAACGGAGTTCAGGATCTTCAGCCGATAAATAGGCCGCGGCAGCTCCATCTTCTTTGCTATTTGGATCACGTTCTAAAAGCCTTTTTTTGGCTACCAGGACACTTTCTCGAGTACCTTTTCTTTGCATCAAAGAAAAATTAATAGACGAGACATTTATTTACATGGAAAAAAACTTTTCAAGAGAGAAAAGTAAAAGAACGAAGAAATAAGAAGCCTATGTACATTCAACTCGTAACTGTCATTGAAAGATCTAGTGTTTCTGAATATCACGACCGGCTTGCTTCAGCTTCTCGCCGGCTTGGTCTCGAGCATTGTCTATCTGCAAAGACAGGTCATTTTAAAGAACCTAAAATGGTTCCCATACTTTTCTTTCGGCGTCACGCGAAACTTGGTCGTACTTCTGACCGACGTGCTGCTTCTCCTGCTCGGCGGTGTGCTTGAGTTCTTCCCATTTCTGGGAGGCTTCGCGTTTGAGGCCTTCGACCTTGCAGTCGGCCTTATGCTTGCTGTCCTTCATCATGTCTTGCGCATGATCAATCTTTTCTGAAGCTTTGTCTTTCAGATCCTGCCACGTATCCGAAGCCTTGTCACGCAGCTCCTTCGCCTGACATTTTTAACTAATTGTTTTTGAAGTTCAGGTAGACGATACCTTGTCGGCAGCCGCATCGACGGCGTCCTTGGTCTTATAGCGGGCCTGGTCCTCCGCTCTGGGCTCACCGGTCACCGCGTTGATCGAGTCTTGGATTTTGTGTTTGGCTTCTCGTGCCAATTCGATCGTCTTGTCAACCGCGCTTCCAATCACTCCTTTGTCAGTTCCCTGAAGAGGTCATTAAACGAAATTACCGTTTGAAAACGGAAACTCACAGCCATTCTTTGTGCGTTTTGAAAGTATACGCGAGAAGTGTTGGAAGCGATGAACTGCGTGCGGGAAAGCATTTTCAGTGATTTTTCTGAAATGAAAAATTATCAAAAACCTTAAGAAAACGCGCAACAAAAACTTTGAACGACCAGTAAAAATTAGTTGCAAGAAAAAGTCTTTTTTATCTCCAGTTTAGAGATGGAGGAATGAAAGAAAATCAATATTCTTTCAAAATAGGGTGAATTAGAACAGTCTGTTTGATTTACAAGCCAAACGGAAAGTTTCGAAAGAAAAATAGTAAATCGATATTCGGCATTCTCAGTATTTATACGGGAAGCTGAAGAAGAGAGAGAGTAAACATGTTTACGTCTACCACTTTCAAACGCTATTTCGCTGAGAGAAAGGAATGGGTCCGTAGCTCCGCCCACTTTTCGATTCCCACAGCAGAACATCACGGTCTTTGGTCATCGGCGACCGCGGATGGAAAACAAGAGGAGAGATCAAGCGTTCGTGTAAAAAGGAGTATCGAAAGAGCAATAAGACAGACAAAAAAGCCTTGGTTTTGAAGCGGTCGTTTCAAATTTGAATGAAATGGTTGAACACGTAAAGCTTTTTTTTAGAATTTGACGTAATTAATTCTACGAGAGAAACGAATTTCTGAGTTATTCTGTTTAAAGTTAGGACAATGCTGATTCTTGGAATTTAAAACACATAGAATGCGAAATAGATGATTTATAAACTTTTCCTTCAAGATCAAGCCTCAATTTTTCAATAAAATAAAAGTAAATATTTTTTAGAATTTTTTCTCACCAAGTCAATCAAAAAACATTGACTTTTACCAAAACTGTCCAAAAAAACTTGAAAGACTGGCAAAGTTGGAATCCAAGAAAACCGCTAAAACTTTCGGTTTTCGCCCCTTATCAAACTTCTCAAGAATCAAAAAGGGTGGAAAAATGTGGAGGCGGCAAAAGGATAGACACATGCTGGTAAATGGACGCAAAGATACAACGTAATTGAACCGTTTTTCAGTTTTAAGAACAGTTAAAAGGTCTATGTAAGGATGTCCCGATCTTGCCAATGAGGAATAAATTATAACTGAATACGAAAAAAGGAAAAGAAGGGAGCTGAAATTCTCGTTCGTATATTCAAAAATTGAAACATGTTTAAACTTCTTCGAAAACTTTTAAGTGCATGCAGATTAAAAACTAATAAAAATAAGTATTCAACAAAAAAAAACCTACGTTTTGCTGGTCGCTACCAGATAGGTTCTCGTAGTTTTCTTGGGCGTTGAGCTCATCCTTTGGAGCTTCAACGCCAGTCATAACCTCCCATTGCTCGGCGACCTTTTCTTTTAGACTTCCGAGAGCTTCGGACAAGTTCTCTCGAAGTTCATTTGTCTGAAAAGATTTGAATTTAATTTCGTCAACTTCATGACTTGAGAAAAAGTATACAAACGGGAAGGATTCACCATGGAGCACTGACATATACAGCTGACCCTAGTCCAGGCTTGTGCGTCATAGCGCACCAAACAACTATTCATTAAATGGTGCCGTTCGAATTTGGAGCAACATAGATCGTTGGTCTGCTCCGACAATAATCCATCAAAAAAGGCAGTTGTCCGAAAACAATCCTGTTTTTCATCTAAAGGTTCAGGGTGAACCCCTATCCAAGGAACGAAGCTATTCCTAATCCGGTCTGTCAATGTACTTTAACTTATCAGTTCTACAAGAAAAACTAGTGCAGAGTAGTTGTTTTTTTTCAGATGAAAACTAAAGAATGTTGTCGCTTTAGTATAGCTTCTTTAGTTCAGAGACCAATTGAAGCGAATTCCATTCAGTCCCGCGCCAAGTCTGAGCTATCGCAATATTCTCGCTATTAGAATACAATTAAACTGATCGCAAAAAATGCGTCTAGACTTTCAAAAGTTTTAAAAATATCCCATTCGAAGCACTTTTATCTCTCAAAAATGGGCACAACGAAACAACATCCAGCACTTTTTCCTGTTTACTCGCAAGTGAAGCTTGGTCTGTGGTGTCTTCCGTTTGCTTTTCCTTCCTTGTTTTGAAGGACGAAAGGCTGCAGCCTTCAAGTAATGAGAAAAAGAAAAGTATCAAAAAAAAAAGGAAACTGCCAAAAAAAAGGAACGCCTTTTGGGCGACAAAACGGATATCTGCATCCAGCGATTTGAATGAATTTTTCCAGAAAAATTAGAAAATAAAGTTTAGTTAAAGTATGAATCAATTTCTTTTCTCGTTAATTTTTTTATTCTTTCATTGTTTTTGGACCTTTTTTAAATGCAATTGTTCATTAGCTCCGTTTAAGCTCAAAAAACTGCTTGAATAAAAAGTCGTATTCTATCCTGTCATGATTCTTTTCAAAAATATGGCCTGGAAAAAAAAAAGCTCGAGTGACCACTTTCTTTCCATGTAAGACGGAATAATGGGCGTTACCGGCCAGAAGGAAAACATGTTTACCAGAAATGGCAGCTCAGAGGAGCTCTGACTATAAATATCCAGCCGGCTCCACGCCGCCACGCTTCTGCTCATTTTCCACTTTGCAAAAGTCATCTTGCAGCAACTCATCGCATCCAAGAATGTCTTACAACGACCACGAGAAGGGACTCATCAGCACGGCCGTAGACAAGACCAAGGAGCTGGCCCACGACGCCAAGGAGAAGGTCAAGGAGGCCTATCACGCAGTGGTCGATGAGCCGCGAGTTGAAGACCGATTCCGGTACCAAGCCAAAGACAACATCGACATCGCGGCAGACAAGGTACTTTTCCTACAAGTCTGGATTCGATTTCAGCCGCTTAACACTTTCAGGCTAAGAATGCTCGTGACACGACTCACGAGAATTGGGAGGATTTCAAGGACAACACGCAGAACAAGTGGGAAGACGTCAAAGAAAAGGCCGAGGAGAAGAAGAACCAGGTCGGCGAGAAGTGGCAGGACATGAAGGATGGGGTCCGCGAGAAGTGGGAGGACGTCAAAGACGGCGCACAGGAGAAGAAGGACCAAGTCGGCGAGAAATGGGAGGACATCAAGGACTCGGCCGAAGAGAAGCGCCAAAATGTCAACCGGAAGATAGACGACGTTGCTTGCAACGCTCAGCAAAAGGTTCTAATGGTTTTCTGAAAGAAGAGAGTCAGTATTTTTTTTCAGCTGGACAACGCTCGCTTTAACACCGCGTATCATCTCCGCGACACCGCTCGTACCATCGAAGGACATTAAGTCGCTCTTCCACAAAAAAACTTCCCCCGCCCCATCCATGCTTACCCAATCACCCAAAGCGCTTATATCTAAGATCTCACCCCCAAAAAAATTTATATTTTGCTTCATTTACGCTGTACATATTGTAATAAACTGTGCGGACAGAATCTCAGCCGAAAAGAAAGGACAAGGAACATTTCGAAGATTTCTTGATTCATACCAAGAGTAAAAGCCGTGTAACTTTAAGAATCAGGTTTTAGAGCGGTATTTAGACGTTTTGCTAAAAAAAACCAGCTCAATCTTAAAAATAATGGAAGAATTGAACCGAATCACTGATTCGGATTATTTCATTCTTTTTTCTGCAGAAGACTACTTTTCTGGACTGTTAATCAAAAAAAAAGTTATTATATTCGGTTTCCCTAGGAAAAATAGGTCCCTGACAAACCGAGAGGCGTGTTTTGGGCCCAAGATGTTTACTCCGGAAGGGGCTGTCGCGCATAAATAGCCGTCCGAGGACGTGCTGGCCATACCGTTTTTGCCTTTTTTTTTCTCATTTTCAATGAAATTTTCACAGTTCAATACTTCAGATATGCCGCGAAACCAAGAGCTCGTTCAAGATTCGAACAAAAAGACGGATTACAATCGCTTTGAAGAGCCAAACGTCAAGAAAATTGAAAAAGAAGATCTGGTGAGCTTATTAGTCGAAAAAGTTTCTTAAGTCTTTCAAAATCGCTCGTCTCCGACGATAAGGTAAAAAGAAAAATAAAAAAGCTGCTACTTCAAGGAGAGGGTTTCAATCCAAGAAAAACTGCTTAAACTCTTCCTCTACAGTTATTCCTTCTAATTCTAGGTCGAGATGTTAGTTCAGACTTTTTTCAGGCTATTCAGGATGGCAGCCAGATTCTGGAAGAAGTCAGAAAGAGCACTGCTCAAAGATGGGAAGCAATGAAAGAATCAACGAAGAACGACGACCGGCCGAAGCTGAAGGAGGCTGGCGATAAGATGCACGAGAGGCGGCAACTCGCCGCCGAGGAGCTGGTCCAGGTCGACCATGGTGGTCATCGGATGGACGAGACAGGCGACAGGATGCGCGACATGCGAGAACACGCCGGCGACATCGTCGACGCCACCAAGAAGTTCGTCGCAGCCAAGATGGACCAAATGAGGAACTGCTCTGCCCGAACTGTTCGTTTGTGAACTTTTCAAATATATTTTCCATTTTTCTCGCTCTTTTTTGCCACATATTTGTTCGAGCCTTTGAAGCCAAAAGCACTGATGAGCATGAGGGCGTTTAGAAAAAAAAAAACGCTCGTCTTCTCACTGTTTATTCGACCATAGAATTTTTTTTTTTGCAGCTTCCAAGACTACGTGATGGAGAATTTAAAAAGTTATAGGCTTTTATCTGAAATCTTGAAAATTTTCAGAACCAGCAAGCCCACCCAGGCTCTGCCGAAACTCATCAACTCAATCGCACTCTTCACGGCTATTAAAATCAAATATTTTTCTGAAACTAATTTATCATTTTTTTTTTTTGCCATAAATTTTTCAATACTTACAAGAATCTTGGACTTCGTGATCACAGAAATATTGTTTTCTGAGAATTGTTTACGGACTTCGAATTTGCAGCAATCAGCTGTTGTTTGGGGTATCCCCCAATGACTCGTTGCACGCAAAAGCATCAATGATCAGAACCCAGCCAAACACACGCAATTCTTTCCACGTGTGCTCACTGGTCGTTTGCTTCTCAGCGCCCTCTCACAGAGAACACTCTTTCGTGCTACCCTTTTTTCCCTTATCGTACGAAATTCTTCTGATAAAACGATTTTTATGAGACTGTATGAGCTCCAGAGCTCAACTGATCCATTGAAACCCTCTATACTTATTGGAAAGCTTTTCTTCATCAAATTTAAGAAAGAGTTCGAGTAGCCACTCTAGGACATTATTCGTACAAAGTATTGGAAGCTTTAAAACTTTTCCCACTAGAGTCAATTGTTTGATTCAAAGATTTCACTTCTGAAGACTTCTGCTCAATTCCAACTTCGGAAAAACTCGACAAAATTTTGTTGGCTCACTCGTTTTCTTTGTTCTCGATAAGAAATGCGGAAATATACATTTATTTACAGACGGCAATAAATGATTATCAATTGGGAAAGTGGATAGAACGGGGATAGTTGGACTAGTCGGAGCCTTCGACCTTGCGGGCCGCGGCGCGCATCTTCTTGCCGGCTTCTTCGCGGGCGTCTTCCGTCTTCTCGGAGACCTTGTCCTTGAAGTCTTCCCACTTTTCGTGAGCGTTGTCCTTGGTGTCTTCCCACTTCTCCTTGGCGTCGTGCTTTGCCTCGCGGTAGTCGTGCTTGGCGTCGTGCTTCGCCTCGCGGTACTTGTCCTTGCAGTCTTCCTTCGTCTCGTGGCACTCTCGACGGCAATCCTTAGCCTGAAAGTGAGCAATGAAAACATGAAAAAAGGCAATTTCCTAACCTTGTCGGCAGCCTTGTCGACGCCTTCTTTGAGGTTGTCCCGGACACGATCTTCAGCTCGCGGCTCGCCGACGACGCTGTGGTAGGCGTCGGAAATCTTGTCAGCGGCGTCCGAAGCCAATTCCTTGGTCTTGTCGATGGCCGACTCGATGTAGCCTTTCTCTTCGACGCGTGCCATGGTAGATAAACTTTTGGAAGTTGAGTTCTGCAATCAGTACTTGATCAACGCCAATACAAGAGAAAAGAGGCAGAAAAAAAAAGAAAAAAAAAGAAAAGAGAAGAGAAGGAAATGTTGACCAACAAACAGAAAACGGGACGTATTTATATGGAAAGCCCAGCGTGCAGCACAACATGTTTACTTGCGTACGCTTTGACTCCACCCACTTCTCTAACCGTCTGATTCTCTCATGTGCAGGCCAAGAGTTCAACTCTAAAAATTTTTCGACAATTCTATACTAAAAAAGAAAAAAGTAAAATTATAAAATGAGAAAAAATTAGTTTCCTATGCTCAGATCTCGCGGGATTCGGGTCTTCGATTAAAAAAATGTGGGTCCTCAATAAAAAAATGCAAGCAAAGGGAGAATTTTATTTGAAAAATAAGAAGTTGATTTTTTTTTTTCGGGGATCTTAATAAACTCTAGAAGCACAGTGAGTAGTTCGGCAACCTGCAGTCGAAAAAAAAAAAAATGAGATCCGCTACGAGAAACTATTTTATCAATTTTTAGATGATTCAATCTATTTCGAATCGTAAATCTTCTTTACTAGGGTTTTTTACCTTTTAAAGCTTTTAGGCCGTCCTAACTCGAAAACGAGATCTATTGCGAGATTTTTTCTTCTTGTTCCGGAATCAGGGGGTCCTAACGTACACTTCAGCGAAGTTTCATCAAACGTTCAACCGGGGGGTAAAAAAAGTTCCCTAGTTAAATCTCCAAAACCATTTCATAATATATGTGACGAGATGTTTCAGTGAAACGTCAATGATCAACAACCATTTCGACACAAAACTATGGGAACGAGAAAATGCAGTCAGATAAACAAAATACAGCCGTGTTCTCTGAGCGATCAGCGTCACTTTTGCAACAATACATTGGCAAATCATATTTTTTCTGTTACTTAGATTTCTAGGTCTCTTAAGTCTGTCAAATAAAAACCCTATGAATTTCTTTCAAAGTTGATAATACCTTTTATTTAGAACACATCTCGGTGTGAATTATTAATCAAAAATCAACCGAACGTTCCTCATTTTTCGATTTTAAAAGGTCAAAGTTCCGTGTTTTGGAAAGAACGGTCGAAGTATTGAGCTTGGTTCAACTTGAAATAAGGGATGATACCCAAAAATCCAAGTTTGTGGACTTCCGAATCTTCGAATGAAAAAGAATAACTTTTCATCAAAGTGTATCCGACAAGAAAGATCTTCAAAATTTTGGAAAACACTCCTTAGAAAGCTTAAAAGTATCAAATTTTCAACATATGCAAGTTGACATTTGCCGAGAACGCCCTTTGCTTATGGAAAAGCCGAGATGTTAATCAAAAAATTTTTGAATTCTTCGGATGGCTGGTTAAAAAAAAAATCCTGATAACCAGTTGCGGGGTTATTTTTCAGGAGAGCTCCCCAGTGACCACGTTCGCATCTGAAGTAGTCCCTCGAAATGTCAAGAATATTCCACATCTCCTTTTTGTAAATCCTAGTTTGCTTTTCATACTTATGCGATCATTCAACACAAATATCCCGTAAAATCTTTATTTATGTACACAGGGCGAAATAAGAGAAAAATATGTACTTTCAAAAAATTTCATAAGTAAATTTCCTAATCAGAGCCCTCGACCTTCCGAGCAGCACTGCGAATCGCATCACCGGCTTTTTCTCGAGCTTTCTCAGACTGAAATAAAGACGACGTGAAAAAAGAATATCTCGAAGCAACTCAGCACCTTCTCTGCCGTCTTGTCCTTGGCGTCCTGGTAGGACTCCTTGACGTCGTTCTTCTTGTCTTCAGCCTTCTCCTTGATGTCTTCCCACTTATCAGAAGTTTTGTCCTTGACGTCCTTCCAAGTCTCACTTGCGTCCGTCTTCATCTGCTCCCACTTCTTCTCGGCGTCTTTCTTCGCTCCTTCGGCGTCCGCCTTGGCGTCTTCCTTGGCTTCGTGTGCATCGTGGCGAAGTTCTTTTGTCTACAACTTATTCATGGTTTTCGATTTCCAGCAGTTTGAATAACCTTGTCTGCGGCCTTGTCGACGCCTTCTTTCAAGTTATCGCGAGCCTTATCCTCAACGTTTGGTTCGCCGACGACGCTGTGGTAGGCGTCGGCAATTTTCTCGGCGGCTTCTGAGGCGAGCTCCTTGGTCTTGTCGATGGCCGACTCGATGTAGCCTTTCTCTCCGACTTCAGTCATTTTTTCCTTGGTGAAATCTCTGTAAAACTGATAATCACGTCAACAAAAAGAAAGTTTTTGAAACGAGCTTAATAATCCGAAAAACAAGATATTTCATGCAACGAAAATACGTTCTTTTTAACGTTGTTAGAAAAATCCTTGCTAGGAAAAAAAGGCAGAAAACAGTGAAGAGTGTGAAACGATGGGAAGTGCAGCATATTTATACAAAAAAATCGAACGCATCAATGCACCAAGAGCAAAGATCCGCCCACTTTTGTTCCGATATGATGTTGATCGGCTGAACTATCGTTATCAATCCAACTTTCCGATTTTTTGTGCCGTGGTGGTTTTTTTTGGTTTATTTCTGTAAAAGTTATATGATATTGGAAATTCAGGAATACAAAATATGGATCCTTTCCATTCGATTATACCCGAACCTATCGGCAAAGAAGAAATCTTGCCTGAAGACGCAAAGGTGTGAAAAATGTTTCCAAAGTGTCGCGAAATATCATTTTCTAGATACGCGAGATACCCAAAAAAGGAGAAAAAGAAGAGAACGTGAGCACGAGGACTTCCAGTAACTGCAACAACGTTGAAAAACGTTGCAGTAATGAAAAGGCATTGCCAGAATTTCTTTTCTGAGATTCAAATATTTTTTCAGAGTGCCGTTTCTTCTGAAAAGGCCGAGAGCGCGATGCACGCAATGGGACAAGACATAGAAGGAAAGTAAATACGAGCAATGAATTTAACTTTTAATGTAAATAAAAATTTTCAAAGATATTTCGCTCTTTTCAAAACTAAAATTTTTTTTAATGTTTCCTCGGTTCTATTTCTAGATATATCTAGAAATCGTCTTCAGTGGCTAATAACGTTCTTACCAGAGATTTTTTGAAAATACCTCTAAGAATCAGTTCTCTATTTACAGAGACGCAGACGACGATATAATTGACGTGGCCCTCAAATTTTTATCTAAACAACAACAACGTTGTTTATTTCACACCGCCATGGTATTTTGCTCCCCAGTTTTGCTCTGCCCTCTCTCTCCCCTTTTTCTTCTCTGTAATCGATTTTTTATTCTCATTTCTTTCGCATTGACAAATTTTGGTTTTTTTTTGAATTAAACTTAATAATAAGTGAGTTGAATATAAGGTTCATGAAAAACGTGAAAACGAAAATATCATGACTATTGGATAGACTTAAATATTTAAAGCTTTGAAAATAAAGGGTTTTGAGAATGTCGTTCAACATACTTACACCTAAGGACAAGGAAGTGATCAACAGCACAATCGGGTTCGCCTCAGAAGCCGTAGCGGCTCTAGTCGCCGACACTCAGGAAATCGCGTCGATCGCCGGCGAAACTATCTCCGACGCCTACAACGCCGTCGTCGGCAACGATGTCGCCAACAAGGCAGGTGAACTGTCAAACATTCGAGTTGAGAAAAGCTTTTTCTTCACTTCAATGAGTCGGATTCCACCTTTTTTTAAAATTACGTTAGACAAAGTAACTAAAACCATCTCGTCTTTTTATTAAAATTAAATCTGTTTCAGGCCGATGCTGAAGAAAATCTAGTAGAGGAAAAATGGGAAACATTCAAAAAAACGGCTGATGAGAAACGCGAAATTGCGACCGGAATAATCGAAGAGCTGAGAGAGAAACAAGGAGAACAAATGGACGATTCTGAGGCCGAACATCTGAAGGAAGAAGCTCAGAACATTGCGACACAAGACGAAACGGCCAACAAGGTCGTCCTCGACGGAATCGCCGTTCAAGGGCTCGAAATCCAAGTACCTGCCATTGCTGATGTTGTTTCAAATTAATTCACGTGTATCATTTTCGCCCATTTTTTTTATAATTTGTAGATAAGATCTATTTGTTTCGTATATAAACAGTTTTCATGACGGTTTGGAAAAGTAAAAATTTGAACACAGGTGAAAAATCATTAGAATAGCAAGAAAAAAAAGTGAAAGAAAAATGCTTTTCCGATCTATGATCATCTATTTCTCTGCTACTCATTCTCTGCGAGGGTTCGAAAGGAACGTTTTACACTCGCGTGCTGACCATCGGAACAAGAACAGAGGTTTCAGAAAGCCCAGCTTTCGAGAATAATTTAAGCGAGAATAATTCAAGTTTTTTGGACGTCGTTTTTCCGGAGACAAATCATGCGAATACTTGAGATCTTGGACAAGTATGCAATTAATTTTCTTTGTCGCCGCCTGGACAACAAATTCAAACTACCCCAGAGATGTTCATCTTTTTTTTCTTCAAATTTTGCCTTATATGTAATCTAAGGACGGTTTTCAAAAGCTTTTTCACAGATTTTGGAAATAATGGAAGCTTTCTGAAACGATATATAGATGATTTCTTATTGTGCATTTTCTTGCTCCTCCATATTTCCAATTTGCCTTCTTAAGGCAGTAAACAACAACATGACCTGTTTTAGCTACAAGAAAACAGGGATAGCTCTCCTGTTTTGTTAGAAACCCATGTTCCAGCAGATATTTTTGCTGCAAAAGCTTTTCCTCAGTTTACCAATGGCAGAACAGAGAACCAAAGACCAATCATCTATTTGCTCACCAGACCTCTTCTCAAGCTCTAAGTTCCTTGTTGGAAAAAAATGCACGAAAAAAGAAGTGAATAGATAAAAAAATAAAGTGACAAAAAAAGCTCCAAAATGCCCAGCTGTTCACAGATGATCGTGAAAAAAAAAAACTAAAAAAAAAAGAAAAAGATTAAAACGTGACTTGAAATAATTTTTTAATATTTCTTGAATAACTATGTCTTCCAGATCTTTTTTTATATTTGTAAGTGTCCAAGGTTCCGAAAAGTGCCAAAAAACTTTTCTGAGAAGCGCCTATTCTGTCGGATAGAAACTTGAACTTTAAAAAAAAAACGGTGTTCGTTGCTCAATTTCTTTCGCAAAATAAGAAAATTTTTTTCTACTATCACAACTGCAAAACATCGAGAATAAACTATTCGAAATGACGCCCGGTCGGTAAACAAGTGATTTATTGTTTTGTAAACAGACGGATTGATCTTTGAAACGCAGACGCTGTCATCATTCTCTAAAATCAATAATTCTGGAAAGTTTCAATCTTCAAAACCGATGTTCAGTTTTCCGGTGGATCTTAAACCTTTAAACTCAGTGAAACAGATAGAAAGATAAATAAACAGGGTTGCTTTGGATCTCCGTTGTTCGGATTAGGAAGAGCGATATTGCACATTTTTTTCAAATTTTGAGGCGATATGTATAATATTTTTAAAATTTGTAAGTTAGTTTCCTTAAATAGATTTAAAAATACAATATTTCGTCTCATTCAAATTTCTACATGAAAGTCTGGCGTTTCGTTAAAATTATCCAGGCTTCAAGCACAGCAAACAGCTTTGATTTGAGACTTTAGAGAAATTCTTCCACTTTTGAAAAACGCATGATTTTTTTTTCGATGTACAGATGTTTTACTCTCATTCCTAACCAAGAAGAAATCTCACTTGCCCTCTCAAATTTTACTTACTGAGGGTTTTGAAATCCCAGTTCACAGGCCAAGGAATCATCTAGCTGAACTCTCTGACCGTCTCAAGGTCCAAAAAATTCACGTCAGACCCAGTAAACAAAAACACGCACGTGTCCGTGAGGCAGGGACGAAGGAGCAAAAAGAGGCGTGGCTTAACTAAAAGACAACATGTTTACCGCCGCTTTTAGACCTCCCTATAAATATGTGCGGTGGGGATACTGAGGACAGTCTCAGCTTTTCCTTTACTCCCATTTTCTAACAATACTCCTGAAGAATTCCCAGCAATAGGTTCTTTTCCTAGAAACCTTCAACCTCACTCCTTTTGTAACGATTGAATCTTGATTCGATTGAAGCTTTCCTGTGAATCTTTTTTTTTTGTTTGAATACAAGGCAAATTTCTTTTACGAAAAAATTTCATAAAGATCCTATCCCAACGATTATCCAAATTCCACATTTTTTTTGCATAATTCGAAATTACGCGCTCTTTTCACATAAAAACCATAAAGTTTGAACTTTTCAGAAAATTTCCAATACCAAAATGCCCAACAACCAGAAGAACACCCAGCAGCAAGCCTCCGAGAAGGCTGAAGAGCTGAAGAACAAGGCTTCCGAGAAGATCGAAGACATGAAGGAAGGCGCCAGAGACATGAAAGACAAAGCCGGAAAGAAGGTCGACGAGCTCAAGAACAAGGCCTCCGATAAGGCTGAAGACGTGAAGGAAGGCGCGAGAGACATGAAGGACAAGGCCGAGAGGAAAGTTGACAACGCCAAGGATAGCGCCAAAAAATCGTGCGACAAGGCTGGCAGGAAGTGCGAGAAAAAAGCTCACGATGTGAAAGAAGGAGCCAAGGATCAGTGCGACAAGGCCGGCAAGAAATGCGACAAAATGAAGAAGAAGGCTTCGAGAAAGGCTCGTGACCTGAAAGATGGCGCTAAGCAGAGACTCGACGAAGCGGACAGCACTTCAGAAGGAACTTCAGAAGGCACCTCTTCCGAAGAGAGCGGTGACGAATCCCAAGAGCCGCAAGGTTTGATCGACGCCGCCATTGTGAAGACTTCTGAGCTGGCTTCGTACGCTGGAGAAAAAGTGATGGACGCTTATCACGCCGTCGTCGGTGAGCCTAACATCGAGGACAAGGCCGCTGACAAGGCCAAAGAAGGCGTCGACAGAGCAGCTGACAAGGTTGATTAAATATATATATATAGTTTTGATTCTTAAACTGGACAATTTCAGACTAAAGAAGTTGCTGACAACACCGCCGGAACATGGGAAGGAATCAAGGAACAGATTGGCGAGAAGATCGAAGATATCAAGAACAAGGTATCCGAAGTCTGGGAAGAAAAGAAGAAGGAAGCTGCTGAGAAGGCCGACGAACTCAAGGAGCAAGTAGAAGACAAGGCAGAAGACGCTAAGGAAGGGGCAAAGGACCTCAAGAACAAGGCCAGCAGGAAGATCGATGAGGCCAAGGACAAGGCTTCCGACAAAGCTGAAGACGTGAAGGAAGGCGCTAGAGACATGAAGAACAAGGCCAACAGGAAGATCGACGAAGCCAAAGACAAGGCTTCTGAAAAGGCTGAAGACTTCAAGGAAGGCGCCAGGGACATGAAGAACAAGGCCAACAGGAAGATTGATGAGGCCAAGGAAAAGGCTTCCGACAAGGCCGAAGACGTCAAGGAAGGCGCTAAGGACCTCAAGAACAAGGCCGACAGGAAGATCGACGACGCCAAAGATTCGGCCAAGAAGACCTGCGACAAAGCCGGCAAGAAGTGTGAGGAGAAGGCCGGACAGGCCAAGGAGTGCGCCAAGGACGCCTGCGACAAATCCCAGTCCTGCCACAAGCAACAAAAGGTGAGCTTCATTTCCAATATAAAAACAATCTAAAAAATCTAATTTTCAGATCGAACATGGCGGCCAAAACTTCCACTCAGGACGTATCGTCGAGGGTCACTAAACTACGGGGAAAATTCCTTATTCGCCAATCTATTCACAGTATACTGTATTTATGCCAAATATATAACCACTAATATGGATTGTAAATAAATGTATCTTCGAGAATCTTTCTTATAAAAAGCAAGCATAGAAAAAACGAGAATTTAAAAAAATCAGAGGCAAAAAAGACGTCATTCGGGTTTAAAATGGATTTTCGGCTCTGCTGTATTCTTTTTTTTTTCTGAAACCAGAGGTGGAAGAAACGAGGGGCCCTCCCGGGCGCAACATGCCCGCCTCAGCCATCAGGCCCCTGAGAAGAAATGAGCCGCGTCATTATGTGTCGATGGCGTATAATAGACTGAAACTATTGAAAAAAATTTTTAAATTATTAATAATCTCATTTCCAATCAGAATACTCGACGTCCTCCATTTCGCACATAAGGTGACCCAATCTGAAAAAAACCTCACTAGTCAGTGTTTTCAAATTTTATAACGCTTTTTTTCTTTTGTTTTTTACCGACCAGATGGACGGACTACTTCCGCAAGAACATCAGTCAGCCAGGCCGCCACTAGATGACCGTCGCGCAAGACCGAGCCGCCTGGAGAACGTGTGGTCCACGCTGAGAAGCGAAGATGGACCATCAAAGTATCAAAGTAAGTAAGTAAGTTTTTTCTTTTGTTCAACGTAAAAACGCAAGGGGAGAAAAAGTTATTAAGCTGAAAATGATCCCAATCGTCTCCAGAAGTTCATGCATGACTCTACTTCAATTCGCCTCAAAATTTTAAGGACAATGCCAACGTATTTCTGATTTTCACGTCAGCGACATTGGCGGTCAATTTCAACGATCCTACAGGAATTTTCTCTGAACTTCTCAGGAAACATCCTGATGTTGCGACTTTAGAAGATCCTGTTTAAAACGAAAGGTTTTGCAGATATCGGTATCGAATCCAGTCCATCGAAGAACGTGTGATCAAATTTACAGAAAGAGTTTTCTTTTCTAATTCTCTAGTAACGCTAGAATGACTCTATGTTTTCACTTCAAAATTGCGAATTTCTATAGTCTGCTAAAATCTGAGGCCGTATGCAATAAACTTTCGCCGGCGAACGCTCGCTTTGGAAAATGCTCTCATTTACCAAGAAAATGATGGCGTCTTTTTGGTGAAGTGCGAAGTTTCTTCTTTTTTTTTTCGTTTTTTTTTCGGTGTTTTTTGATTTTATTTTCATATTCCGTCTTGATTATTGCTGATTATGATATAATTTCACTCAGTGTGATAGTTCGTCATCAAAAATGCCGACGCAACTTTTGGAGTCATTCCCTCTTACTGTAGCCGACTAGCCGGGTTACGGTAGGCGGGTAGGCAGAAAAACCAGCGAATTTTCCAACGTCGACTATTCCGATTTTTTCATATCGCTAGGGAACTTTCCGACGGAGAAGTTTCCGACGAATCCTTTCCGACTTTTTTTTCCCTTATATTTTTTTGGTTTATACAACATCTATTAAAAATTTTTTTGCCTTTGTGTTTTTAATCATGAATCAACTACCTACTTTATATAGGAACATTTAAAAATGAAGATTTTACCGAGAAAAAAGTAGGAGAAGGATTCGTCGGAAATTTTCCCTAGCGATATGAAAAAAATCGGAAAAAGTCGCCGTTCGAAATTTTGATAGTCTTTTTTTCGTACCACCAAACACAAAAAAACAAACAAAAAAACAACCTATTTATTCTGAAAAAAATCGGCTCAACTTTTCATTAAAAAGCTACAAAAAAATTTTTATATGAATTTTTTTGAGCTATTATGTATACTTTTCACATATACAACAAAAAAACTAACCAAAAACTAGGCCCATAACACAAAAAAATTCGAAAAAAATAGATAAAAAAATTTCATTTGGCGAACCATTTTTCCTTGCCCTTTACCGACCCTCGAGTAGGAAAAATGGGGTGGTATGAAAAAGACCAGCGAAAATTCAAACGGCGACTTTTTCCGAATTTTTTTCATACCGCTAGGGAACTTTTCCGACGGCAACCTTTCCGACGAATCTTTTTCCGACTTTTTTTCTCGATAAAATCTTCATTTTTAATCTTCCTATATAAAGTAGGTAGTTGGTTGATGATTAAAACACAAAGAAATAGGAAAAAAAAATGTTTATAGATTTTTTGCAAATTGAAAAACAAGAGAAAAAAGTCGGAAAGGGATCCGTCGGAAAGGTGGCCGTTGGAAAGTTCCCTAGCGAAATGAAAAAATCGGAAAAGTCGCCGTTTGAAAATTCGCTGGCTTTTTTTTCATATCACCGAAAATGGTTTCGCCAAATGGAAAGCGAACACATTTTCCATTATATTGCATACGGGAAAATGCCATTTACCGAGAAAAACCATCTTCTTTCGCTTGGAAAATGCATTTTCCACTTTATTGCATACGGCCTGATGCCAAATCAAACACCATGAAGTCATTTGAAAGCGCTCTGTCAAAATCTGAATAAACTATAATAGTATATAATATAAAGCGAAACGTTGGATATCAGACCTTAATGAAATGTTTATTTCGCTCACAGACAGGTCTGTGGCGTGGAGGAAGAGAACTAAGAAAGTTATATATGCCTCCACTTCGATAAAGTTCCACTTTGAATGATAATTTTAAAGAGGAATTAAAAGTGATATATCTCGGGTTATGCCGTGTTCAAAGTGATTCCGCGAAATTTAAAATAGCTGTCAGAGAAAGAGAAAGATAACTAAATTTTGGAGGGTCAGAGACCATTTTGCATTTCGCGGAAATTACTTTGAACACGGCATTATGGCCGTTGCAATTTTGTTATAGCACAGTGTGGACTTCTTCGCTGGCAAACAATTTTTATCTAAAAAACAAAACATGTTGACGAAGAGTTTGCCTCGCGAGGCTCGCACCCGATATATAAATGTGAGGGCATTCGAACAAATTTGCTGCATTGCCTCTGCGTTTCATTCTTTCAAACGCTTCTTTCCACATCTTTTAAAAAGTTCCATACAAAAATCACGATACATTTTTCAACTTTTATTTTCAAAATTTTTCAAGTTTGGAATAAATATTAATTCAATATATATGTATATATATTATATATATATATATATATACATACATATATAATATCACGCACCACCAAACCACTTCAAACACCACAGAGAAAAAAAAAAGATAATACGAAATGAGTTCATTTAAAAGAATATGGTATGCGTATGCGAAAAATGCAATTCGAATTATTTTGTTCTGCGAGTAAAAAATTTTTTTTCGTTGCGAGGTTTCGTTGCAAGCGCATTCAAAGGAGCTACGTTGTATTTTATTTCAATTTTTCTTCGTTTCATATGTTGTGTTCATTGGAGAGACGGAACATGCTTCAAAATAAAAAAATCGAGTTCATCGGCGCGTCAAAGTTGCTCCAAAACAGTACTAATTTTTTTGATGGTACGACAAAATCTCAAGTCCGCAAATCTCGAGGACCGTAATCTTGTGTACGCAGATCTAAAGTCCCATAATCTTGGAAACCAAAATCTTGGAGACCGAAATCTTGGAAACCACAATCTTGGAAAGCAAAAATCTTCCTTTTTAGTCTTCTTTATTGCACTTTATCTACTTATATTCTCTCGTTTGGATCACCGAATACAATTTCTGATAAAATCTATTCGCAAAAGCGTTGATTTTTACTTTCCAAGATTGTGGTTTCCAAGATTTTGGTCTCCAAGATTTTGGTTTCCAAGATTATGGGACTTTAGATCTGCGTACACAAGATTACGGTCCTCGAGATTTGCGGACTTGAGATTTTGTCGTACCATCATTTTTTTTTTGGGGCAATTTTCTTGCGTTTCGAACAGGCTTGTGCGTCAGGCCGGGCGGCCCGGCCCGGCCCGGGCTTTGGGCCTCATTTTCAGGAAAAAGCCCGCGTGGGCTCGGGCCACGCCGGGCTTCAAAAAAAAATTTAAGATTTTATTTAAAAAATTTTCACCGAAATGTGACTTTTACTTCTGAAATCAGCCCCCCGACCATTTCGTAAGCCCGGCCCGAATCGCGCAATTTTTTTCTAGTCGGATATCAAGTTTTTTTACGACAAAAAAATTACGTTTTTTTGCTCATTTTTTTCTCTTAAAATTTAACAAAAAAACTATGACTTGAGAAGTAAAAAGTCACATTCCGGTGAAAAATTTTTTTAAATGAAATTTTAAATTTTTTTGAAGCCCGGCCCGAGCGCACGCGGGTTTTTCCTGAAAATAAGGCCTGTCGCAAAAGCCTGGTTTCGAAGCAATTTTCGTTTTGTCCGATGGAATTTTATTGATATGCTTGAAAAGTCGAACGGTCCGGTCACTTTTTCGAGGTGGGCATTTTTTTTTCTTGATGCCGTGTTCAAAGTAATTTCCGCGAAATGCAAAATACTCGTTAGAGAAAGGAAAAGATCACTACATTTTGGAGAGGTAGAGATCATTTTGCATTTCGCGGAAATTACTTTGAACACGGCATGAAACATTTCAGTTCTAAATTGTTTAAGTCTTCAAAATGCGTAGAATTCGAATTCGAAAAGAGTTATAATTCTCAATTTTGGTCAAGTTTTTAGGTTTTGAAAAAAACTAATTATTGGCGGCTCAAAAATAGGAGATTTTGTAGAATAGTTTTCATAGAGATTTAGAAGCATTTTATTTTGGAAAAAATGGATTTTTCGAAAAATTGAGCTCAGGCGTCATAAAAAGTGACCGAACCGATCGACTTTTCCAGCATGCCTCTCTCATTTCATTCTCGTGTTTACCGTTCATGTTTCAGAACGCAATAAAAAAAAATTTTTCAAAACGCAAAAAAAAAAGAAGTTTCAATTGCTGCGTGTCTTTGAAGCAAATCATTTTTATTTTGGAGAAATTCAGTTGCTGCGTTTCTTTATACACAATTTTTTCAGTGCTTTTTCTTTTCCTGTGCAAAATAATTTGAAACCTCATGTAGGTCTGCATCCCTAGGGTTACCTCGAGTTATTAATCTTTTGATCTCGGATCGTTTCTGAGCGCCGCTAAATGTCTTTAGAGCCGCAGTTTGAACTTTCATTGCGATTAAGTAGTTTAGAAAAAACAATGTCGAATCAAGAGAGTTCTGAGGAGCAAGGAATAATTGGAACAGCTATCGAGAAAACCTTGGAAATCGGCAAGGCTGCAGGTGAAAATCTCATCGAGGCCGATCGAAAAGCTTCTGAAAAGGTTATTTTTAATGCCCTTTTTGGAGAATTTTTTTTTTAAATTTACATTTTAATTGCAGTCAACATTGATTCAACTCTATTCAGACTGACTTGGGAGGCGACAAAATCTACAGAAAATGGAACGAGATCAAAAAAAAATCAGCCGAAAAGTACGATGACATGATGGATCGCGAAAGAGCGACTTCAGAGGGAATGGCAGAATCCAATCCCGAACGAAATCTTGCACACAACGGTGACAAGCCACCAAAAGCTCTTCAAAAAAATGAACAGGTCAGTTTGTTATATTCGCTACTTCTGTTTTCGGATTTTCCACTGGGTTTTTTTAAAATCGAAAATCCGAGGTCTTTCGACCTTCGTACTCTCAATTTCTCTTCGCATATAGTTCAGATATATTGACATTTTGGTAATCTTGAGTCAGTAAGGTTTTAGAATAATTGTCTTATTGGTTTTCACTGCCGCTGAAAAGAATTATGTTGGACTCAAAATTATGTATTTATTGAATTTTTACAGAGTGTCAGTGAGAGTGGCCGACAAGAGGCTTTCAATAACCGAAGAAGGACCCGTCGAGGGGGCAGGAAAAATCGCAGGGTGGACGATCGTCGCAAGAACCCCAGTCAACAGGAAAACCCTGACGTCTCCGAAGGAGCAGAAGAAGGAGTAATGATTCTACCAGCTTTGAATAACGTTTCTCAGCCCAAGAACAACAACCGTCCTCGCAGTAACACAAACAGGCAGCGCACGTGCTCGGAAAAGACTAAAGACGGCTCATTCGACGACGTGAAGGAAGAGGAGCGAGAACGAAACGCCCAGAAAAGGCGCAATAGTCAGAAAAAACATCGAAGCTCGGAGAGATTTGGAAACGCGCCGCCGCAAGAAGGCGTCCCTGAAAAGGCGGCTAGAGCTGCACCAACCAAAAACGGCCGTCGCAGGAGAAACACGGAGAATCCTCGTCGGAACAATGGTTCTCCACAAACTGGTGATGATCGTCAGAAAAACAATCGCCGCAGGAGGAACACCGTCAACGACCAGCCCGCGTCCGACAAGGCTGAGGGAATGCCGCGGGTGTCAGATGGCGTGCGGATTTCGCCTATCGAAAAAACAAACAAAAAGAAGCAACGTCGACGCAACGCATCTGAAAACCAGAATAACGTCAAAACCGATGAAAAAAACAGTCAGCGTCGTGAGCTGAAAAAGCAGGATGCAGAAGAAGCAGCTCAGAAAAGTTTCGTTTCTCAGCCAAACGATGTCGTCAGTGGAAAAGCAGCACGAGATGAGAACGACGAGTCTGGAAACGTCGTTTTTGCCTCGGCTCTGCTCGACGATTTGAACCCGTCTACACACTTTCATTTGGATATTTTTGATAGTGTCCGTGACGCGACTAGAAAGAACGGGATGAAGCAGAAAAATGAGGATGGCGAGAAGGTTGACGCTCGTAGTGCTAAGAAGTCATGTCGTCATCCGCGCGGTAGAAAAATAGACGCTTGTTCGTCTCAGCAAAAGGTTTTCAATCTATTTTCATCGAGACTTTATTGAGAAATGTTGTTTCAGAAGCACCATGGCTTCAACCAATTCAACCAGCAAAGCAACTTCATCGCCGGCCACTGAAAAAATTTTTTCTAACTTTATTTAATTCGCTGTTTTATTGTAATTAAATGTACATAAATTTTTGGTTTGAATCTTCTTTTTTTTGTGTTTGAAAGCAGTTATTTTGAAATCTGTTTCACTATTGAGTCTACTTCTCTTGTGTTTCAGTAAACAAAAGAAAATTGATCGTTGAGCCTCTATTTCTTGTCACACTCTTTGAGCAGAAAATTTTTTTTTGTTAGTCATACAAATTCAGAACAAAAAGTAAAGGTTAGAGAAGAAGTTTCCCGCCAAAGTTGATAGAAAGAAAATGAGATATTTTTTCAAATATAATATTTCCAGTGTTCATACACTGGTGAATCGGGAAGTCGATACAAATAGCTACCGGGTAGCAACTTTTGAAAAAGTCAGTAGGCGTATGGTAATCGGTGGTCGTTTGTATGCGACCGGGTACTATCTCTATGGTACCTGGATAGTACCTGGTCGGTATCTGGATGCTACCGGGTAGGTACCTGATATTCGCGAAAACCACTGGCTGGCACATCGGTCGTTTATATAGCATCGGTAAAAAATACCGCGGTGTTTTTTTACACCTTCCCAAGCCTTCCAGGGTCTTATTGAATAAAGCTGACAAGGGCTGGGTGAACATCGAGTTATGAATTGAGGCTTTCATGGTAGATAGACCTAGGGGAGAGTGCTCCAAAACGAAAGAGAAAATCTGCTAAGCGCGATAGGGTACCGAAAAAAAGCTCGTCAAAGTTTTGCCGCCACGTATATGCCCGCGCTCGGAGTGCTCGGCCAGCAGCTGGGAGCGTGGTGAAGTGGCAGTGTTCTTGAATGGCGCTGACGCTATGCTGGGTTCGATTCCTTTTGACGTGAAACTTTTTTTGCTCTTTTTTTTCAATTTTTCTACACTCTATTATTAAAGTATTAAGCAAAAAACAGCGAAAAATGTTTGAATTGAAGGAGATGATTGAAAATTGGAAAAAAAGGAAGGAGAAAGCACAAAAAAAAACTTTTTTGTGTCATATTCAGTTTTTCCATTGATAACTTTTAAAAAATTGTTCAAATAATTGATGCTTGGGCGGCTTCTCGAGATGACAACACATTAAAAATACAATAAAAAAAGTCAGGAACCTCCTCTAAAAAGTTTTATACTTGTGAATAATATCACACTTGGCACCTCTGGCCTCATTCAACCATTTCATAGGTTTTTTTTTTCTTTTTACTGTTTCGAAATCTTTCATCGCAAAAATTCCACCGACTGCTCTATTTTCCCTTTTTCTAATACCAGAAGTTTTGTTTTATTGCTCACCGAAACTTCTGAAATTTCATGGAGAATGCGAAATTAGATTGACAGGACTCCCTGTGCTCTTCGGGCTCGTACTCACACTTGGTTTCTTTTTTTTCACATAGTTATGAGTGATTTTCTCACTTATATTTTTGCTTCAATCCCATGGTGTTGTGATATCGAAAGCCATAAACCAATTAACAGAACTTTTTTTCCGATATTTTCAATGGAAAAACTTAATGTGACCCAAAAATTTTTTTTAGCTATTCGTATCGACTTCCCGATTCACCTTTGGATAACGGAAGTAAGAATATTCATAAATTAAGTACTGAAGGCGTTTAGTTTGACTATAATCTTTTTACAACAGTTCGAGAACGCTTCAAAAATAGACGAGATGACATGTGGCCTAACTTTAAATTAGCACTACTGGAAGTTGCTTCATCTTCAAACATCTAATAAAATTCGAATTTTTACTACTTCTTCTTTCAAGTCACAGGAGTGCCGTTGACAAAAATAACGGTGAAGGGGAAAATTGTAAATTGCTCAATATCGCACATTCATTTGGAAATTTGTGATAGAACAGTATGAAAGAAAATTATTTTTGTTTAGGGAAAAGCTTGTTTTCAATTCCGAAGAGCGAGTTTATGTTTACCATTTTTTGGGTAAAAGCGGTAATCGCCTACTAATTTTTTGTATACGGGTTTTTTACTGAACCTGATTGCGTTCGAATAAAGTGAGCGTTAAAGCCTTCAAGCGAAAATAATGACGTTTATTAAAACGAAGAGACGTTTTTATTTTGGTAATTTAAAGAATCAGGTACTGAAAACAGCTTAGGGGCGGAGACGATCGGCATTTTTGCTTGCAGGACAACAGGGAAATAGTACAGCGAATGTAGAGGGTTGGTTGACTGCTTGTGGTAAACATGTTTATAGGGAACACGGAGCGAAACTCTATAAATATCGGCCTGGAAACGCGGAAAGTATACTAATTCTTAATATTTCCAAATTTCTCCGTTTAGAAGTCCCTTTAAATAGGGCGCTTAAAATTTTCCTTTCTTCTATTAGTTGGATTAATTTTGAATATGTCTCTTAACAAAACAAAGACGAATGAAATTCAAAGAAACTGAAAACTGGGAAAATTTTCGGAAAGCTCTTAAGATTTTTATAAGTGTTTTCTCTGATCATACTAATTTAATTTTGTTTTTTGTTTTCAGAAACCCCAAATCACTAGAATGGAACGTCAAGACCCCCGCCTTATCAGCAGCGAGCGTCCGCTCCACAACCAGGACCAGGGCATCATCAGCAGTGCCATCGACAAGACCAAGGAGCTCGCAGCGGACGCCGGCGAGAAAATCAAGGATGCCTACCACGCGGTGGTTGGCGAGCCACGAGCTGAGGACAAGGCACGCGACGCTGCCAAGAGCTATGTCGACTCTGCTGCTGAGCAGGTTGGTCTTGGTCTCGCTGGGCCTATTGCTCACTGAACGGTTTCCTCACAGACTAAGGACCTCCGTGATGGAACCAATCGGTCATGGGAGCGAACCAAAAACGACGCTTCTCGCAAATGGGAAGACCTCAAGGATGACGCCAGCCGCAAGTGGGAGGACCTGAAGGAAGGTGCTCAGGATCAAAAAGACCGCGCCGAAGGTACCTGGGACGATATGAAGGAGCGTGCCATCGACACCTGGGACGACTTCAAGGACTCGGCTCGCCGAACCCAGTACAACGCTGAGCGCAAGTGCGAGGATGCTTCCTGTGCCGCACAACAAAAGGTTTTTCCTTTTCCTTTCTTCTTCGATAATCATTGTCCCTTGTAGCTCGAGCGTGCTCAAGAAAGAACTGGAGAGCAGATCAGAGCCGCCACGAATCCCACCATTGAAGGATTCTAAATCCTTATTATCCACGGGTCGTAATTCGAATATTCTTCACGACTATCGAAATTGTATAGAAGCTCAATTCAATTTATAATGTACAAACGGTTTTTTTTTCTCGATATTTTGAAAATAAATATTTTGCTCTCACCCACTCTGTCGACGATTTCATTTGAAGGAAGAAAAGTTGTGGGAGCTTGGCTTAATCGCAGTTCCTAATGAAATTAATTAATAAAGAGCTATTTAAAATTGAAAGAGCAATTTGATGAAAACACTACGAGGATTTCAGTTTTTTTTCCTCTTTATGTTCATTTTAATTTTGTTTGCTTGTCGTTTTGAAGTAAACAGAAATGACGAATGCGGCAACGTGGAAGGGGGAAAGAGGACAGAAAAACATGTTGTTTGTCTATTTTCTGGAGAAACACTGGCTATATAAAGAATTCAGGGGTGGTTGAAAAGTAGTTTCTTCAGACTAGACTAGAAGCTTAAAATACGACCGAAGTGGTTTTGAATCTTTGTGCGCTGGAAAAATTTCCTCCTCTTGTGCGTTTTTGTTGAAAATTTGAAGCGTCAGTGGAGGAGATAAATTTTACACTCTTTCTCTAACTTTTATTCCACATCATCACCTAGATGCAATCTTTCAGGAAAATGTCGCAAAACGACCAAGGAATCTTAACCAGCGCTGTCGACAAGACCCGCAAATTAGCTCTGGAAGCAGCCGACAAAATCATGGAAACCTGTCAGTCTGTTGTGAGTTCTTCACAAAAAAACGGAGCGGATACTTTCGAAGCTGTTGAAGATGAAGTGAGACTTGTTCCACAGTTGAAATCATTTCCAGAAAGTTTTTTTTAGAATAACAAAAAGCAACCAAATGAGCACCTCCTGTGGATTGGAGAACCGAATGAGGTGAATTTAAGAACCTTTTACAGCGGTTTTGAAAACTTCGTTTAGAGTGCCCCCGTACAGGAGCAAAATGGTGAAAAAATTCGAGCTGCTGGACTTCCGATCGACAGCTTTTAAGTTTGGCACATTTATGTGAATATAGACTGTTCAACATTGTCGGCGTTCTTCTTCGACCAGAAAATATTCATATTTTGAGCGTGTCACTCCCCTTTTTTGTTACTTAGGTCAGCCCTGAATCGACCATAAATCTTATTGATCAATTTTTTTTTCGTCCAAAATAATAAATAAATGGTTGCAAATTTAAAAAAAAACACTCATAAAGTTTCGAGAGTTTTACCTCGAATAATAGCTTTATTGACCACAAAAAATGCCTCTAAGAAAACATCGAAGCTCAAGAAGATCCCAGAACATTTCTAAGGGTTCGAAAGGGGGAGGATCTCTTGGTTCTTTGCACGCCACGAGGTAACAACAGCTTACGAAATAGAGGCGGGAAACGAGAGAGTGTGTGATGTGATGGTTCGCTGTTGGTAAACATGTTTGGCAGGCCCCTTTGCAGCTTTCCCTATAAATATGTCGCTGGTAGCCACTTGGGTACTCTCTTCTCTTATCACTTGTTTAAATATCAATTTAATTATAAATAAATACACATCATTGAAATTATTTTTTTGAGATGATGAGGATATAAATTATTATATATTTTTTTCCGCTTCTCACTTTTGTGCATACACTGTTGCACTGCACTAGATGCAGTTTAATCCACGAGAATTTGACGTCATCTTTTTAGTTGACGTCATCTCTAAAAAGAAAAATGCTTGAATTTTGTTCAAAGCTATTTATTTATGTAGTAAATTATTTTTTTCGAATTTTCACAAATTCCGTAAACCCATTAAACTTTGAGGAAACTGATCATTTTTTTTATGCTGATGCGTTGTTTTATTTTTTTTTTTGGTACTTAGTCGTAAGTTCGATTTGTTTACAGATACGTCAGACAATGATGTCATATATATGACTTATTTTCATCTCATTACGTCATCTTTGTTTCCTATATAAGTCGCATTCGCTCTTGTTTTTCAATTTTTTTTCTTCATCATTCATTTGGAGAAACGGCAGCGATTAAGAGGTATATATATCCAGAATCTCACTTTCTAGTGGGGGACTGATTCCGCTTCTCCATCAACCTTCTTTGCGTTCAAAGTAATGAAAATATATACAGTGAATTTAACAATTGTATCTGTTTTCTTCGTTTTTTTTTTGTCACCATTGCTTCCGCGTTTTTTTTAAATTTTATTTTATCTTCAAAACTATTATTTTTTTCAGAAGAGAAAAATTCTAAAAAAATGTCGCAATCGCAAGGAATCTTGAGCAGCGCTGTTGAGACCATCAAGGACGCTCTTCATGCCGCCGTTTACGAGCCGGAAAAGATCGACGACGCTCGCGATGAGCTTAAAGACATGGTGGACGTTCTTGCTGATAAGGCAAGTCCATTTCGGAACGTTCATCACCATTAAAATTGAATTTACAGGCTAAAGACATCCGAGAAAACGCCAGCGGAACTTGGCAAGAACTGAAAAGCCAAGCCAGCGAAACATACGATGAGGCAAAGGATGCAGCTCAGGAAGGCAAAGAAGAGCTGAAGGCAACAGCTGGCAAGGCTTGGAACGAGGCCAAAGGCACGGCCCAAGACGTGAAAAAAGATGCCGGTAAGGCAGTCGATGAAGTCAAGGACAAGGCCGGAGACACTGTGGACGGAGTCAAGGACTCCGCTAAAGACTTGAAGGACAAGGCTTCCGAAAAGTGGGACCAAGCCAAAGACGAAGCTTCTGACAAGGCCGGAGAGGTGAAGGACAAAGCCTCCGAGAAGGCTGACGAGGTGAAGGAGAAAGCCAGCCGCGCGGGTGGTTTCATGATGGGCCACGACGAGGAGTCTGCAGCTGAAAAGGTACTGTCATTTCATCAAATTATGCTCATTTCACGTTTCAGACTCGCGAGCTGAAAGACAAGGCTTCCGACAAATGGGAGGAAGTTAAGGAAAAAGCTTCTGACAAGGTTGACGAAATGACCTCTAAGGATTCTCGCGACTCGGCCAAGCAAGCCGTCGACTCGGCTGCAGACAAGGTATAGTTCTTTTTAATCTGCAATCGTCGCTAAGGCGAAGTAATTTCAGGCTAAAGATCTCCGCGACCGTGCTGAAGACAAGGTCGATGATGCGAAGGAAACTGCCTCGAAGAAGGTCGACGAATACACGTCAAAGGATTCGCGAGAATCTGCCAAGCAGGCAGTCGACTCTGCAGCTGATAAGGTTTTCAGACCGCGGGCACGAGATGAGAAAGGAAATTTTGAATTCTAGGCTCAGGACCTGAAGAACAACGCCGAGAGCAAGTGGGAAGATGTCAAGGACGAAGCCTCCGACAAATGGGAAGATGTCAAAGACAAGGCCTCGGAAAAGGCAGAGGACATCAAAGAGAAGGCTGAGGACAAGTGGGAGGATGTCAAAGGTTCAGCTCGTGACGCTACCTGTTCTGCTGAGCAGAAGGTTAGCTTCCTTCGGAAAAGGCTTTTAGTAAGATATGACACGGTAGATTGAATTGGAATTCAAGTTTTTAACTTGGCATTCTTTTGAAATTGACTTAAAAGTTATATGTTTGCTTCTGAGTATTTTAGATGGGTTTCTAACTTATTACGTATCCGGTCTTTTTTCTTTTTTCGAGCGTAAAAGGTAGTAAAATTTTTCAAAAGGAACCTGAGCAGTTTTTCGAATTATGTTTAAATTTAGCCGAGTTTACAATCTTTTTTTTTCAGCTCGAGGAGATCAGGGAGAAAACTGGCGAGCAGATCCTTGCGGCCTCAAATCCAATCGAAGGCTTCTAGATTACCAACTACGGGTTCTTAATACTTGACGCTGGCTTTAAAACATGTTTTTATAGATGTTTCGTTCCCCTATTGCCTGTGTCACCATGTACATAGTTTTAATTTTAAATAAATATTTTGGATTTTTTTGAGGATGGTTTTTTTCTGATGAGTGATCACATTTATTTTTGTGTGAATTATATTTATCAATCAGCAAGTGCCTTTTTAAATACTTTTTTTTCAAGTTTATTAATTTTTGAATTTTTGAAAAGGCATAGTTCCATCTTATAAAAAAATATAAAAATTCTTTTCATTTTTGATGCGGAAAGGATTTGTGTGTTCGTCGGAAAAAGAAAACGAAAGTTGCTTCGAAACGCAGAACTGCGTTCCGCAAAGCTCCTACGCTTGTCTTGCGCTCGGAACCGAAAAAAGTTTTGAAAAAGTTTGTCGAAGAGCGGTTTTATTGTTGATATTATCCAATTATTTCGGTTATGTCTTAAGTTTTAAATACTCGAATTAAAGTTTTCAAATATTATGCATGCTCTCACCATGCTCTCTCGTCAGAGGTTTGCGTAAAAAGCTCTAGTCAGTAGATAAATTTATTCTTTGTCGAAGAACCTGCCGCAGCGATTACAATTGACAAGGAAAGTGTATACCAAAAATTTGGTGACTTGTTGAATTTTTTCATGAAACTTTGGCATAATGCCGGCATGCCATATCTCGCAATAAATCTGGTTTTGATGTCTTCGAGCCACACTACTTACAAGGGAGGTGATTTTACTTTGCGGTTGGGATTTTCCTTAAAATTGACCAGAACGCTCCTTGATGTACTTGAAGAAGATTCTGGAAGTCTCAATCTGCACACCTTTCTCGTTTTTGGAAAAAGACACCTCAAGGTCAAAGAAACCCCTCAAAATCAATAAAAATAGTAGTCTATTTTGGGGCTTCAGGCCTTTATATCTCGAAAACTAGAGAGTTTTGCAGGTTGAGACTCTCAGGATCTTTATAGTCTGTTCAGATTTTGAATGTCAAGTCGCCGCTGAAGCTCCGCCCATAATAGTGCAATAAACCAATCAGAGAGCGAGCCATTCACAGAGTGTTTTTGAACGACGTCATTGCACTTGACATTCAAAATCTGAACAGACTATATTTGGTACATAAAGAAGTGTTCTTGTCGATTTTCAGGAAATTCCTAACAGGAATTATATCAAGAACACTTCTCTTGTGAGCTAATTTTTTTTTTCGAAGATTCTATTATGAAATAGTCTGGTGAGCTTAGTAGTCAACATCAACAAAAATAAGCGGCCGAGGACCAGATTTTACCATAAACATGTTTGCTGCAGGGTTCGTTCCGCCCAACGATTCTTAGCATATAAAAATAAAGGACTCTAGGGGCTAATTTTTAAAACCCGCTTTTCATTTAGATAATTGGTTAATTTGGGAGTTAGAAATTAATTTTTTGTAATCAGTTTTCAAAGTACCACCTTTTTAGTACCTATCCGTTTTTTCATTGTAAAAAATATCTATATACTAATTTATCTCTAAACACGTTTTGCGTTAAAACTGAAACGATTTTTTAAAACTTGTTACATCGCATAAGTTAGTATAGTCCGTTCAGATTTTGAATGTCAAGTAGAATGACGTCATTCGAAAACGCTCTGTGGATGGCTCGTTCTCTGATTGGTTTATCGCGCCATTATGGGGCGGAGCTTGAGCGAGGACTTGACATTTAAAATCTGAACAGACTAATATTTGCACACAGAAATAAGTCTCAGTACGCAAAATGATGTCATTTTTGTTGTTGTTTTCGTGAATTTTGTTGATTCCCGTCATTATTCATTCACGTAAGGTAAACGTTCTTATATCGTCGAACTTCTTTCAAGGGTAAAATTTTGTAATTTTCTAATCCTTAAAAAACTTTTTTTCTGATACTCCTCCGAAATACAATTAGTGAATTATTCATGTTACGTTCATCATTATTTCAACAAGTTTGATGGGGTTCAAAAATATTTTTCCAGCAAAGATTGTGTTAATTCATATAATCACTTTTTTCAAGAGCTCTTCAAATTTTTTTTCTTCAACTTTTTTCGCAGATTTTGCTGCTCTACTGAATCTTTCTTTTGTTGCTAATCTGTTCTGAGCTTGCAGAAAATCTTAAAAAGCATTTGAAAATGTCGCGCTCCGAGAAAGGTATCATCAGCCACGCGGTTGACAAGGCGGCGGACGCCGGCGACAGAATAAAAGACGTCTACCGCGCGGCGACCGGAGGGCCTGAAGACCAGATCCGCTATGTCGCCAAAGGCTACATCGATCAGGCCGCTGACAAGGTTATCTTTGTTTTTTTTTTGTTTGTTGGCTCGAAAAAATATTGAAGAAAATTATGTAATCGGGAAAACTTAAGGAACAAACTCCAACATTTTAAATTAAACCAAATGGCGCTTTTTTCAGGCCAAAGAGCTACATGCTGACGCCGACCGCATCATGGATGACATCAAGCGGTCTGGGGAACAAACAAAGGTGAGGAAAAGCTCCATAGTTAACCTAAACTGTAACAAAAAACTTGAAAGTCCATTGGTCTATTTTTTGCAGTGTTTTTTTTTTATAAACGCTTTTGTAGATAATAATATTTTTTTTATAAAAATTCTAAGAAACTTTTTAGTGGTTAGTGTTCAAAAATTGGACGGTTCGACCAATTAGACCGTTCAGTTTTCGAACGGTTATAACATTTCATTCTTCTGACCGTTCGTTTGACCGACCAGTTTCTGAAAGTAAAGAAACCGACCGACCATTTTAGGAGTGACATTTTGAAAGGTCAAAAAATAACTTCATTTCAACATGTCACTCTGATATGTTGAAATGTTAAAACTCCAACCGTTCGACCAATGACCATTTATCTTTACATGTTGGAAAAATATGGGTCGAGAGTTCGGTCGAACGGTTTTTTTTCGAAACTGAAGTTACTATAGGGTTTTGACGTTTTAGTGCCCTTTATAGTAGTCGAGTTAGTGGCCACTTTAAAGGCTGAAATTCGTGGCCTTTTTAGAACTCTGATTGGTACTTCTAGATCACTTAAAACTGCTATAGTGGCCACTAAGGCGAAAAATAGTGGTGGTTTTAGTAAAGAAATTTCCCGGTTATGGCTAATAGAGCTAATGTTTAAATTTCGCTTCATTTTATCATGAAATTTGAATTTTTCAGACCGAGCGGCAGCAAGAACGTGTCGGGCAGCAGATCAAGGATGCCATCAACCCCATCGAAGATTTTTAATTTATTGCTTTAGACCCGATTATATTGTAAATAATTTTATGGTTAAGTAAATACTTGTTCTTTTTCATTCTTGTTTTTTAAGTTCCGTTTGCAGAAGCCCGATGAACTTACCAAAGCTGAGAAGTTGGGTCGAAAGAAAATACAGCGAATCGAAGAGTTTTTTTTTCGTCACTAATCGATTCACTGATCGATGTGAGTCGTTTTAAGTATGAGAATAGTTGTTGGTCCAATGCAAGTTTCAAGAATCCTTTCCTTCTATGTCTCAAGGCGAAATTTACCTTCTTTTCTGAACTATTAAACGTAAAAAAGTTGATGCTCAACAAAGGTAAAATGTTTAGGCTAGTTGATGGATCCGCAATTTCAGAAAAGCTACTAGAATTTTCTTTGTTTATTCGTCGGCCGGCAAGCAAAGGCTGAAAAAAAAAAAGAAAGAAGTGAACAACATCGATAGGTCTAGAGACGCCGAGAAGTAGACGACCAAAAATCGGAATTGCATCCGAAAGAAATGACGTAGCGGTTGTTTTGTTGAGCTCTGAGTTTCATCGGGGAACCTTTGAATTTGGACCGAAACAGAAACGATTGAAGCTTTCTTCAGAAAAAAATTTTCTTTGAAAAAGAAATAAGTTTCTGAAGCAAAAAAAAAGTGTGAAAAGACTCACTAGAATATCATTGAAATGAATAAGAACGAAGGGTACATTTTCGATTCAACAGAATATTTATTTTTACACCATTTTTGATCGTCTTTTAGGTGCTGCTTTTTTAAATCATCATTGTTAATTTCAAGGCAAACTTAAACGAGAAAAGTCAGTTCATTTTGAAATTTTCCTACTTTGGTTTGCGGAAATATTTTTTCCCGTAGAAATTAAACTTGAAAGTTCAAGTCGTCAAGTTTCTGTAGTAACTCCCATGATAATTGATGGCTCCAAACTTTTATAGTCTATTAAAGGTCATAAATTCCCATTTCCATCTCATTTAACTCAAAACTCTCAGTGGTATACTCGTGGTACCATCGATAGACTTCTGACCCTGCGATATACATACGTCATCTCGAGGGTATCGCGGTATAGCTGATTCACGGCTGGCTTGAGCCATCGAGAAAAGGATCCTGCCACGAAAAGAGACGAGACAGTGCCCTGTTTGGTGGAGAGTGCAGACAGGCCACGCCTTTTTGCGTCCAAAGCTAGCCGTGAATCGTCTATATATATAATATAGTGATTAGTTTTTTTTAATTTGAAAACATATAGGGAGATTTTTTCTGCAGCTCCAGTTTTGCTCTTTTCTTTTCTTTCGGCCTGGAAATTCTTCCGAAGGAAAGCGGACACTAACTTTTCATAATATGACATGTTAAAAAATGAATCGAAATGAACCATTTTTTTTATCGTCTCGGTTTTTCACTGTGCGCCAGAGAAACGATGTCATAGTCATGAGGAGACAAAGTTTCTCAACGTAGTTTAATTGTTTTTCGCATCCCATTCTTCTTTCTGTGCACTTTTCACGCTCTTTGGTGTTTGGTACTCTGCTTCTTTGCGTCTCCTCTGAAAACAGGTTGAGAAATAGACCCGCAAAAAAAAAGATGAAAGGCAATTGGATAGACCCGCAAAAAAGAGATGAAAGGCAATTGGGGCCCTCACAAACCTCTGGGCAAATTTTAAAAATTATATTATCGTTTGTAAATATAACGAGGAAGGGTTTACAAAAAAATTATATCTTCTGCTATGATTTCTTTGACCAATCTCATAGAAAAAATAAAGAACCTCGGGAGACACGCCTGTTAAAGACGGCCAATCGGATTAAGGTATAGTCAGGATACGTTTTTCGGTAATAAAATGAAAGCGAGTGTACTTTTTGTGACTTATCTTTTAACCTCGAGAAATAGGTCCTTAACAAGTTGCGAAAAATAGAAAACATCAAAAAAATTTCCCAGACCCAAGCTGACTGCGCAATATTGACCGGCCGCCGTAGCACTGTCTCATGCGTGGAGACCTTTATTTTTTATTTCGCAAAACTATGCATGCCCTCTTAAAAGTTAAGATGACGAGAAGTCTGCAGATGTAAAGTTACTTTCATTTTTTCACATTTATGAGTCGGAGGTATATCTACAACCTTTTCATTTTAATCATATGTTTTATTTTCAAAATTTGAAGGCCAAAAAGCAATATGGCAGAGGAAGAAACACAGCGAAAAATACCCTGGGCGGAGAAATGGGCGTGTACCGTAGAGGAAGCGCAAAAAAACAAGAGAGGCCAGTCGAAAGGGCGTTGTGGTAAACATGTTGACAGGACGTTAGCTTTTTCCGTATAAATAAGAACCAACGAGCAAGCTGAGAGGCATTCCAGCGAATTCCTTTTTTGGGATTCTAGAAGCTGCTCTTTCGGAATATCTTTTCCCTTTTTTTCCCTACTTTTCTTCCCACTAAAATTTATTTAGTTATGTTTCCAGTAGACACTTTACACCAGTTTTCTCAATAAGCTTATATTTGCTCCTGCTTATTCTGTACATATATGTCATTAACTGCTGAATAAGATGATTTATTTCAGAAAAAGCAACCAAAAAATGTCCAGCGACAAGGGATACATCGAGTCTGCCATCGACAAGACCAAGGAGTTGGCTTCGGACGCCAGCGACAAGATTGCCGACGCCTACCACAGCGTCGTCGGCGAGCCGCGAGCTGAGGACAAGGCCCGCGACAACGTCAAGGAAGGCATCGACAAGGCCGCCGACAAGGTAACCTTTCACCCAGTTTCTTCAAAGCATTTTCGAATCTATTTCAGACGGCTGAGCTCCGCGACAAGGCCGGTGACAAGCTTCGAGCTGGCGCCCGTAAGGTCGAAGGATCCGACTAAACCATTCCATGACTTTTGTATTTTATATTAAATTACCTGTACAATATGTATTTTCCAATGATTTTTAATAAACTGTGCGCACAGGGTTCTTGGAAATGGTCGTAAAAAATTGAAATCCCAGTGGAATACCTAGTATTCTCGTTACATCCAGGTGCAAACTTCACAGTAGCTTGATAGGAACAATATTTGTAATATTGCAAACCTTGGAATTATTTTTTAAAAAAAGCAAGAAGACAAATAAAATAGAGGGAACTGTCTCATAAAGGCTAATTCGTTGTAAAAGCCTTATAGCTCACACGATGAGGAAGGCTAAAAACAGAGGTCGTATGCATCAGGCTTGTGCGTCAGGCCGGGCGGCCCGGGCCGGCCTGGCACGGGCTTTGGACCTCATTTTCAAGAAAAAGCTCGCGTATGCTCGGGCCGTGCTGGGCTTTGGGAAAAAAATATAAAATTTCACTTAAAAAATTTTCACCGAAATGTTACTTTTGCTTTTGAAATCATAGTTTTTGTTGAACTTTGAGTGAAAAATTGAGCAAAAACGTAATTTTTGTCGGAAAAAAACTTGATATCCGACTAGAAAAAAATTGCGCGTTTTGGGCCGGGCTGGCCATTTTTTCTTGAGGCCTCGCTAAGGCCGCGCCAGGCCGGGCTTACGAAATGGTCGGGGGCCGGGAGGGTGACGGGCCGGCCCTCGCACAAGCCTGGTATGCATGCACTATGGGAAAATTTTTAGTGGCCCCAATAGGGTTTTGATGTTCTAGTGGCCACTATAGTAGTCAAATTAGTGGAAACTTAAGAGGTTAAAAATTAGCTCTATAGAGGTCTAAGTGCTACAATATACTAGAACATTAAAAATTTTAGTGGCCACTTCAATTTCGAAGTCAATGGATCAACATAACTGGTCCACTCTGTTTGTTTCAAAATGATCAGAGTTACAGGAAGGGATACTGGGCATGCTGGATGAAAGGAATACTGGGCATGCTATAAAGTACGGGCGTTTAAAAAATGCAACCGGTGCGACCGCCTTTAAAATGCGACCGCTTTTTTTGTGCTCCACTGCAAATTAATAAAATACGGGCGTTATTTGAATTGTCATTATTAGTATTTTGTGCGTCCGAGATGCGTCAGGGCTGTGAAATTGCGTCGTCGTTCAGCCTTTTTTTTTTTACATCTTTTATGTTTTAATAATGTCTCTTTTCATTACAAGTTTTTTGATTATCAACTTCTATAGGCTATACCTGTTCCATTCTTACATGGTTCAATGGGTTTCGAACGTCCTCCAAAAATAATAGTTCTCGTTTCTATGGGGGAATTTTCTCTGTCCGCTCTGCGTCCTTTTCAGCTCCTATTCTTCTGTCAATATTTCTCAAACAGGCTGGTCATATTCTCAAACGTATACTTTTCTTCTGTTGAGCGTAAATAGTTTTTCGCCCTTTTCCGAGCCTGATTTCAGTTTTTGCTCGTATTTCTGATAATATTATATTTTTAGTAGAATGGAAATGAATTCGAAAACGTTCCACACGAGCTTGGGCAACATAACCTGGACAGTTGGTGAACACTGCAAGAAAGGATTGATCGTGCCTCTTTTGTCTATTTCTTTTCAGAGTGCCTTATTATACTTCATTGGTTTAGTTTACGGTTTTTTAGGTATGTTTTATTTTTCGCGTTTGAAGTGTATCATCCAGCTATTGCTTGGACTCTTCGAATTAAAAAAAAAATAAATAAAAGCCTTTTCCCTTTATTAACTCAAAAATAGTATTCAGGAATTACTCTTGCTGTGGACGTTTTCATGAGATCTATCGAGAGAATAACCAGGGCAACCATGTGAGAAACATTTAATGACTGAACTGTACGCAAATTCAGAAGAGGCAATAAAAGGAGCCGAAATGGTGACTTGTTAGAAACGGAAGAACAGCAACGGTATGAGAGGGTTCGTGTTTGGAACCCCGCAGTGGCGAACTTGACAGTTATGGTCAGTTGCATTTTCTTCAAGATTCAACACTTGCTATACTTCACTTTCAGGCAGTCGGGAGCTCAGCTCCAGAAATAATGCTAAATATTGCGGAAACATTTGAAAGAGGTTTCCATCAAGGCGAGCTGGGGCCAGCAACAATTGTTGGCTAGTTTTTTTTTTGTTTCTTTCGTATCAAAAACATTTTCTGTTTAAATTATTTCGAAGTTGGCCTTGAAGCTGTGCAGAATATTCATTCAGTACGGCAAAAAAAATATTTTGTTCAGTTTGTCAATTTTTCCAAAATCAAAAATATTCCAATCAATTTTGTCTTTTGAAGCCCAAGGAGTTTTCTTATAGAATTTTACGCAAAAAAACTTCTCCCTTGAAGAAGCTGAAGGAAGAGTCGAAAACGATCTTTCAGGAACCGCCGCTTTCAATCTGTTCTGCGTGACCGCCATTTGTGTCCTTGTCGCTCCATCTCCAGAAGCCAAGAAAATTGTCATTTATCGAGTTTTCATAGCAACAGCCGTTTTCAGTACCTTTGCCTATGTTTGGCTGTTCATTGTAGGCTTATGAAAAAAAAAAAACGAAAAAAATTCAGTTTAGTTTATATTTCAAGGTTCTCAACGTTTTTTCTCCAGAGGTAGTAGAGATTTGGGAGGCGTATGCAACTGTCTTTTACTTCTTTTTCTTGCTTCTCATCGCATACACTGTAGACGTCCAGGTTCTCCTTTTCCAGAAGTAATTTTGTCAAAAAGAGGTTTGCAGCTGTGGAAATGCAGAAGATGTAAAGATCACTTGTCTCTGACCGATTATGAAGCTACAACTGTTAAAGAAGCGACCCTTCGTGATAAAATTGAGCGGTGGGCCGACAAAAACAACGTTGATATTGCCAAAAAAGTGAGCAGAAACTTTTGGATCAAGGGACAAATTGACAGTTTTTATTAAAGCATCTACATTTTTATGTACCTCAAGTTTTCATTTTTTTTTTAATCGAGCTTCCTTTAGAAATGTTTCTCAATTTTTAGGTTATATCACTTTAAATGCTGAGATTCTCACTAATTTTCAACTAATTGAGGGAAATCAGTTCTTCATTTTAACCAAAACACTCAATATAATACATATACCGTTGTGTTCAATAAGCGATTGACTTACAAAAAAACGAAAAATTTTTCACTCAAATAGAGAATAATTCTTTTTTTCGCAAAGAATTCCATAATGCCTGACGGCTGCTCCCCGGGAGCCTTCCGGCGAGCTTGCGCGCCTGTTTTTTTTAAGCGGATGCTCTCGTGAACACTCTGCGCTGTGAAATTCTTATCGTGTCTTCAGAAAATCTTCCATAAATTGAATAATATATAATCGCTGTGAATTTTCATCGCAAACTTCCAAAAAAGCTTTTGGAGTCCGTACTTCTTACTTGTGACTCAAACTTAACGAGATGAAAATATATAACTTCTGATTTCTCGGAGCTTCAGGAGCTCTACGATTCAGTGGAAGAAATGCCGGTGAAGCCAATCAACGGCCTGGCCAAGCATATCAACAACGCCTACCCGAACCTTTCCGTCGACGATCAAGCAAAAGTTTTGGCTTATCATCTGCACAAAGGCGTGGTGAGCCACTGCGAAGCTTCAGAGGGAGCTTTAGGACTTTTTCAGACCAAAGACAGAATGTACTATCGAAGGAAGGCGGTGGGCAGAATTTCCTCGGCGGTCAACAAGCGGGAAGAGGAGCGCGAAGCCGAGAAGATCATCAAAAAACACGAGAAAAATGCTCATGGTAATATTTCGATTAGTGTGCAAAAATACAGAGTTTTGAAGCCAAAATCGTTTCGAAACGTAATAAAAGGGCAGCAGAAAGGCGTCAAAGCGCTACTTGAAATAGAACTTTTTTTTGGAAATGGATGTGAGGTCTAAAAAATCAATTTCTTCTCTTACATAGTAGTTTCCTGACTACGTTGTACAGGATAGCAACTGAAGGTTACAACTCTCGTTTAATATTTTATTAGTTTATTTTCTGTTCTATCTGGTTTTGAAATTTTCAGAGTAATGGAAGAATTAATTGATGAAAAAATAGCGAATAAATTTAAAAAAAAAGGTAAGATGGCTATATTTTCGATCAGTCCGATTCAATCAAGCTTCATCTCGATAGCAGATGGCCTGAGCAAGCCGAGAGTACTTATGACGATTTTTTTTTCGTTCTTTGAACTCATTGATTGGCAAAAAGATAACCACAAACTTTAAAAAAAAATGTAGTGAAAAAATAGTTTTAATCAGAAATGATGAAACACAAACAAAAAGGACAATTTTCGCCCAACTACTTCGACGTAGTGTCACACGCCATCGCCATAATGAAGCGGCTTATTTCATCGCAGAGGCCTGATGGATAAGTTAGGCATGTTGTGCCCGGGGATATCTTCATTTATTCCACCTCCCCTCCGAAGGATCATTTTGAACACGCGAGAAATTTTACTTGGTGGTCGTAGTCTCATCGAAAAAATTTTCAAAACCACCCTTATCGATTATACGAATTATCTTGTAGGCAAATCTCATTTCGAATTTTCCGCTCGTGTCTACGTTATATTGCCACAAAGTCGTCAAGTGAAGCTGAAGGTCTCCGATTTTTCCTCTTCAACCTTTTTGAGCCGAGTATTGCAGATTCTTCGGATAGGGGATGTCGATAAATCGGTGACTGTTGGTTTCACGACAGTCAACGGCTCGGTAAAAAAAGACCTCAACTTTCTTTTCAAGTCACAAGTTATTCAGTTCAGCTCAGGAGATTTGGAAAAGATGGTTAGAACCATTAAAAAAAAAAGATAAAAAGCGGAAGGTTCAGATATCGATAGATCTAGTGGAAAAATGCTGCTTGGCGCCAAGGCGATGTTTTTTTACGTTTACCTGAAACTGAAGGTTCGTTTCTAGTTTTTTTGAGTTTTAACCATTACTTCATACATTTGGGGGTCGAACCATATTCCAGTTTATTCTAGTTTTTGTTCCAAACCGAACATTTTTTGATGTGAAATGTGAAAGTTAAGAAAATTTAAGAGACGGCGGAACTGAGAAAGGCTCAAAAAGTCATCATTTTCAGGATCCTGGAACGGAAGCGCACACCAAACTTGGGCCATGCAGCGTGGCTCAAGTGAGAGTCCCAATCGAAGGACCGCTGGTCGGCTCTCGCGGAAGCTTTGTCGAGTTCGTCGAAGCAAATTATGTACAAAAAAAGCCTCGTAAATTTTTATGTGGATTTTTTTTAAAGGTCGTAAAAGAAAACGTCGGATATGCTCGGCTCTATGTTACACGTGGCGGAACCAGGAAAGCGGGAAATTTGCGAGTTTTCTACGAAACTGGTGACATCACGGCGACAGAAAACGCCGACTACGAACCGTTACCTGATGCTGTACTGGAGTTCAACTCGCAGGTGGGCTTCAATGGAGAGGATTTGAATAAACCTTGTCGCATGCGAGAGAAATGGCTGATAGCTGCGGTACGGGCTATAGCTGATTCACGGCTGGCTTGAGCCATCGAAAAAATGGTCCTGCCACGATAAAATAGTGGTAGGGCCCGGATGGTGTAGACAGTCCTAGTGCCAAGCTAGTCATGGATTGGCTATAGCTATTCAACTATCGTCGACCTATAAATTTTAACAAAAATCGAGAAAAAACGTTTGAAAGACTTGTGTAGATGAAAAATAAACTTTCTTACCCCCAGGTTTGCGATTTCAGGAGTACGAGAAATACATTGACGTGAGGATAATCGATGATGATAGAGACGAAAGAGACGAACGTTTTTCGGTGGAACTTCTTCGGACCAATGATCCAATTGAGTTTTTTCTCAGAAAATATCTTCGAGCTTGCGTCTATTCATAGCTTGGCCTCCAGAAATCGATTTAGTATTGGCTTGTCCTCCAGGTTATGCATATAACATGTTTTTCCAAGCATTTCATCGAAGCCAACTATGTCGAAGCGAAAATACCAGTGAATCCCTTTGGACTTTCAGGCGTCGAAGTTGGCATCCGACGGAGTTCTTCTGTGACAATCGTCTCTGATGACAGCTTCGTCAGAAACGTTGCCAACATCCACAAATTGCTCCCGTACTACTTGAACCGAATGAAACACGGCGAAGAGACCTGGCTCGAGCAGGTCTTCATATGGGGGGAGCCAGAAAGATCAAGATATTTCTGAAGATTGTCAACGCGGCGTCGGTCAACTCTGGAGACGTCGCAAACGCCTCCTTCAGTGACTGCGTCAGGCACGCTATTGCCTTCCCTTGGAAGGTTTTTTTTGTGCTTTTGTGCTCCTAATTACTCAGGCAACGTACGAAAGACAAAAAAAAGTAGCGAAACGGCTCCTTTAACGAGTTTTTTTTTCCTTTTTGCAACAATTATTGATGACGTGTTAACAAACGAAACATTTTTGAAAATGCAAGATTTTGTTTATCGGCGTCCTTTAATTGATCAATTTCTTCCTCCACAATATCGAAATTATAGAATCTAAAAAAGTGGAGTTTATACAAGTTGAGGTCTTCTACATTCAAAACAAGAAGAACTCATATGGGTTCAACAATTTTTTCAGTTCCTCATTGCTCTCATTCCGCCGCCGACTTTTCTCGGCGGTTTTCCGTCTTTCTTAATTTCGCTGGCTTTAATATGCTTCCTTACGGCTGCTGTGGGTAAGCTTTCGCCAGTTTTGCAATCACGAGATAAGGAAAAATGTTTAGGAGAAATGGCTTCAATATTTGGCTGTATGATTGGCCTCAACAGTACGGTAACTGCCATAACGCTGGTCACAGTTGGAATGTCTTTCCCGGACGCCCTTGCATCGAAATATGCTGCAAAACATGTAAGAGTTCATAAGTTTCGAGGATATACAATTTTTTCCCAACAGTTTGCTGGGCTGTTCTGAAGTTTTGTCTGAAGTTTTTATCATGTAACCTTGTGGAATTTTCTTTTACAGAATTTTTGAGGCACGTTTATAAATGAATGAACGTTATCTTGGAGTTCTTAATTTTTAACGAGGCATTTCTCAAAAAAAAAAAAAAATTCGATGATTAGCGCTTGGTCTAACAGGTTGGTAAATTAAGCCTTGGTCGGAATTGTATTTTATTTTCAAATAATGGAAAGTATACTTGTACAAAATTTCCCAAAGACAAGGTTTTTGGAATTTTTTTTTTCGATTTGAAAGAGAAATAAAGAAACTAAAGGAACTTGTTTCTAGTTTACCAGCCTAATATGTAATATGGAAATTTCGGACTTTCATGTTTTAAATTTTCCTTGTGTGTAAGAAATCATTTAAATGAAAAGTGAAAATGATGAATCAGGACGAGAACGCGGACGACGCGATCGGCCACATCACAGGCGCCAACTGTGCCAACGTATTTTTGGGAATCGGCATTCCTTGGACGATGTCGGCCTTGCACTGGGCCAAGGAGGGAAAGCCGTTTGTCGTTGCTTCTGGAGACTTGGATTTCAGGTACAGTTTTCTTTAAATTGATTTTTGTGTTCAAGGGTCCATCCAGGTATCATCAACGAAGCTGGATAGGAGTCATTTTAAAGGGTTACTGAAAATATAGGGGCCGCCTCAGAACTTGAAGAAACATAACGGGAGAGAAGGAGTTGGCATCTGAGTAAAAGGTTCACGTGCATTTGGCAAATTTGAAGCCTCCTTCAAAGGTTACACAGATTGCACGAATTTCAAAGAAGTATGATTTTTGACAGCCTGACCCTTTTTCGCGTCTTTTTCATCTTGCTTTTGCTTGGAAACCGTCAATGTTCTTACAGTATGTCCGTGTTTCTGATCTGCGCGTTTCTGTTCTACATGATCTTGGTTCTGCGGAGGAAGGGCACGACCTTTGGCTGCGGAGAGCTCGGCGGACCCGATTGTCCCAAAATTATGTCTGGTCTTTACTTTTTGTTCCTCTGGATCGCATACGTGTTTGTCTCTATCTGGAACATTCATATGCCCTCCGGTGAACCTGGTCAAAAAAGATTCTCCAGTCAGGAACCATAACTTTGAAATTTTATTATGGCTTCCTGATCCAAATTTTGCGAGAAAAAAGCACGCTCAGGGAGGTCATTCTACTTTGCGGTTGCGCATTTCCTCAGAATCGGCCAGAACTCTCCTAGATGTGCCAAGAGAAGATTTTGAGAATCTCAACCTGCACAACTTCCTAGTTTGTGAAAAATCCGGACTCAAAGCCCTAAAATAGCCTATTTTACAGCATCTTGAAGGTTTTCTTTGACTTCAAGGTGTCTTTTCTCGAAAAATAGGAACTTGTGCAGGTTGAGAATTTCAGGATCATCGTTTGGTACATCAAAGCGTTATTTGGTCGCTTGCCAGGAAATTCTGGACCGCAAAGTAAGATGAAAATCCTCGTCAACGAAGAACGTCTAGCTTGGAAGTTGAAAGTTATTTTTTTTGAAACATTTATTCAAGTTCTTACAAAACAATGACGACTCAGAATTTTCCATTTCTACTCACTGTTCAAAAATAACTTTTTCATTGCTGAAAGGAACGAAATAAACATTTTCAGTCGGAATATTGCTCGATACGTTTTGCCATTAAATCTTTATTTGCTTATTTTCAATCAGCCCTTTTTGTTTTTGTTTTTTGCTTGTGTCGTACGTTGAGATTCAAATTATACTCTTACGGGTTTCGATCTGGTCCAAATTACTGCGTTATGTGTTTTATGTACTCCTTGTTTGCACGATAAGACAAAGTAACTTTATATTGAATTTTGAATACATTATTTACAAAATACCGTTTACATTTAGAGGCTTTTGGAAGACCCGCCCATCAGTGTCGCATCTGAAATATAAATTTTGTTCCTTTATCCTTGAAGTTTAGTCAGTCTGGAGAAAGTGCAGCTTAAAACAAGAAGCACTAACAGCCACCGAAGGGTTCGTTTATAGAAACATGAATATTTTGATGACTTTATAGCTACATATTATCTCTATCGGACTGAATATGTTTGAAAATTTTCTCAAATAATATACCTTTTGACATTGTTCGTGCATTTCCTCAGGCTTATCCAGTCCCATATCATCAACTCCTGGATCGTCTTTATGGTCCATTTTGCCGTGGTGATCTTTGTTCTCGTCGGCGTTCATAGCCTGAGATTTTCCTTCATATAGTGAGTGAAATCTTTGCGGAAGACTCAACCTTTCCGATGAAATGGTGGTTGATGTCCATATGCTCTTCGTGCGCTTTACGGCCTTCCAAAAGGCTCGTGTCTTTGTCAAAACAGGGTCGTGACATTTTCTGAAGTCGTTTGGGCTATAAATTGAATAAATAAAGAAAAAAGGCGAATCTTCAGAAGAGATGGCTGTTTATAATGGCCTGTTCATCGAAGAAACAGTAACATGCTTCAAAACGAAAAATCGTGTTCATCGACGCGCCAAAGTTGTTCCAAAACAATACTAATTTTCGTTTTGAGCATTTTTCTTGCGTTTCGGAACCATTTTCGTTTTGTCCGATGAACACGCCATAAAAATCATTATAGGGCCAGTTTTTATGAGAACGTAGTTACAGAAAAAATAAAAAATAAAATTGGATTGTTCATTTACGAACATAGGATTTGATTTTTGACTTCATAGTTGATTTATCGTCAAACAGCGCGTATGAAGAATTATTTCGCGGCCATGAAAAGTGGCTTCACGAATCATTGATTGAAAAATACTCGGGCAAAGTCGGAATGGTGGATAATGGCCGCTAAAAGGGAGAGGCTCAAAAAAGGCCGCAGAAAGGCAGCGAAAAGGCAGCAAAGAGAGTCTCTTTATCGAGCCTTCTATTTTTCTGGGATTTTAAAGGCTCGAGAAATGGTGGAGAAAGGGAATGGCAGCAAAAATGGTTCATATGGGCTGAGAAAATGGCGCAAAAAGGCAGCAAAAAGGGAGCCTTCATCACATTAAAAGGAACATTTCTATGAACCTTTATGCCGTGTTCAATTTGATTCCGCGAAATGCAAAATACCCGTTAGAGAAAGGAAAAGATCACTAAATTTTGGAGAGTCAGAGATCATTTTGCATTTCGCGGAATTACTTTGAACACGGCATTACGGACCCTCGGAGGTTCCTTCCGATTTCGCCTATATATGATAAAAAAAAATAATTGTTCCGTAAGAAGAAAATTAAGAACAAATAATTTTTTTTAACTCGAAAAGAAAATAGAGGCGCCGCTATTTCTAGACCAGGGGCGTGGCTTGCCTCACCGTAACCTTGTGCAGTGGCGCGCACATGCCTACTTTTCCTCAGTCATTTTTCTTTATATTTCCTCATTTTCATTTTCTTTTTTTCATATTTCTTTTTAAGTACTCCCCTTCGATTTCAATATAACTCCTTCTATTATCTAATTAAATTTTCAATTTTCGAATACATGGTTCTTCTGTCTTTAGTATCGTCGACGAATTTCTTGAGGCCGAAAATGGTTTTTAGTTTAAATGAGTGTACGCCATTGCGAATAATTTCATTTTCGGGGTTCTTCTGCCTTCCCATAAAGATTTTTTCGAGTCATAAAAAGTGAGCTCTTAATTTCCGTGAAAAATGTCCTATTTTGACAAGTCGAGGCCCTTTTTTCTAGTTTCTTTTGAACACTTTGCGAATGTGTCCAAAGTCCACAGGAAGAGGACTCCAACTATTTGATGAAATCTACAGCGTCGACGACCACTTATTTTGTCGAATTAAAAGTTTTATAGTTTATTTGCTTTTATTATCCCCTCGAAGCATAGACCGCTGTGGGAAGTGTAGCTACCGCATGTAAAGATTTAAAAGCCTAAATTCATTTTCAGAAGGAAAGCAGATATGATGATTTTGCAGTTAACACGATCTATTTTGAGATTGGTGTTACGATGGCTTCATTTTCCTGGATTTGAACGAACACCTTCGGTCCTTTGGTCATGCGCGTCATTTACCTTCATCCCCATGCGAAATCTTAAAGCTGTTAAGCGATTCTATCTGAATTAAAGAAAATTCTCTATTAAATATTATGTTCAAGATACACTAAAGATAACTGGCTATTCGGGCGTGGTATAAAACCTAGTTCGGGAGCGGTACATCGACAATCACGCAAATATTTAAATATCGTCTCCGCGCGGATCTCGCATTTATCTCGCTTTTTTAACGAACTAGTAAATATTTGAATATTTCCAAATCGCGATGTTGCGCCAAGATAAATGCGAGGCCGCTTCTAAAAAAAATGCGAGACCCGCGCGAAGACATAGCGACATGTTTACGAATTCGTCAATGTACCGCCAGCGAGCTCGGCAGTTGTTCTTAGTGTACCTGCAAATGTTTAATGGAGCACAGTCAAATAGAAAAAAAAATAATTGGTGCAGTTTTCAGTGTTTTTTAGGCCTTGCGAGATTTATGCCTCTTCAAAGTTTTTGAGTACTACTTGACAATCCTTTACTGCGTTATAATTCGAGAACTAATAATTTTTCATACAGAAAGCTTTCGTCATAATTAGATGCAGACGTCGATGAAAAACACTTGAATCGTTTTCTGTGCAGCCCCTCATCAGTGTGGCTTCCAAAGTAATCGATGCAGGATCAAGAAAAGACACTCTTTTTGTGTTCGACCTGATGCTTCGTTAGCTGATCTTTGTTTGAATAAAAAAATAACATCGATCGCAACTTCGACGTTCTATAGTTATAAAAGTTCAAAAAAACCTGTCAAAAATCTATGATATAGTCGATGTGCCACAAGTTGAAATTTCATGGAACGGCACTCCGCTGTTTCGATTTTGTGCGGTAGCGCGCATCTGGCGAATTTGCCAACTTCGGCCACGCTAATTTTTTTTTTGGTTTTCATTCTGATTTCGATCGTTTTTTTTATTGTTTTATTTCTTTAAAATGTAATATTATCGTTGAAAAGGATTGCGTTGTACAAATGTAAAAAGAAAGAACACAGTAAATTTCATGATGTTTCTCGAAAAAAAGCGATTAAAAAAAGTTTGAAAAAAACTTCATGTATTCTTCAATCGCTTTGATATTGTTTTTTTCTCGTTTCTCAAAAAAAGTTTTCAAAGACTTACCAAAAAGGATTTGCGGGTGAAACGCCACAATATTCTACAATAGTTTCTGTGTTTTTTAAAGCCATGTTTTAATGTTTTTCATCGTTTTTTTCTGTTTGCAGTCGTTAATTGTTTTTTTCAGAAAGTGAGCGCCTTATAAAAATGAAGATGTGTACTTCCATGAGCACATGCACCATAATTTGAAGAAAGGTTTTCGTTCCTTTTTTTTAAATGGAGCTTTAGATAAATCGTATTGCTGAACTATGCGTCAGGAATGGGGCGTGAACAGTGGGCACATGGAATAGTGGAAACGATGTGCTGAACGAAATGTCCAGAAAAACTAATAATTTTTTTCCTTTGAACTTATGTATCTGTTTTTAATAAAAAAATTCGTCAATGTAGAAACATTCAATTTTTTTAAAAATCATTCACTGTGTATTTTATTTCTGATTGGGATATTTTTTTACATGATTTGAAATGAAAAAAAGAAATGTCGATAAAGGCTCAATGAAGGTAAAAATAACGAAATATATTGAACAAAAACCAAAGACCATCTCATGAAAAAAACTTTCAAATATTATAAACGCATTTTTTTCGCTTAAAAATTCGAAAAATTACTCTACTTTACTTTTTATCAATGAAACAGTCTATCCTCTAGAAAAGATGATTATGATTTTGGCGCGAAGAAAACTATTAAAACATAATTAAAATAATGAAAATTTCGAATAAAACAAAAAAATGGAAAGCGCGACCGAAATTCGCAAAGGCAAGGCGCTTTCACGGCCACCCAACGGAGTGTCGTTCCATGAAATTTCAAGTCGTGGCACATCGACTATACTTTACTCAAATAAAACCTTTTCCGGCCTCATTACCATTAAACTACTTTTGAGAGTGCAAAATAAATTACTGTGCAAAAGATCTCGGATAAACCCGAGACTATCCGGGAACGCGAACGAAAAAATTTTCACTTCACTATATATAACTCTTACAACATATGGTGAAGTGAAAATATTCAACAAGAAGTGGGTAAAGTTGCTAAACTTCGCATATACCCTAAACTTTTGACGCGACTTGTTTTTTTTCGGTTTTATTGGGTCGCGTTGCCATATAGATTCGAGTTCGTCCGAGATTTTTCGCACAGTAAGTTCTTTCCGTACACTCAACAGTCTTACGCTGGTATTAACTCATTTCTAAAGTATGGAATTGCGCAACTTATTGGGATTCCTATACTTATTACGCGCAGTGTATAATAATTTGAAGAATCCAAAAAAATGTGATTAAAATGGCTGAATTTTTGAATTTTTTCGTCAATTTTCTCTCCACCAACAATTAGAAAACTAATTGTGAAGCAATGAATAAATGCTGCTCCACATTTTTTGCAGAGTGATTTCAAAGAAAATACTTGAGAAGAACCATATCTTCGAAAATTAAGAATTTAATTATAGAACGAGTTATTTTGAAATCAAAAGGGAATACTTAGAAGAAATATGAAAAAGAAAATGAAAAAAAATGAGGAAATATAAAGTAAATGACTGAGGAAAAGTAGGCATGTGCGCGCCAGCGCACAAGATTACGGTGAGGCAAGCCACGCCCCTGGTCTAGAAATAGCGGCGCCTGAAAAAAGTGGAAGAAACTAAAGTCTGGATAAAAAAGAGCCGGCAAGCACGTTTATGTAGGTTCTAAAACGTCATTGCTTGTAAACATGTTTACCATACTCTTTTTTTTGCCTCAGCGTCTCTGCAGATGTTTACTCTCTCGCTTTTTAGACCTGCTTTTCTTGTTGTCGGTAGATCTTTTAAAGTGTAAGTTTAAAAAAAATGAACGATTTTTGAGAGGCAAAATGAAAAATTATGGAAAATCTTTTTTGGGTTTTTTTTAATGCAACGTACGTTTTTATCTATTTTATACGGAAGACTTGGAGAGGACTGCGAGAAATGAACAAAGGGATTTAGGAATTTCCGAAAAAAAAATACGTTTTCTGTATGAGAATTTCAGGAACATCAATTTTCAAAAATTGTGATTGGTGTGTAGTAGGAAGCTTCAGAAAAAGTAGTTAAACTTGACGAATTTTTTTTGCGAATTGGCTTCTTTTGATATTTTCTTTTCGAGCCGCCAAAGAAGCTACGATTAGATTGAAAATATTTAATGTCAATTTATTCTCAACTATTCTTAACAAGTCAATTTTTCGGTTCTCTTCCTCCACGCCACAGAGCTGTCTTTGAGCGAACAATAAATATTTCACCAAGTCAAGCTTTTAACTTCTTTTAACTTCTGAGTTCGTAAGTTGAAATTTTTCAACTTTTCGAATTTCAGCTTTTACTTTATATCCTCTGCTTGAGTCACTATTTCAATCCAACTCAATAATGATGCTTTCAAAGTATTTTCAGCGAAATAAAAAATTATCTCTTTTCCCTCTCACAGCTGTTTTGATATTCGCCGAACAACAAAGTAGCTATCGAGGAAACATCCTCCTTTCCCTTTTTCGGATTTCGAGTTTATAAAAATGAATTTATTTACGACAAACAACAAAACTTCTATACATGCTTAACAATAAGATATGTATGTACACAGGGAGATAGGGGTCTTTAATGGCCAAAATGATTTTCCATGCGGACGCTCTCGTTACAACCGTCATCGACCTCATTCACCCTGCTTTGGTGCATTCGATTCATCTCCATATCCTTGTTCTTCATCATTCCTTCCCAATCAGAATCGTCGTTTGCCTAAAAACATATTTTATGAATCTTAGCTTTCATTTATAACAAGACTGAGAGACTACAAAAAGCAAATTGGACACTGTTGACAGAGAAAAAAAGTACAACTCTTCTCAAATTCTCTCATCATTGCTAGATTGGTCAATCATTATAATCCGTCTGTTCTGAGTCCAGGAATTGTTATGCCTTTCTTCATTCCCTTTGAGACATCTCTTTAGGGTTTTCCCTTTTCCAATCAAAAAACATGTCTAAAATAAACTTATAGATTTTTTCTTATCAATTGCTGGAACACTTTGAATCAAAAAAGGAAAGAAACCTGGCGGCTTTGGATGATCTTTCCGTAGCCCTCATGCATCATGTCACCGTGCAGATCACTGTTGCCGCGAACACTCGGTTTTCCGCCGTCGATGTCATGCTCCATGTTGTTCTGGTTGCTGCGGAAGGTTTCTTTCGGGTCAACGTTCATTTTTGTAGTCTTTTCTGTAGAAGTATGAACATGATCCAATGATAAGCGGTCCTAACATTTGAAAAAAAAAACAGAAAATATCATTTCATACAAATCATAGAAACTCGTTGAAGTTCTGTGAAAGAAGCGAAATTAAATTTTCGAGCTCGAAAAAAAACATCAGTTATGGCGCTTTTGGTAGAAGAAAGCATGAAAGAAATAGGAATAGTTCAATTCACGGCTCTAGCTTTTGATTATAACAAAAAAAAAGCAATGAGAATGAGGCACCCAGGAGAAGGAGTCGTATTAGGATATTTAAATACTACTTGTGAGCCATTTTCAAGTAGCTTCATGTAAAAAGTTGTTAAGAAATAGATAAACTGACGCAAAAATCAACAAGAATATAGTGACGCTGAGGCTTTCTCGACGTTTTAAACAAAGAAATTTTTGAACGGATGATGCCGGGAATTCCACCCTTTTCAGTAGAAAGTCATCGAAAAACTGAGAGAAAGAGAAATAATGAAGCAAAAAAACGCGCCACGTTGAAGTAAACAACAAAATGACGTCATGTAAACAACAAACAGCTCTTCGAAAACTATGACAACAACAGTTTTTTTTTTGCCTATTTTGAAATTTTCAATGACCGGTGAACTTTTTTAAAACATAGTGATCCACGGGTGCTCGAGCCGTCCTGCCGCGATAAGAAAAAAGAGTTTTTGGTTGGTGGAGAGGACTGACAGGCCACGCTTTTTTGCGTTCCAAGCTAGGATTCACTGAATCGGCTCACGCAAATTTTTTTAATTTTTTCCTTTTTTGCTAGTTGCTAAGGACAAATAATTTTTATAGGATCTCTTATATGTTTTAATAATCTGGTTTCCGTACCGATAATATATTTTACAAGTTTCAACTATGAGCGTATAGTGTTTCAAAATTAGTTTATAAACAGACACTTTTGTATCGATCGAAAGAACATTTCTTATTTTGAATATCCTAAAATGGTTTTCAAAGAAAAATAAAGTAGGAAAAGTTCAGTTGAAGCCCTAAATGATTATCTCGGAGTGTACTTCAGTGGTATCGAACATTTCGAATATTTACATCAGAAACTGGAGTTTGCAAAATTGACGAAGATGATTCAAATGTTGATTCAAAATTTTTATTTACAGTTCGGATTCATAAAATACATGATAAATTGAATATTATGCTGGGCTCTTTTCTCTTTGTTTAGTGACCAGATATCTGCCTCGGACCATGTTGATTCAACTTTTCACTGTCCTGAAATGAAAATATTTAGTTTTACAGAAAAAGCTAAGTGATTATGTAAAAAGTACCAACCTGTTGTTTATCTTGGAAGTTTCTCAGACAGCTGTCAGCCATACGTAACTGAAATCACAAAAATTTTGTTTTAAATAGGTGGATCTTAAAGTTTGATATAGAACTTCTTCATTAATAGGTGAAGCGACTGTCCAGAAGAATCAATTAAAAACTGTTATTCATGTCCATGCTTGCAACTTGATTAATCATCTTCGGACTTTTAGGTCGCTGATTTCGTTATAGCTTGGAAAACTTTTTGACCGCCTAGTCGCATTAATATAGCCCTAAATAAATGATTGATGATAGAGGATATAGATAAGTAATCTATAATTATCATACAGATTATTATTGAAATAAATTGATTGAATTGAATTGAAAGGTTTTTTGGTTGATACCTTGTCATCGGCGGTTCCCATGCCTGGAATCTCTTGGCCGTCGACAAACGCATGATCTCTAGAAGGGTCATGAGACTCCGGCTCCTTCTTCACGCGAGAACTGTCCAGCTTCTCGTCCTCCGCGCCGGCTGTCTTTGGCTCTTTCTTTTCTTCGCGACTGTGTCGCTTTTTGTCTCTCATTTCGTCTTGGTGTTCATCATCATGATCTTTTCCGCTCTCCGAGTTTTGTGATTTTTCGTTGTCAATTATTTTTTCGTTGTCTTCTTGACCCTTTGGTCGGCATTCAGGCTCATTGCTCAGTTTGCCATCCTTGGCACTCCTCTCAACGGCGTGTAATCTTTCGCGCATTTTTTCTTTGTCGAGTTCGTTTTTGTTCTGCATCTCGACCTTAAAAGTTCAATTCAAACTATATCAGCTCTAACGATTACCTTCTCAGCCCCACTTCGGGATCCTTTTCGAGCGCGATCGTCGTCTCCAGATTTGGAACGATTTTCCTCGTCCGCATTGCTTGGCAGTTTTTCCGTGCCCAGCTTGTTCTCATGGTTCACGTCGCTGTGCATTTCTTCGGGAGCGCTGCCTTGAGCGTTGGTGGCTCCAGTGTCCTTCTTCATCACTTCTTCATGTGTGTCCGCTTCGCTGAGCTTCTTTTCAGTCTGAAGGTCAGCTTCTTGATCTTATTTATCGAGCATATAATTCTATTTCAAAGCTAAAGTTGTTTTATTCAGTGTTCTAATATCCCGATGCACGTTAGATTTTTAGGGAGTTTTACTGTCGTACTAAAAGATCACATACTCGTATTCATCCTGTTCTAAACTATACTTTTTTTTATACTATAAAAATTCTTCAAAGTGGATGGTAACATGATTTATATAAATTTGGTTCTCTTCCTCCACTTCCAGTAAGTTTGTGCGAGAGACATAAACTTATTCGAGTATGGCTGTTGAATCACATTTAAAAGAACGAGAACCAACAGTCTTGTCCTCCTTTTCATCGGCGGTCGTCTTCGGGTTAAGCTTTTCCACTTTTTCCATTTCATCTTCGCGTTCGTCGTTCGCTCTTTGCTTCTGAAATTCCTATTTCCAGAAGAATCTACTTTTCAAAAAGGTTTTTAAATAGAAAGAAAGGGAAAAAAACGAAACCAATCAAAGGCCGGTTGAAAACATAGGACAGTCTTGACGTAAAACTATATCTGACTTTGGCCTCCTGTATTCGGTCTTTGGCGACATCGTCACCCGGGTACATCATTTCCCTGTACATTTCCAGTTGCCTTTTCATTTGCTCTTTACTATAGGCGCTATTGTGCTGGTTCGCGTTTCGAGAACTCTGAAATGATCACGGGGATATCGGGGAAACCTTTTTTCACTACTGAAGTTTTATTAGAAAATTCAGATGGTTCAATCGCTCATTTTCTGGTCACTTTTCCTCTTATTTTATGTCAATTTCATCAGATTGAAATAATAACGGAAGTTATTGATGTTTCTCCGACTTTCGACTTTCAAGGTGCTAAGTTTCCACTATATAAAAAAAAATTATTTTTTTGTACATCTCTCTCCAACCCAATCCTATTTATGTGCCAAAAGCCTCAAAAAACTCACGTTTTCGTTTTTATCCTGGCCTTTCATTTTGTCTTCCATTTCGCCGACCGTCAACCCTTTCTTCTTGTCGCCTTCGTTGCGAGACCCGTACATTTCGCTGTCTCTTTCCGGCTTTTCAGTGTTTGATGACATAGTTTACTGTAATCCTTCAATGGCGAACAATTTATATGCAAAAACAGCTAAAGACAATTTTTTAAGAAATTGGAGAATGTTCAGGAACATTTTATAGATCTTGAACAAAAGGCCATTCACGGACACATTTTTATCAAAACCGTTTTTGACAAGACAGCGGTGAATCAAGTTTAGAAAAAAGAAAAATCATTTTTGCAGGAAATAATTTCAAAAAAAGAGAACTAGGAAGTGAAAGGGGGAAAAACACAAAACGATGGCGAAAACGAGTCGTATTTATATCACACGTACATGTGGGTGTTTATTTAGATGTTTAGCCCCGCGGGCGACTTAAACACCGAGAATGGAACAACACGCAACATGGTAACCTTTCCCCCAAAGAACTCAGAAAAAACATTTTGTTTTTGTATTTGAGAACTCAAAATGATACGCTACCGATTGTCAGTCAGATGTTTACTGTTCGGTTCGATGTTTGAGATGTTGGTTGAAATTTTTGGAATTAATGTTTACACTTTGTACAAAAATAACTTGGTGATGTCGACAGCACAGAGGCAACTTTTTGTGAGCTGAGGCTCCGTTGTTTTCAAACTATTCAGGGTAAATCCACGATTTCAGGCTTTTTGCTACAAAAAAGAGATTGAAAAGCTCCTTTTTTAGAGTTTTTTTTTCTAGTACCACTGGTCTCTTAGCGGTTTTCAAGCGAATCGACACGAAGAAATTTTAGTGACCACTGAAGAAGTTCTCCAAGGACTACTCAGTGAATACTAAAGTGGCCACAAAAACAACTTTTGTAAAGGCCACTACTTTTCGTCTTAGTGGCCACTATAGAGGTTCTCGTTTTACATGTTAGAGGCCAATACAAAGGAGATGATATCGATATTGATATATATGGTATCGTTGTGATGCTTGGGAAAAAGATTTACTGCATCGTAGTGAGTCATTTAGGTCATTGCTTTTTCCATGTCAAGTTTTAAACTTTATTATCCGAATACAGTAATGAGCATATGAGAACCACACGTACGAAGGAGAAGCAAAAGTGTAGAATACTTCGTTGAGGAGCGTGTCTATAAAGCTGTTTGTCTACAAGATTCAGGATTGAGTGCAACCTTTGATTCTCAAAATGTACATACAAAAGATTTCAAGGAAAAAAGAAATCATGCTTTTTCTGATAACCTAAGTTGAGGAGCGATTTTCTGTGGAATTTCCGAGTCGTTGTCTGACGTCTCCAGCGACGACATGATCTTTTCGGTCGTCTTCAGCTTGGTGACACGGTCTCGTTGATGATAATATATTGGCATGATTAGGTACTTGAGAACACTCCACGGGAAGAACTCGTAGCCGAGAAGCTGTAAGAGAGAGTTGAAGAAAGGAAAAGGAGCAGTTGGTAGAACTTGAAGGTCGTGATTAAGACAGCCGGCTGTTTTCTTGGTCAGCCCGATACTGTTGACAGCCTCGCGACAGAACTTTTCTGGCGTCACGACGAACAAACCGCCTTCCTGGAAAGCTCAAAACTTTGCTCTTCCTGTCTTTATCTTCAAAGCTTTTAGAAGTCATTGGGTCTGTGAAAACTACAATTAGAAAGACATACCTTGTAGTAGGTCATCTTGGTGGCGATCAAGCAGGGGATCAGGCATTGGACACTAATCGTTTTGTACTCGCGATCGGTGGTTTCGCAGAGGAAAGACATCAGTGACTGAAATACCAGAAACGTTCGTTGACCTACGATTCTCTCTTTATCTGTTAGTAATGATGAGTTTGTGCTTTTCATTTTGAAAAAAGCCACTTTTTTTCGACATAAACTTTTTTCAAATTCAAACATACACTCTGTGACTGAGCTTTTACAGATTTTTTTAAAAAGAATAATGGATTTTTCAACTTCAAGACGGCGTTTAGAACACTTTCCCCACCTTTGTGGCACTGTAAGCGGCGAGCATCGGAATGGGACGAATTCCTTGCGAGGAAGAAAGAACTACGATTTGGCCTCCACCTCGGCGTTCCATTGCTGGAAGAACCATTGCGAGAAACTGAAACCAGTATTACTAGCACGAATTTTCTTTCTTTATTTCGAATTTGAAAAAGTGAAACGTGCCTGAGCAGCCCCAAATCCATTGACTTTGAGTATCTGAACGTCGGCCTCGTAATTGTCCCCGTAACGTTCCAAATTTTCTCGGCCGACTCCAACACTGTGCACTATAATTCTAGATTTTGAGTTTAGGGCAAAACTTTTTTTTTGAAAATACTTATTAGAAAGGCAGCTTGCAAGATTCAAGCTTTCCAGAATAGCTTCCAAGACGCCGAACAATGGTTCCTAGTTAAGTTTTGACCGTGGCCACGCCTCTTCTAGTAATCAAAAGTACCAATCACAGTGTAAAGTGCTTTCCTATATTTCATCTTTTCTGTAACAATTTTACGCTAGTTTCCCCTCTCCGAAGTTCAATGAGAAAGCGAAACTTCTGACCGACAAATCCGATGTCTATGTCGCAGATGTAATCGCGTAGTCCCTTGTAATCGCCATCAACGAAATCGAACAAGAACGTCTTCACATTGCACGAATAGGTGTTTTCTAGAATTCCCAATGCTGAGAGAGTCAAGAAAAAAAGATACTCACCCAAATGAGCCTTGCAATCAGCTAACTTTGTCGCACTTCGGCCAATCAGAACGAATTTTCGCAAACCGCGCTTGGCGAGTTCCGCCGTGTAAGCTTTGCCGATCCCGTCAGTACCGCCAGTTACGACTTCAAAACAATACTTCTGATAAAAAAAAAGCTACTTTTGATGAATAACCTGTCCATCGATGCGTGTATTTATCGAGGTTCGGCTTGTAGAAAATCGGGGCGATAACGTACACAAAGATGGCTTTGAGAAAGGCGAAAAATGTCCTATAATCTCATTCTTTGTGAACTTGGATCAATGGAAAGTCGAGAGAAAAAAGGGAAGTGTGTTGCTCGAAGAGTTCAAAAAGGGAACATTAATATTAGGATATAGTTTAAGCTGAAAACACTGGATAAGGTGCCTGAAAAATTTCATTCAGAGCGGTGAATGTAAATTGCGCGCACCAAAATCGATTTTTACCTTTTTCGGACTGTTTAAATGCTGATTTTAAATAACTAATCAAAAATCAATCATTTTTTCAAGAACGACTAAACAGATCTCAGATAACGTTATTGACAATAAAAAGGATTGATATGCGATCAAAAAAGATTTACTTGCAGAGTCGATAGGAGAGGTAGATTAGCGGCACGATGAGGAGCATGGAGACGAGAATCTGCGACGTCGAATGGAAGTTTTGGCGGAAGGCGTGGGCGGCGCTCCCTCCGGCGACGTCGTCTGTTCTGGCGCCCACGTTTGAGATCGACGGTTCGAGGATTGGAGGCATCGCTGCAAGGAAGCGAGATCAAGATAGGAGGTGAGTTCGGGTGAGAAAGTCGGTCAACGGACTTTGTTGAATTGATGCGAGCAGTGGTTTTCTCGTCGGAACAAAGACCAAAAAAAAACTGTTGAGTATAGAATGAAAAAGCATAACAGGTCGCATGGATCCACAAATGGGCCTATCATTTTTAAAGGCCGACAACCCTTCTCCAAATTGTTTCTAAAATATTCAGGAATTCCAGATTGGTTCCTATAGGAAACTCAGGGGCCCTCGAATGGTCATCTCTAGAGATATGGGGAGACATTTGCATGCTAAACCCCTATAGAGAGCACCTAAATGTTACCCATACAGCTTGCCTATAGAGGCTATTTTTTGTCCCCTATAGGGTCTGTTTTTCCCTAACCCTAAGGCGTACCTAACATGTAAGATAAAGACAGTTATTTCCCTGAAGTATTTCCATTGATGCGAAAACTACTGTTTTAAGGTTGAAAGATAACTTTATTAATTGTTTTTCAGAGTTTTTGTAAGTCAGCCATTCCTCCCTTACTTTTTGAGCTCTCTTTTGCCCATTTTGCACATTTGACCTGGGCCAATGTAAACTGCGGTCGGACTACCGACTTTTTCGAAACGGTGTGAACGGCGGTTTTGGCCGTCGAAATGTGACTACAAAAATTTATTTTTAAAAAGTTTAGAGCTATACAGGAATTACACTGCAATTTGATTTGATTTTGAAGAGTCAAATTACTTTTCTGAACTTCTAGAATTAGATTCTATTCTTGGAATGGCTCAACGCGTAACTGAACTTCGAGCTTCAACTGCAGCGCGACCGCAACGCCTAGAGCCATTCCTAAAGCGGCGAGTTCATGTCAAGTCGTTGCGGTTAGAGTATAAAGCGAGCGGTATCTTGAAAATATTTGAAAGTTTTCTTTTGAAGAACAAAAGCGCACTTTTCATGTTTAGCGAGTTTTATGTTTATGAGAAGGTAGTATAGAAAATAGAAAAGTTTCGAAACATTCGCAAAAAATCTCAAAAATGGTCGCTGCAAGTTTAGAATGATATAGGTGAATTCATTCGAAAGGTAATGAGGTTTTCTTAAAGAACCAGAGGCCATTGTGTCTTCAATTAAGAGGAAAATGGATTTCCTTAGAAAATGGGTTTCTTTAATGTTATTTTTTTCCACTGATTTTTACCACCACCAAAAGAGAGGTTGAGATTATAAGTGGTTTTCTGGAATCCTTTCATGGAAACCATTATTTTTTAACTCTGAAAGGAATGCTCCCTTGGAACGGCGGATAATTCACAGGGACCACAACAACGCTCTCAGTTTTGAAATGAGATTTTTTAAAAAAAGGAAAAAACATAGAGAACGAAAAGCAGCAAAGAGCGCCTATAAGAGTTAAATAAATATAGTCAGGCTGACTGAAGATTAAAATCTCCCCCGTTCTAATTATGAGTCGATGCTGTCGGACGATTGTCCGCGATCCGTTTTTCGATTGAATCAATTTTTCCCAAAAAAAAAATACCAAAATGTCTTGTAAAGAAAGTTTAGAGCCCAAAAGCTGGACTCGAGAAAAGGAAAGAGGAAAAAAGTCAGAATAGTCTGTGTGATAGTTCCTTTTAGAAGACAAGGCGACGAATCCATCCTGTTTTAGTATTCCAAAGCGCGGTAAATCGCCCGATCCTCAAAGAACACGCAGAACAAGTTTTTTTTGTGTCTTTCACGTGTTTATTTTTCTTTCTCGAGGCCATTTTCAACCAACATGGGGGAGTGTATAAAAGGGGATCTTTTTCTATAAATCAAATATCTACAGATATAGTCGGAATAATTAACAAACATACTAGTCAGTTTGACAAAAGGCAGTCGTAATTTCTCTACTTTACCTTTTTGAAGGACAAGGGGGCATTTTGGTCGCGAACAACGCCAAAAAATGGTTTCCCTTTTTGAATGGTGAGAATGGTCCAATCGGATTTTATCTTTTTTGTTTTGATGCTTTCTATTGGTTCACGAGCATTCAATTTAGTTGAGGTTACACAAAAGAGTCTAGAAATTTTCTTGAGGTAAAACATCATTAAACTGAGTATGGATGAACGATGGTTGGAAATATTTTTGGGTCCGCCAACGTTCTTGAACGTGGAAATGTTCCCTCTTTTTTGATTTTTTATTTATTTTCCAATTTTTTTGTTAACAGAAGTTGATGGAAAATGCAAACAGAAGGAATAAAAAAATAAGAATGACCTTTTGCAGCGAATCTTTGAGTGTGTTTACGCTAGAAAGACGCATTATTTGATAAAAAAAGTGAGTTGAAAAGAATCATGCAGCGTTCATTTGTGGTTGAAACACGACACCCAAGGCTCCTTTCTACACTCGGAGGAACAATAGGAAACCGGGGTGACCCTCACTCTAAAAATTAGTAGAAATTCAGGCAAAGGACAGCAGCATTTTCATTTGAAAGTCAAAACACGTCCTTGATGAACCGACCTGACGTTTCAAAATTAGGAAAGGTGATAGGGAGAAAACAAAGAAGTTTCAATAGTAGTAACTGGTTTTCCGACACTGGTTTTCCCAGCGTATCATTTCACTTGCTAAATGTGAACTTTTCGAGTTTGGTTTTTTCTATCAACTCGATAAGGGCTATCTACTTTCTTTTTCTAAAATTGAAGGGTTTTCGACGAATCTGACCTTTTTTCTTTTTGCTTTTGGAGGAATCTTACTATAGTCAATGTTTCCCGACTTGAAAGGCGAAGGAGGCGCGGGGTGCGTAGCGGGTGCGTTCGCGGTTCTTGGCCCGAGTTCAATTCAATTGCCGCCGACTATTTAAAAAGCTCAACAACCGCTCTTTTTCAATGTTTTATACTATTTTTTGATGCACACGTGAACATAATCAATAAATAATTCAAAAAGGAATGAAAAAAGCGTAAAACGGGCTCTCCAAATAGTTGCTGGCGGTTGAATTGAACACGTGCCAAGAACCGCGAACGCACACGCTACGCGTCCCGCCCCCTGCCCCGCCTCCCTCGCCTTTCAAGTCGGGAAACATTGACTATATAACTTGTTGAGAGAGAATCAGTAAGCTCATTAGTTTTGGGGAGCTTTTTCTCAAAACCAAGCGAAAAGGATATGAAACGTGTAGAGAAAGATAAAAAATGAGAAAACGCCAACGCAACAGCTCTATTTTTTTTTACTTTTGTTGTGTAGTTTGATAAAAAAAAAGAGCTATCGGTTTTTATTTTTCGCTTTTGTCAAAGAAAATGTGTAATTTTTCATTGCTGAAGACACAAAGGTATTTTCTCACAGTTTTATTTAATTTTTCGGCCGTGTCGAAGACAAAATTTTTTTTGAAACCAAGGACTTCTTGCCAAAGAATAAATAGTTCCATCAGGAAAAATAGTGAGAATTACTGTTTTTCACATCGAAAAATATCAAAAAGTGTTGAGTCAGTGGGGTTTCACTTTGTACTTCGAGAATATTCATGTCGATGGCATTTTACGTTGTACTCGGAGAATATTTTGGTCAAGCTCACCTTAAAAAATAATCTGATGTTATGACGATTGCACCATTGCAACAAGTCGACTCTTACGTCTACCTTGGCAAAGAAGTCAACATGTCGAACGATCTGAGTATAGAAATCGGAAGACGCAGAAAAGCCGGCTGGGCGGCCTTCAACAACATTCGAGAGGTCATGATCCAACTGAAAGATCCCAAATTACGCGCTCAAATCTTCGAAGCCTCTGTCATTCCCGCCTTAACCTACGTGTCCGAAGTTTGGCCAGACACCAAGGGGACAGCCACCGCCCTGTTTACCAGCTACCGTGCGCTCGAAAGAGCTCTTCTCGGCATCACACGCTACTAACAGTGGAACCAACAGCAGCGAAGCACAGATCTTCGTCAAAAATCGCAAATCCGGGAAATCGAAGCTCAATTAAGCCGAAGGAAACACCGCTGGGCGGGACATGTTGTGAGAAGAACTGACGATAGATGGAGCACTCGTTCAACGTTTTGGATTCCAAGAGACAAGAAGAGACCCATCGGAAGACCACCAGCCAGATGGGCAGACCACTTCCGGAAGAACATCAGCCGTCCTATTCAACATTGGATAACCGCGGGGAGAGACAGGGAAGAATGGAGGACGTGTGGTCCGCGCTGACAGCGAAGACGGACCATCAAAGCATCAAAGTAAGTAAGTAAAGTATGACGATTAAGAAAACTTCCCAGACAAAGTTTTTTGGGAACCAAAAATGTACTTTCGAAGCTGTCGCGTGATTCGCACGCAAGCTTTTAGTCAACTTCAGAGTTTGGTGTCAATAACTTATTCTAGTCTTCTAATTAAACATCAATTTCCCCTTGAAACATTAGTGAGACCAAATATATATCTTCGGTAAAAGCCTACTGTGTTGGCAAAAATTGTATTATTGTTTTACAATTTTAAAGATACAATGAGTGCTCATCAATTGTATATATTTTAACGAAGAAACGAATAATTTCAAGTTGATGCAGCTCGGGTTGAGATTGTTTCAACTCGAGTAGACTTGATAGCCGGCCGACTGGAATTATCCTGTAAACATTGATGTGTCTAGAAATCAATCGAAAACTCCGGAAACTCACAAAAGAGTTGATTTTGAGAGAACCAAGGAGATTGCGTCGAACATCGGTGTTAAGAATCAATAGGGTCCACGGATTGATGAACGCGAAGTTGCTCACTGTCAGGGCGTAGTTTGTAAACAAGTAACCCGCTAACAGGTCCGCCTGGAAGTTTTCTTGATCGGAACGTTCATTTTCTTATTTCGAAACCCTTTTCAGTACGGTGAGAACCAAGGCAGCAATAAAGGTGGCATAAATCACAGTGAAACAGCAAACAAGTGGGAAAACTTGTAAGCTTAGGCGCAGCTCTCGGTTGAGTTTTTTATCAGTAGCCCTGAAATGATAACCCAGAGAGTTAAAAAACCACTTTTTTCTCGTCCACCCTTTCAAAGTTCCGTTATGGATGATCAAATGTTTAAAAATCCTGATATAAAAGTGAACGACCGCGCAGAAACTCGGCGTTAGCGTCAGCAATGAGATGACCGACGAGATCTATGTTTTCATTTTTTTTTTCTAAGTTCATTCATCACCTTTGCGACATCCTCTGGTGTAATGAAGTTAAGATCGTCAGAGTCGGTGAATTTTGCATTATCATTGAGCCAAATTGGAGCGCAGATCAAAACGGGAGCCCCCCATATGAAGAGGTAGAAAATCCAAGGTGGACATCGATTAATTTTCTGAATTTTCGAGCGTTTTTTTTAAAGTTTTGAGTTGGATAATCCAGACCTGGTGCAACCAGCTGGTGTGACAACACAAAGATAGATATCTTTGAAACGCGATTCCCGTCACGGCGAGCGCCTTCATTATCAGAAGAACAGTAGCTTGGCTCATCATGTAGTTGGCAAAGAAAAAGTCTTGATGCTTGAATATGAACTCGTTGCCGATGTGAAGAAATCTTGCCGTGTATATGATCGAATAGGTCACTATGATGAGAAAGTCGGGCAAAGCCTGAAGAAGGCATTTTTTCGACATTCAGAATCTTGAATGTTTTCCCCAGCCGTGATGTTAGTCTTGAGGCAATGGTTTTAATAATCATAGAAAACAGGTTCGTTAAAATACCCGTTTTCTCGCTTTGAATTATTTACCTAAAATACCAAATTCCAATTTTTAGGGTTGCTCTGTTGAACGGGCTTTCAAATTTTTTTCGGCTTATTGAAACCAGTAATTTCTGGGTCGAAATTTTTGGCCTTCGAATATTTTCCCTTATGAGGAATATTTGATCGGGCCAACCTGGGCCAAAGTGATCGTATAGTACGCCGACCGGAAAACGGAATTTCTTTTTCTCCAACTTATAATGAAAATTGTCAGAGTCGTATACAGCGGCAGAGTAATTAGTGCTTCGACAGCGAATAGATAATTCTGCCAAGTTGGGGTGCGCATTACCGGAGAAACGATGAAATAACACTTTTTTGCTGTAAAAGTGCTTAGAGAGGCTTTTTTAAAGCAATTGAAACATCATGGACAAGGTTGATACTTGAACTGGATGATTGTCGAAGGAATAAAGGGAGTTTTTCGCACGCTCAGGACTTCGTCGTCTCAAAGGCAACGTTCTCGGAAAGCGAAGTTTTTTTAAGAGGTTAATGTCAGGGATTGGAAGCTCATAGCGCTATATTCTCTTTTTCACAAGAGTTTCAATGAAAATTCGATCCCTAGTAACTACTGTGCGAATCTTGTATGGACTCTTTCGCCTTTGAACTGTAGTAAAATAACGAACAAATCAGAGGCATTGTTCGGTAGAGCGCATTCGTAGGATTGGAAAACACCTCCAGTTTGCGAGTTTGGACTGAACCAATTATGCGAGCCACTTTTTGATTGCAATACCTGTCAAGTCTCTTTTTTCTGTATGAGAAATTACTGATATTATCCTCACTTTTATACATTTCAATTCGGTTTTTGGTTTGAACAAGTATAAAAAATTTTTTGAAAAAAAGATGACAGAGGCTAACATTTTTTTTCAAGTTCAGTGTTTGAAGGTGCAAAAACCATTGATTTATTGTTTCAATTTGAATACTTTGAATTTACAAGTACAAAAAAAGTTAGGTTGACGCAGCTTGGCTTCCAATTGTTCCAACACGAACAAATGGTAGAGGCGGTCGGCTGGACCCAGAGCTCTGAAAATTTTGTGTTTCCATTAAATAGAATAGTTTTAAGCTTATTAAGCCAAAGTGTGCTCCATGGAAATGCGAACGGGAAAATTCCAGAATCGCCCCCCGCACTGTTTTTGCCCCCCGCGTTCCAACAAGCCCCCCACCAAGCCAAGTTCCGATCTGCGGGGGGTAAAATAAGAGGACTTCATGTGGGGGGAAGAATCGAACGCGGGGGGTGAATATGTATTCTAGAATCGCCCCCCGCAGTACAAAACGGGGGGCGATTCTGAAATGCCTAGGCAATCTTTCATATTTGCCCCCCGCACGGCTTTGAAATAGTCCCCTCAGAGCTCATTTGAACAAGCCCCCCTCCCATTTCAGAATGACCCCCCTCTCATTTCAGAATGGCCCCCCTCCATTTCAGAATCTCACCGATGCAGAGAAGAAATACGCGCAAATCGAGAAAGAAGGACTTGGTCTCGTCTTCGCAGTTCGGAAGTTCCACCGCTACATATTTGGTCGACGCTTCACGCTTCTGACGGACCACAAGCCGCTTCTCACCATCTTTGGCAACAAGAAAGGACTGCCGGTCTACTCAGCCAACCGTCTTCTACGCTGGTCGCTGATTCTTCGTGGATACGACTTCAAGATCGAATATCGCTCCACGACAAGCTTTGGACAAGCCGATGCACTCTCTCGACTCATATCCGAAGACATCCAGCCCACGGAAGACATCGTCATCGCAAAAGCAACGCTTGACGCCGACGCTGAGTACCAAGCCGCAGCCGTCTTCCTACCAGTCACGATGACCGACGTCGCCAAAGAAACCATGATCGACGAAGTTCTGAAGGATGTCATCGCCTCCGTTCGCTCCAACATTGGGACGAAGAAGCTCTCCGGCACAGCCGCCAAGTACCTGCAGCAGCCTCAACAACTATCGCTCCAGGATGACTGCCTCTTCTTCGGTTCCCGCATCGTCATCCCAACCACACTCCGCAACCGAATCCTGAAACAACTACACGAAGGACATCCCGGAGTGGCACGGATGAAAGTACTGGCTCGTCAGTACGTCTTCTGGACGAACATCAACGCCGACATCGAATCATTCGTCAAGAAATGCCGCAACTGCCAAGAAGCTCAGAAAGCTCCAATCAAGACGGAACTCTTCTCCTGGCCGAAAGAAGATCGACCATGGAACCGCGTCCACATCGACTACGCTGGCCCATTTCTGGGGAAGTACTACCTCGTCATCGTCGATGCCTATTCGAAATGGCCCGAGGTCATCGAGATGACATCGACGACAAGCACCGCCACGATCGAGCAGCTGACGCAACTCTTCGCGCAGTTTGGAAATCCGTAAACACTCGTCTCCGACAATGGCACGCAGTTCACGTCTCAAGAATTCGCCGACTTCTGCAAGGCAAATGGAATCAACCACATCCGTTCCCCGCCGTACCATCCTCAATCGAATGGACAAGCCGAGCGATTCGTCGACACCGTCAAGCGCGCTTTGCTGAAAGACAAGGACGACGCCAACTCATCTGAGACGCTGCAGAAGTTTCTGATGGTCTACCGCCGTACACCATGCCCGTCATCACCGAATTCTCGTTCACCTGCTGAGAACTTCCTGGGACGACCACTCCGCTCAACGCTCTCGATGCTCAACCCTCCAAGAAGCATCCTCAAGAACCGCGACGAGAAGATGGAACAACAGTTCAACCGTCACCACAACGCTCGTCCGAAGCAGTTCGAACCAGAAGACCTCGTTTGGGTGCGCGACTACCGACTCGGGCAGACGAAATGGATCTCTGGAAAAGTTCTACTTCGCTTGGGCAACGCGCTGTACGACGTCCTGGTCAACGACAACATCGTTCGCCGACACGCCAACCAGCTGCGCCGACGCGAAACCGACGACACGCCGACCATGCTCTGGGACGACTTCGACTGGCCGCAACCATCGTCACCGTCGCCATCGCAGTCATCATCGTCATCATCGCCGCCGTCGCCATCACAGAAGCTGCCACCGTCCGACAACGACGTTCCCGCCGCTTTGAGACGCTCCGAACGCCATCATCAACCGCCGAAACGACTGAACATGGACCCCTCTTTGAAGTCTTATGTTTAGTTTACCTGTATAAGATGATTTTCCCTCTTACCATCATCTTAGGGGGGAGGTGTTGGAATATCACGTCTCTCTAATAAATACTCTTATCTCTACGTGAGATGGGTATATAAGGCGGCCCTTTTACCTCTCTGACACTTCTTCATTCCACGAATAAACCTGCTCCTTCAACTTCGACTTTGGGCTACAGCGGACACAACAATTTATTTGACGAATTGTTCACTGTGGCTCAGTTTTTTCGAAGCGAGCCACAGTCGGCTTCGCGCTATGCGCGCTCCGCCTCCGTGTGAAGCCTTGAAACTAAGCCTATTTTCCTAAGTAATTTATTAATTAATGTGCATGAAAAGAAAAAGCAAAAAAATCTATTCCTCAGAACAATTACTTTATTGAAAACTAATAAAGTTCATCTTAAATTTTTCTAAGTGGTCAGCATAATTTTATGATATTCGTACGTATCTCGCCGAGACGTACCCGTAAACTTCTTTGTCTGACTTGAACTTCTCATGAAACTCGGTCAGCGACCTAATTTCTTCCATAATCTACAAATAAAATCACAAAAATTATTAAATTCACAAAAAGAACACGAATTTACATGCGAAAATACAAAAAAAAACCATTTGAAACAACCAAGAACGACGAATGATACGAAAAAATTAGAAAATAAATTAAAAAATGGAAGCTCTGACACGTGTCCTGCGTGATCGTTGCGTGACCTTTTTTCGGTGTGGGGGGTTATACTGGATAGTTCCGGGGGCTATATTGGATAAGTGTGGGGGGCTTGTTCGAACGTGTCGCGGGGGTGATATCCAACATATTCGGGGGCTGTACTGTAATATGCCCGTTACTTGAATGGTCTGAGATCTGGGGACTTCCATTGGCGGAAAACAAAACAGTTATGCTCCATTTAGGAATTAACAATCCGGATATCACGTAATTTATCAAGGGTGCACCTATCAAGTCGGAGAGCGTAGTCAGGGATCTAGGTTTACCAATTGATAAAAACCTCTCCTTTGAAGCGCATATTACCAACGCAGTCAATGTAGCATTGCTCAAATCTAGACAACTCCAAAAGGCCTTTTCGTATGTCTCACTTCCTCAATGCAATATGCTTTTCAACCTATACGCAAGACCATACCTAGAATACTGCTGCGAAAGTTTTTGCCCGCCTATCAACTCGCATCTATCTTTCATTTTAGAGAAACCTTATCGAATCTTTACAAGAGAGATATTCATTAGAAGAAACGCTAGTTCTTCGTCATACTCAGATCGTCTGGATACATTGAACTCAGTTCATGTTTTCCGTATAAGAACAATCACGGCTTTGCTCACACTTCAAAAAATTGTCCTGTGCATATACCATTTTCCAAGCGCAGAAAAATACTTCAGAAGAACTCATTCGCCTCGACAGCCTCTTCGGCTTGTTCAGACGGGTTCTCACTTTTCGAATTTCTTTAGCTCAGTCATTCCAATTTGGAATCGACTCTGCTCTAGATATGACCTCAACATTTCGCCAACTAGCTTTAGAAGGATCCTCGACTCGCTCGACAGCTGCGAATTGTACACGAACGTGCCGGCCAGACTCCTTTAGGAAATTTCTTTACTATATCTCCTAAATTTACGTGTATAATCAGTCCCGGTATCTGCACTCGTTGGGGTGCTGAAAATTCGGGTTTTATTTATTTCCATTCATCTCACTCCTTGTGTCCATCACTTGTCTCCTGATTTTTCACAGATGATATTTTTGTGAATGAAATAAATCATTATTATTAAAAAAAAAGTTATACTGGTTTAGTTGATTATGAAATTATTCATTTGGCTATTCTTCTAAGACTGACTTTTCAGCTGCTTTTTTTTTTTTGAGAGCAAAAATTGCAAATTCTAAATCCTACGCTGGGATTCATAACTTTTAAAATCTCGGAAACTCACACTAAAGCTCCATATTGCAAACCCGAAGAGATTGCGCCGAACATCGGTGTTAAGAATCAAAAGGGTCCACGGATTGATGAACGCGAAGTTGCTCAGAATCAACGCGTAGTTTGAGAACAAGTAAGCTGCGTTCAGGTCCGGCTGAAACGGTTGAGTATGGATTCACTTGTCTTTTCTTCATCTTCACACCCGTCCAATCTCGTTGAGAACCAATGTACCAACGAAACAAGAATAGATCACGAGAAAAAAACAAACAAGTGGGAACACTTGCAAGCTCAACCGCAGTTCTCGATTCATTGTTTTTTCACTTGTTCTGAAAATTTTCAACTTGGATTTCTCTTTTTTCCCCTTTTCTAGTCCTTGACTCAAAGTGACATTTTGGTGTCTTTATAAATAGTGATTTCATTAAACTAGAAGTTATCCTCAAAGAGTCACGAAGAAAATGAATAGAGGCCTTTCTTTGTTTTTGCGCAACCGATTACAAAGTTTTCGATCGGGTCAATGGCGCTTTGAGCCCTAACAATTTGCAAACTTTTTCAAAAGTTTCCTATGGACGATTAAGTATTTGAAAATCCTCGCGTAGAAAAATACGTTGATGGTCAGAATTGGAGTAAGCGTTACCAGGGAGGTGATCGAAGAGATCTGCAACATTTTTTTGGATTTACCATGGGCTTGAAAGATTTTTCACCCTTGAAACGTGTTCTGGAATGCTGAAAAATAGGTCTTCAGAGTCGATAAACTTCGCTTTACTGTTCGTCCAAATCGGAGTGCAAATTAGAATTGGAGGGCCCCATATGACGAGGTAGAAGATCCAAGGTGGACAACGATTCATTTTCTGAAAGTTGAGCTTTTTTTTGGGATTTCGAGTTAAAGATGATTAAGTCGAGACTCCTAGCTTGGATTTTTTTTCCGAATTCACCTGGTGCAACCAACTGGTGTGGCAACACAAAGCTAGATATCTTTGAAATGCGATTGCCGTTACTGCAAACGCCTTCATTATGAGTAGGACGGTGGCATGAATCATCATGTAGTTTGCGAAGAAAAAGTCTTGATATTTGAAGATAAATTCGTTGCCGATATGGAAAAACCGTGCTATCCACAAAACAGAATAGGTGGCTACGATAGCGAAGTCGGGAATCACCTGTATATTATTTTTTAACATCTGATAAACTTTCATAAAAGCTTCTAGGGTATTCAATCATCGGAATCTCAACTGTTTCTGGATCGGAATAACTCTAATGTTTGGCTTTTATTTCATCTTGCTCAACCTGCGCCAAAGTCATTGTGTAGTATGGTGACCGGAACAGAGGCTTTTCCCTTCGCCAAGCGATGAGAAAAATCGTCAAAGTTGTGTAGATCGGTATCGTAAGTATCGCTTCGACAGTAAATACATAATTCTGCCAGGAAGGAGCGCGCATAACCTGATGAAAACGGAATGAGATGCTTTATTCGGGCTCGGAAAAATGAGTAATTCTGCAAAAGTATTCGATCCAAGGAACGTTTGTTGGCTAATTGATAAGACAGCACCACAGCTGCAGATGTCAAATTCTACATATATATATACATATATATATATTTTTGAATTTAACACAACTAAAGGAAAAAAATAGCTTCCGAGGCATAACTATGAGGTGAGACTTGATGAAAATGATTGACATTAGAGCTTTTCTCACGCTCAAAACCATGTTGTTTCACAGCCTTCCCGGAAGATGTGGTGATAGAGATATTTTTTCACACACTGCCTGATTCATAATTCTCACAGAATCGTAGTCAACTTTTCAAGCCCTTTTTAATGTTGTTTGTACGAAAAAAGACATAAGTATTGTTTTTTTTTTTTATTACGTTCAAACAGTAAAAAGTTTATTAATTTGTAGTATCGTTTTTTTATCAGTGAGAAAAATTGTCTCAGCGTAGCGAAATTTGAGTCGATCTCGCTGCCGTCGATTGTAAAACTTGCATTCCCATTCGGCTTGATGGCTCCTGAAGATTTTATAAAAATATAAGGAATCATTGAATAATTGATTTCTATATTAATCCACAAAACTTTTCAGAATTGTTTTTTTCAGGTTTTATCTTCTCATGGGCTCTTACCATGGTAGAAACAGTTCTCGAGAGCATTAAATGGCGCTGAACGTCAAAGTTGAGAATGACTAGAGTCCAAGGGATTTATAAATGCGAAATTCCCTTCGAGAAGCGGCCAATTCGCCCGCAAATAAATTATCATAAGGTCTTGCTAAAATCAAATCTTCTTTCTTTCTCTTTTTTCCAACTCTTGCCCTATCCATCAGATTCAACGTGATTTCGGTGATGAAGTAGGAGAATATGATGAGAAAATAGCAAACGAGAATAAAAACATGCAAACTGAGACGGACTTCTCTTTTCATTCTTTTCTCTCCTTCCCTGGAATTATAACTTCAGTTTGCAACTTTTTTCAAACTCCAAACTTTCTGAGAAGATCGCTGTGAGAGTATAAAAATCGGAAAATTTTAGTGTAAGAAAATAAAACACTTATGAATATCGGCACCATGCAGCACATAGTGATCGTGGAGGAAATCTAAAAATTGGTGTAGAGTTTTGAAAGAGAAACGGTAGTTACTTTTGTCCAGCTAGCGGAGCTGGTGAGGCCTAAAGTGATTGGATCCAAAAATCGTGCGCTGTTGTTAGTCCAGACGGGAGTACAAACCAGAACAGGAAGTCCCCAGAGAACGAGAAGTATACGCCAAGGTGGACTTTCTTTGACTTGCTATAAGAGGAAATCATATTTTGGATATCTCGACTTTTCCTTATGGATTACATTTCTGAGAACTTTCTCAACAAGTTCAAAATTTTGTCTACATTTTACTGGCTAGCTGCAAACCTTGTTAAGCCAACTGTGAGGCCTACAAAGCGTCAAGTAGCGTTGATAAGAAATAACTCCCACTCCGAACGCTTTCATGATAATCAGCAGACTTCCGTGGTTCTTCACCCAGCTGGGTAGGTAGTATTCTTGATATTTAAAGTAGAACTCATTTCCGAATTGAAAGTATCTGGCTATATACAGCGGTATGTATGTTGCTGATATGAGGAAGTCCGGTAGCGCCTGAATTATAAGCTTTTTTTGCAATTTTTCTCCGAATAAATTCAAATTTTTTCTCAAAAAGCAATATCGCCAGGTTTTCACAGAATAAATCTAACGTAAGAAAATTTTGTATTTCCAAAAGAAACGGTCACAAATTATCAATTTTAAAGCAAACTAAAAGATTCGCTGCTGGCGAAAACTGTTTCATTTTTTTTTTCGACTATTTTTTTTTTGAAATCCTGAAAGACATTTCAATTTGTATTTTTTCTCGAAGTTGTGAACCTGCGCTAGGGTCATTGTATAGTACGGAGATCGGAAAATAGGGTAACGTCGTCTCCATGTTAAGATTAAAACGAGAAGTACAGCATAAAAAGGCATAGTAATAATGACTTCCAAAATGAAAACAGCAACTTGCCAAGGGGGCGCCAGCATGATAATATTGCTAGTCGTTTAATTAAACTTTCGTCGAAATTGTAGTTTTTTCAGGAATTACCCGCCTTCGAGTGTGGGAAATTCACAATCGTGAGATATTTGAGAGGGTTTTTGGAAAGAAAGTTTCCTCTTTGTTTTTTTTTTTCGTTTTGGTGATTCATTATCGCACTAATTAGGGTACTGCAAAAATGATAAGAGCCCGAAAACATATCTGAAAAAGTTTCTGAAGTCTTCTCGGCTGCAGATAATAATAATAGTTTATTATTGTTGCTCTTTGCACGTTTTCCTTATAAGCGAAGTTTACTAACGATATCAACATATATTCAAAGAAAAATTTTTTCAACGTCTTCCTATTTCTCAAAAAACTTCAAAAGTCTGTTTTGAATGAACTCCTTCGAGTTTGGAGAAAAAAAGAAACGCAAAGCTGTTTTTTTGTTTGTTTTTTTCGTCGATGACGTTTTTCATTCGACGTGGCGCCACGCAAGTGTTCTCAACAAATAAAAAAATATTACGTTTATAATTTGAAACAAAAACATCCGTTTCATTCAGCTTCGCCCGTAAATGAACGTTTTTCAATACTGAATTTTTCCTTTTTCAAAATACTTTCGGTCCTCTCTTTTTGAGTTAACACACCACAAAACCTGACGTCACCTTCTTGTGTAATCTTTTTTTACGACTTTTTTTGTCGATTTGAAAGTCAATATTTTGTGCGTTCTCTTTGTTATTTTTAAATTGTTCTATTTCGCAAAAAGAGAAAAATTTGAGCAAGCGGGATGTTTTTTGATGTTCTAAATGTGAAAACAAGACCTTGTTTACGCGTCCCGCCGTGTGCATAAAAGAAGGATCCAAAAAGACTTCTATAGCGCATTTTTCCTTCTTTCCTCTTACCATACTTTCAAAGTAGTAATCTGCTGATAATTCTTGAGATTTTCCTCAAAAAAGGACTCAAAGCTTCGATTACATTAAAACTGCGATTCCTTCATTTTCTCAACATTTTATTTCAGAAAAAAAATGAGTGGCCAACAAAACGATACCCACGCTCGCTTCACCGATGCTCACGGAAAAGCCAATCGCGATCAAGACACCTTGCAGAATCTTCACTCTCACGACGCGGCTCTGAGGCAAAGGCAATTTATTTTACATAGTTGTATAGCTCATTCCGCGCATTCTTGTCACAATTTTTGTTTTTTTGCAAGCTACAGAGCTTTTCCCTTTTATGTCGCTGTGGCACGCATGTTTGAGACAGTGCTATAGTATGTTCAGATTTCAAATGTCAAGTCCTCGCTGAAGCCCCGCCCCATAATGGCGCGATAAACCAATCAGAGAGCGAGCCATCCACAGAGCATTTTCGAATGACGTCATTCTTCTTGACATTCAAAATCTGAACAGACTATACGGCGGCCGTTCAATAATGCGCCGTCAGTTTCGGAGCCAAGTATTTTTTTTTTAGTTTTCTTTCTTTCTTGCAATATGTTAAGGACATATTTCTCGAGGTTACAATGTAAGTTACGTCGCAAAAAGTACTCAATTTTTCATTTTATCACTGGAAAAAACCTATTTAAACTACCGTAACACGACCGACCTCCTTAAACAGGAGTGCACGTGCATGCGCTTTTTATTTAGCCTGAGGTTTCCGTTATATTGAAGGCGCATGCACAGAGACAGACCGCCCGAATCGAAGAGAAACTTTCCCGAAGGGTTTCACAGTGTTTCCAAACAGGCGGCAGATGTGGTCATTGGGCGTGGCTGCATGCAATAGTGGCGCGATAGTGGGAGCCGATTTTTGTGTATTTACTGGATTTATGACACTTAATGCCTTTTTTCAGGAAAATTCGTCGCATGAAGTCCGAAAACATTTTTTGCAGAAAAAAAAACTCTGGAGCGTTTTCTCAAAAAAACATATTCTGAATATTTAGGCACGAAAAAAAAGAATGAAGTGGCTTCGGCACAAAAGTGTATAACTCAAAAAGTCGTTTTTGATAACATATTGTCAGTAAAACGTCGGAAAAAAGTTTTGAAAAAAAAAAGCTTTCGCGTTTATTTTAAGAAACTCATTCTGAGCATTCTAAAACAAAAACATGAACCAAAGAGCTTCTGCAAAAAAAGTTACTTCTCAAAATGTCCTTTTAGTCGAAATTTCGGGATCATCTCGATCAAAAATTAACTCAAGTACCTCTCAAACGCATCAAACACGGTTATATTACACAACAGACAGTGAACGATACTATAAACTGAAAAAATGCGCGAGAAAAAGAGAACCAACCTAAATTCAAATTGAATGAAATTTTGAGATGTTGACACGCGCCGCACCCCGTTGCGTTAGAAAGAACTCGCATTTTTGCCACTTTTTGACTACCATTTATTTTTGCTTGCCCGTTTTGAAACACTGTGAGATCTATAGCTGGGAGAATCGAAAAAAAAACTGGCGCGGAATGGGCTTGATAGATTTAGTCGGAAAAAATTTCAAATTTTCTCTCTATTAAAGCAATTGGTTTCATTTCAGGGATCCAACCCATCACGATCGCACCATGTGCGGAAACGACAGCCAGGTACAAAATTTTCTGTTTCTTTCACTATAGGCTGAATCGAGCCTTGTCCAAATCTCTCTAGAAGTTTTTAGAGAGCCAGCGTTGTCACGAAGTTTTGCATGAGTGACCTTTTTTTCAGGAGTACCGCATCGGGGACAACTGCAAGGAAAAGCAGATCGGAGGCAACCTGGTATGTCATTAATTTTTATTTTTTCGATATTTCTGTTTTCTTATAACCATTAACTTTCAATAATTACTAACTACGATGGCCCATGTGGAAGTATAATTCCAGACTTTCAGTGCTGCGAAAAAAAGCAAAACACGGGGCAAATCTCTACTCACTGAGCTTGCCCACCGCTGTACACACATGGAACCTGATGACACTATTTATCTTTTTGGTGACTGAAAAACTTTTTAAAAAGAAGATTTGTTTTTTTCGATTATTCTATGTAAAGTTTGTATATAGATTCCCCGAATAAATGGTTCTTTTCTTCTTGGAAACTTTGAAGGTGAAATTTCCGGGTTCCTGACGTCAGGTCAGCTGACCCATCTTCCTTGTTCGTTTGAAAGTGATAACTCCGATGAACTTTCTCAACGTGGTCAAACAACGTGGCGAGAGATGCATTTCCTTCAATTTTTTTGCTGCCAGTTCGAATGCCTGGCGATTCTCTCAGAAAGAAGGCTGATCCCGTATTACCTGCCAAAGAGGTTGCGAAAGGGTTCGTTTGGATATAAAACTTATGCCGTTTTCAAAGTAATTTCCGCGAAATCCAGAATAATTTATGATTCTTCCAAGTTTAGTGATCTTTTCCACTCTCTGTCAGCTATTTTGAGCTTCGCGGAATCACTTTGGACACGGCATTATATGCATTATATTTCGGCGATTTCAAAATAAACGCGTTATTCGTTCAAAATGATTTCGGAAAATAGGCGGAATTGGTATTCTGGGAAGGTGAGTCCTACAACGATATATCGTTGGATACGCATTTTTACGGTGAGTTTTACGCGCGAATTTGAAATTTCAGTAGAAAATGCCCAAATAACTCCAAAATTTTGAGTTCCCGCGAAGAAATTACGGTAAAAATGCATATTTAACGACATATCGTTGTAGGACTCATTTTTTCTTGCCATTGTCGAAATAGCAATTCCGCCTATTTCATGAATTCATTTTAAACGAATAATGCGTCTATTTTGAAATCGCCGAAATTACTTTGAACACGGCAATAGTTTTCAAGCTTTTCAAAAAGAAATGAGCGCACTAGTGAAGAATTTAGGCCGATGACCATAAAAAATATGGCATGCTGAAACTTTTTCGAGCTTTATTAATGTTTGAACCGTTTTAAAGTACGTATTTCTTCATAGATTTTGTTAAATCACAAACCGCTACTCCCTGACGCCACTTTATGACATCATTCAGAACACAAGAAATAAGCGGAATCAAAAGGCATGCTATAAAGTACGGGCGTTTACAAAATGTGACCGGTGCGACTGCCTATAGTCTGTTCAGATTTTGAATGTCAAGAAGAATGACGTCATTCGAAAATGCTCTGTGGATGGCTCGCTCTCTGATTGGTTTATCGCGCCATTAGGGGGCGGGGCTTCAGCGAGGACATGAAATTTGAAATCTGAACAGACTATATAAAATGCAGAGCTGTTCTCGGGGCGACCGCGGTCGACCGAGGGCCCCGACTTGCGGCGTATTCGAGGGCGGCCGCGGTCGGCCTTTGGTAAGGGTCAACTCGGTCGACCCGTCACGGCGTTCTTGTCAGTGAAAAGAAAAATGCAGAAAAAATACCAGGGGCGGGCGCCGTAAATCGTACGGCAGCAGTAGTTTTGATCTGTTCAGGACCCGTTTTTTTGGATTACAATACCCACCCTTTTAAAGCTCTCGCAAGATTTTACGGAAAGAATTAGTTGAAAAAGCATTTTTGCTTTTTTTCTTTATTAATACTTCTTTTAACGTTTTTCTATGAGTAAAAGTTATTATCCAGTTCCTTTGGCGTAGTTTGAAAACCAGTTTCGTGTAAATTAGAGCCAAATTGAATTTACTGATGCAGTTTGAAGATTTTTGTTATATGAATCATCTAAATTATATTTTTCCAGTTGTTTCATGGTTTTTCGGATTTAAACAAAGATTTCGCCATACGAGGTTTTTGAAAATTTCTGCTTCCTATCCATTATTTGTTTTTCTGAAGCTAGGTTTTCAAGGTATATAAAATGTTTCTTTTTTTCATTTGCTCCTCGAATTTTCCTCATTTCAATATTTTTCGTATTTACAATTGCTTATTCAATTAGAGCTGATTCACCTTCATAATATTTTTTGTTTTCATTTTGTAATTAGTAATTTAGAGTTTTCCCCTTCCGAAATCGTTCCTAAATTTTTTTTAACGCAAGTGAATGTTTTTTTTCACATCATAATCTTCAAACTGACAAGATTTCGAACATTTCAGAAGTTATTATCCTAAAATTGCAAATTCAAAAAAATTGAAAAAAACAATTTTGAGTATGCGATAGTGCGTCTCGGTGTGCTTACACCCTAAACATCATAATTTACGAGAAGTCTTGACCTTGCGTAATAAAAACGCCGTGCCGTAGATACAAATTTTTGTTTTGACTCCCGGTTTTTTTGCGAATTATGGAAAGCGCAAGTTTTACTGAAATGAAAGTGAAACAAAAAACATTTATTATCGAGCACATAAAAAAAGAAAAAAACCGATGAAATGAGATATTAATCCAAAAAAATTCAATAGTTTCCTAAGTGGCCAGAACAATTTACAGAACTAGAGAAAACAAATTGATAAATAAAAAATAATTTGAAATTTTCACATCATCAGGAATTTCATTTTTGCAAAAAATTCATTCAAACCACTATTTGAAATATTATTTTATTTATTTACAAAGAGAAAAAACGAAAAAGATGCGAAAAAGTGAAATCAAAAAGCACGATTTCTGTCAAAAACAATAAAATTAAAATTTTCATGGATCATAAATAACTTAAAAGTTCATTTTCAATATAAAAAACTAAAATAAAAACAAAAAATACGGAAAAAAAAATCCTCGCGCTCGCTTCGGGGGCCTGAATGAAAACCGCTTCGCGGGCCGGGGCGCTCAGGGGCGCGTTGCGGTCGGGTCGGGGCGGCCTCGGCCGGGGTCGCCCCGACTTGAGAACAGCTCTGATAAAAATGTGACCGCTTTTTTTTGTGCTCCACTGCAAATTAATAAAATACGAGCGTTTTTTGGCCTTATCTCTTTAGCCTTTTCTGGCACTTTTTCTCAAACTTTGTATTTTTCCTATCTTTCCTTTTGAATAAAACTATTCAAAAAAGTACTACGACGAAATTAATGAATTCGTTATGATAAATTTTTCTTTAATCGCTCAAACAACTTAGGCTTCTCATTAGAAGCTCTTAAAAACGATTTCATACAGTTCATAAACCTGTAATAAACCGGAAATAAGGTGAAAAAAAATTTACTACTCGTGCGAATTGCCAAGTCAAGGTGACGTCATAGGGATGACGTCAGGGAATAGCGGTTTGCGATTTAACTCGAAGTCTTCTTCATGGGGTATGACTCCTTTCGAAGATAGTTTTGCAAATATCTGGTCATTAACTTACCTTACTTTGATTTCAAGTCAAATTAAAAAGTTTGATATCAAATATCCCATTTCGGGCCTCCAATATTTGGTTTTTTAAATCCTGAAAACTAAGCACAAATGAGAGTTTGGATACTCAGACAATTTAGATTTTAAAAAAGTTTGAATTTTAAAATATGGCCACTTTAAGAAAGCGACCGAACCGACCGACTTTTCCAGCATGCCAGAAAATATTTTTCTCTTTTTTTCAAATTCACGGACTCGACCTCTAGAAAATTATGAACTTCCCAGTGAAACCAAATCCCTGGCGTGTTCATCGGAAAAATCGAGAATTGCTTCAAAACAAAAAATATAGTCTGTTCAGATTTTTGAATGTCAAGTGCAATGACGTCATTCAAAAAACACTCTGTGGATGGCTCGCTCTCTGATTGGTTTATCGCACCATTATGGGCGGAGCTTGAGCGACGACTTGACATTCAAAATCTGAACAGACTATAGTACTGTTTTGGAGCAACTTTGGCGCGCCGATGAACACGATTTTTCATTTTGAAGCATGTTCCGTTTCTGCCATGAACACGCCACCACGATTTCAGTTCGACTGAAAACGTGGAAAATAAGAAGAAAAGCGGATCCAATGAGAATGATCAGGAGAAGAAAAGAAACAGCGAAGAAGAAGAAGCCAAGGGATCGAAAGAAGAATTCAAAGCCAGTTTTTGAATATTAGTTTTTTTTAGGACAGTTCCTAGCATGTCTCTCGACTTATTCATTTTGTAACAGGGTATGAAAGATCGAGATAAGGATAGAGAGAAACCGGCACACCCACAGAAACAACCGGCGCCTCAAAAACGAGAGAAAATGAAGCCAAATGACCTTGTAAAAAATGAGTCCACAGTGTAAGAACTTGCGTTTTTTTTCTGTATTTTGCTCAAAAATTTGCGGATTTAGTTGGAAGGTCGTTCAATTACTTGGCTCCGGGGGGTTCGGCGACGTTTACAAAGTGTTCAACGAGAACGCCAAAGATGGCGTGAGTTCTTAATGGATTCCTCGGTCTGAATATTACAATTGAAACGATCCGCCCGTTGAATTAAAACATGAAATCGTTTGAAGAAAGAGTTCGCAATGAAAACGGAAACGTTGGGTGGACACAGACGATTGATGCGTCTTAAAATCGAGGTGATACTCAGATTTTTCAAAAATTTATTTCAATAAGTGAGAACACTGTTTCTTTCAAATATTTCTTTCTCACATTCAAGATTATTTAAGGTGATGGTTCTGATGGACTGTCAAGAAGCCCCGGCCATACATCGACAACATTTCGTTGAATTTATCGACAAAGGAAAAACGGACAACTTTAAGGTGTTTTTTTCGTTGATTCTAGGAAGAAAGATTTTTTCGGGAATTTTTTCAGGACGTACGCGTGAAAAGACGTGAAAAGTCAGTCGATCATAACGAGCCAAAATTTTAAAAAGTTAAACAAAAATGCCGGCGAGAAATGAGCGTCGAAAGTTTTGCTGACGCTGGAAAAATGATTTGAAACTGCGCTCCACTTGAAATGCCTTTTAAGCGAAATTTGGAGTACTAGCATTCTAAATGAAAAAAAATGAAGGAAGAATTGAAATAGTCAACATTGTCCCATATTTTTGCCAATGGTGGAGTTTTTACAGCCGGTTGTCTCACGCTCATTTCAAAAACCGAAAAAAATGGTTCAAAAACTAAAAAGTCTTAGGTGGTTATATAATTATGTGAGACGGAAAATTTAATTTTCTCGAAAAAAATTTGAATTAAAAAATCAATAAGAATTTTGTTAATAGCCATATTGATATATATTAATTCAAAAATTGACATCTTTTGACATCAAAAAGATTTTCATAAACTCTCGAAATATTCGATTTTTTTCAAAAAAATCTCAGGTAGATATATGTGGAGTAGTGTAGAAAAAACAATCATAAAAAAAGGCAAAAAAATTGGGAACGGTGGCTTTATGCTTGACCGTAGAGACGACTCCGACAACTGGGCGCATAAAGGCGCCCCCTTTCCCGCCTAAAGGCGCCCCCTTCCCCGCCTAAAGGCGCGCACATCCCGCGCTTTCGTGGCGCAGTAGTGCCGCCGCGTCGGGGGAACTGCGCTGTTGTGCCGCTTTCAAGGCGCTTTCAATGCGGTGTTACCATTCAAACGGCCTCCTTTTGCTCGATTGGACTCTATTTTTCGTACTTCTTCAATCATGACTGATTGATAAAGTACGAAAAATAAAGCCAAAAGAGGATTTGCCTTATTAGTTTACAAAATTTTAGATATTGGAAATAATTTTTAGGTAGATTACCTATAGCAGGATATCAAGATAACATGTTTGTAAAATATGTATTTGAGGAAAATTCATACAAATAAAAAAACTCAAAAAGACTGTCCAAAAACTTTTTTTGTAGAGAAAAAGAAATAGTAAATAGCTCAAAGAAGATCAGCGTGAAAAATGACTAATGAATCGATAGCCAAATGAGAAAATTTAATATAGTTTTCAATCGAGATCGAAAGAAAAAAAGACGACTCGAACAATCAAAATGCTAACGGAATTAACAGAAAAATTTAATCTCCTTGATCGTTAACGAGAAACAATCCAATATCGCGACGCCTTCATCTAGACGAGTCGTTTTACACGTTTCCTGTAAAAAGTCGCAATGAACTCTTCGATAAATCTCTCATATTTAGTTTTATTTTTATTCTACCTAGAAACATGCATATGCCGTGTTCAAAATGATTCCGCAAAGCTCAAAATAGTCGTCAGAGAAAGAAAAAGATACCAAATTTTCGAGAGTCAGAGATAATTTTGCGTTTCGCCGAAATTTCTTTGAACACTCTATCTTTTCTTGCTTGGTTTTCTTATCTAATGTACACGAGCTACTCTCTCGGATTACCCAGTTTTTTTTCATCCAAAATACCCTTTTTCACTCTAAAAAATGTACTTTTCTCATGCAAACATTGACGTTAAACTTTTTTTCGTTCTAGCCTTTCATCTAAATATGAGGTAACTTTAACTTTCAATTCAGAATTTTCTTTTGATTTTTCCAATAATGGATGGATTCGTATAGCTGATTCACGGCTGGCTTGAGCCATCGAAAAAAGGGTCCTGGCACGATAATGCCCGAGACGAGACGCAGACAGGCCACGAAACTCTTAGCGTCAAAAGTTAGCTTCAGGAAAAAGGTCCATCTGTCGAGCGCAAAAAAATTTCTGCCTTTTTTGAAGAAGAAGAAGAAGAAAAGTTTGGGAACGGCATAAAAAAAGTGAGAAAGTCATTTCTTAAATAATTTGATTATCAAAAAAAAATTGAAGGAATTGAAAAAAGTCGTATTTGCCACTTCGATACCTGTTAGAATTTTTTTCCTAGATCTTTCTTAATTTTTTTCTATGAATGACGCAATTTGAAACATACATAGTTGTAGTGCAAAAACAGAATATTTTATTCATTAACTTCTTCCTTGAGAACCAAATTAATCAAAAAAAAATCGTTTTCATCCTTTTTATGCCTTATACAAGGTTTTTGCTTTCAAGAAAAATGCAGAAAACTTTGAGCTCCGCGGATACCGTGGATACTCAAAAAAAAAATTTCAACGAGACTGCCCTAAGCTACCCTTGTGAAAGAAGGAAGCTCAGGCGCGTACATGAATCTTCCTCTATTTCTTTGGAGAGATTTTTCTCAGAAGCCTATGTGGTCTAGTAAATAATCTACTTTCTTTCCTTGGGAGTAGGTTTATAAGTCGCCAAAGTTTCAACTCGACCCCTACTCAAGCGAGTCGATTTTTGAGTTTTGGGGTAATTACTATTTGAGTTCGTACGAGAATATTGGAGATTTTTTAGAAAGTGAATTTTTTCCGTTCGTGAAATGAAATTTATTCCATGATAGAAGCGCTCAGAAACCCAAAAAAGTTGGAGAGGCTTTGGAAAAAGATCTTTAAAAAGTTAGAGAACCATCTAGAAAAAGCAGAGCTGTGCTTTGAGCCGAGCTTAATGGCAGACTCAGTACACTGAATCGGATCACTCACAGATTTTCGATATCTTTTTAGATTCGTCAAAAAAGTCCAAAATTGAAGCGAGTCAGGGATAAATTCGAATTTCGCGAGATTACTTTTAGCACAGTTGAGTTTTTAATTGCGTTTTTTCATGATATAATTTATATTAGTTTTACAAAATCGATCAGATACCGGAGAACGTTCTAATATATAACATTAGCGAATTAGTTTTTTTTCTACATTCGTTAAAATCATTTTCACCTTTTTCATACGGCCTCAGGTTTTTTTTGCACAAGCCACGCCCAAAAATAATTTAATGCCGTGAATTCAAAGTAATTTCCGCGGAACTCAAAATCACCCTTGACTGTCAAATTTTATACATTTTTTTCACTTACTGATGGCAATTTAAAATTTTGCGGAATCACTTTGAAACGTTATAAATTTCAACAGAGTATAAAAACCAACAGAAAACGGGCAAAGTAATTTTAATTCAATTTGAATATATCGGAGTATTCTCTCAAGTTCTCAAGTCATAGCGTGTAAACTCACAGTTTTAACATCGATTCCATTTTAAAGCCCAGAAACGCTGATCATCGTAGAAAAAAAGCCGCTGAATCAGTCAATCATTGATTCGACAAGTGACCTAAACAGAAATGAGAATATTCAACGAAAAAGGTAAACTTACCTCATTGAGGATAACTGAATAAATAATGGTTGAAGCTATCAATCTTCTCATCAAGTTTGGCGGAACAAAACCTGAAAATAAGTGAAAAAAAAGTTTTGCATGGCGGTAAAAATAGGAAAAAAATTCATTTGAAAGTTTTTTTCAGCAAAAAAATGAATATCTTCAACGATTCCGACAATGAAAAAGAAATAAAAAAAGAAGAAACGAAATCCCAAAAAACTTTTTGAAAAAAAAATTGTAAGAAACATGTTCGCGCTGGCGCATTTTTCAATCTCGTCGCCTTAATTTCGGAGGTCCTCCGACTCTGCCGAGTTCGGGGCGCCTTTAGGCGAAACGGCCAGTTGCGGGCGCCTTTAGGCGGTGCCGTGTCGGAGGAAAAATTATGCGTTACCTACATCACGCCGCTCGTTCCTCCCTAACGAGTCTGAATTTTTTTGTGAAAAGAATCAAAAAAATTGTAAAAAAATGATTGCGAAAAAGTTTTTTTGAATGAAAATTAACCTTTTTTTCAAATTTAACACTTCCGGTAATCAATACCCGCTATAGTTTAGAGACCTGCAACTTCAAACACTCTGATACATCCGTTGGAAACAAAAAAATAAACACGATAAATGGAAATTTGAGAAAAAAATTGAAGTTTTTCAAGTTCAGATAGTCGAAAACTAACTAAAGGCTTCCATTCGTACTATTTCTGTAATCAATAACTTTGAACGGGTTGAAAATTAAAAAAATAAAAAGAAAAAATTATCTAAAAAGGTAAAAAGGAATAAAAACTGCGTTTTGCACACGAAAATGTCAATATACCGTAACCCATACAGCGCGAAACCGATTTTCTCGCTATTTTTTTGAAATTCCTCAAAATTATCTCGAAATTATTTCAAAAAAATCGAAATTCGCTATTTTCGAAGTATCGCCGTGAACGCTCTTTTTGAAATTCGAAAAAAATTTCGCGTTTTGCTCCTGAACGCGCCATTAAAAATTTATTTCAATGGAAATTTGATTTTTTTCCGTTTTGATATTGAAGAAAAAGTAGCAAATGTTCACTCTTTCTATTTTTTTCTTAGCTTTAACAAAATGTTTTCTGTCCATTCGAAAAATTATAAAAACTTCGGCAGTATGCAAATTTTTGTCAGCGGGAAATGCACAAGAAACATCTTATTTGACGAGCCGAGATAAACGCGAGACGCTGGCGGTACATTGACGATTTCGCAAACATCTCGCTTTTTTTTTCGCGCTGGTCTCGCACTTTTCTAGGCGCGAGCTCGCGATTCTCTCGCAATTTGAAAATTCCCGAAATGCGAGATAAATGCGAGATGGAGACGCCGCTATTTAGTAACCAGGGACTTTGCCTCAACTACAGTACACCTGTGCGGTTGAGCACTTTTGCCTCATATTCCACGTTTTTTACACCCAATTTTTTCTCCTTTGTGTTTTTTTGATGGTAGGACGAAAAATTTGATCCGCAAAAATACGTCGCGTGAAAATCGCGACCCCCTATAGGGCCCCCTAAAACTTATCCCAGTAAGTTATGTGGTCGCAATTTTCACGCGACGTATTTTTGCGGATCAAATTTTTCGTCCTACCATCGTTTTTTTTTGATGGTATGAAAAAAAAGCCAACGAAATTTCAAAAGGCGACTTTTCCGATTTTTTCGTATCGCTAGGGAACTTTCAGACCACCTTTCCGCCGAATCTCTTTCCGACTTTTTTTCCTTATATTTTTCGGTTTATAAGACATCTATTTACATTTTTTTTTCCCTATTTATTTGTGTTTTAATCATGAAAAACTTGCCTACTTTATATAGGAAGATTGAAAAACGAAGAGTTTATCGAGAAAAAAAGTCGGGAAAAAAATATGAACTTGCCCGAAGATTTCCCAGAGCTTTTTTTAGTTCCTACTAAAAAAACATGAATATTGCAAAAAACCATCAGTGAATTGTTTAATATATTAATTAATATATTTAACATTAAAAAAATTAGAAAAAACACAAAGGAGAAAAAATTGGGTGTAAAAAAACGTGGAATATGAGGCAAAAGTGCTCAACCGCACAGGTGTACTGTAGTTGAGGCAAAGTCCCTGGTTACTAAATAGCGGCGTCTTGCGAGTACGTCCACTAAGAATAACTGCCGAGATAAACGCGAGACACTAGCGGTACATTGACGAGCTCGCAAACATCTCGCTTTTTTTCTCGCGCCGGTTTCGCATTTGTCTGGGCGCAAGCTCGCATTTTTCTAGGCGCGAGCTCGCATTTCTCTCGCAATTTGAAAATTTCCGAAATGCGAGATGGCGCCAAAAAAATGCGAGGTCGCGCCGAGATAAATGCGAGATCGCGTCTAGAAAAAAGCGAGATGTTTGCGAGCTCGTCAATGTACCGTCACCGACCTCGCGTTTATCTCGTCAGTTATTCTTAGTGTCAATGTATCGCCACCGACCTCGCGTTTCTCGTCAGTTATTCTTAGTGCAGGCGTGCATTGTGATTTTTTCGCAGGCAGTATGCATACACGGTTTTATACACCGCCCGCGATATCGCGGCTTCTCAGAACGAAAACGGCAGACCAGCGCGTATTACAAACCGTAAAAACAAGAACCAATACATGCAATGAAAATTCAATGAAATCCCAACATGAAATGGAAGATCCGCGGGATGCGATCGGCATGCGAAAACATTCCAAAATTTGATGCCCCATTTTGGCGGCATGATGCGGCCGAGAGGCGAAACAAGATGCGAAATAAATGCGCATGTATAAACCTGCGCGCTGGTCTGCCGTTTTCGTTCTGAGGCGTCAACGCAAATTTCGCAAATGTTCTTCTCATACCACCATTTCTTTAAAAAATCTTCACTGTATTGATCCTTGTAAGTTCAAATTTTGTGCCTTACAGTTCCTTGTGATGAGCCTAGTTGGACCATCGCTTGAAGACGTCAGAAAAACTTATCTTGCTCATAATTACTCCATGGCGACGGCGATGTACTGCGCGATGCAGACATTAGATGTTCGTTTCGTTTGAATTTCAAAATTCAAATCGGTCTTTTTGAAGGCAGTGGCAGACCTCCACTTCTTGGGTTACCTCCATCGCGACATCAAACCGGCCAATTTTGCAGTTGGTCTGAATGAACCTCAAGCTCAAATTTACGTCCTCGATTTTGGAATCTCCCGTCGACATATCGATCCAAAAACAGGGCAGCCTAAAGTTTTGAGAGAAAAAAAAGGATGTTAAAATGAAATCGATCTTTTCTCCTAGGGTCCGAGGTCTCGTGTGAAGTTCATCGGGACGATGAGATTCGCTGCGAGAGCGTGTCATTTGCTACAAGATCAAGGAAGAAAGGACGACTTGGAAAGCTGGATGTACATGGTATCGTTTTTTGTGAATAGAGACCTCGAAGATCTTGATTTTTTTTGACAACTTACGGCTTTTTAGCGTTTCCCGTAGGACACCCGGACAATGATTTTTTTTTTGTTGCGCTTTTGAACCCTCACCAGAGATCACACGTTCTCCGAGAAAATCGATGAACTGAGAAATTTGTTGGTACAAGAATTTCAAGTTGGTTCTTCAGAGCTCGTTTTGCTATCAGAGCTATCAGAGTTATGCTATCATACTCATAACCTCTTCAACTCATAACACCTGTGTTATTGAGGCTCCGCCCACTTTCAGGGTTACGGTAGAGAAAATACCATAAAAAGCTAACTTTTTTCCTGGTGGAGCAAATTGGTTCAAACCAACTTTAACGTAAATAATGTGCCATTTTGAGCATTTTTTGTGTTGATAGCGACTCTGAGAAAAATTTCCTTCCTCCAGAAAAAAATCGATCATTTTGTGCTTTGGAAAACTTACTGATAATCAGGCATACACTCATAAGTCAGTTGGTCAATGTACTTGACGATTCGGCTCATTTCCTGGGGAGTGTGACGGTAACTAGAGCCTCCTAATCAAGGAAAATGGTGAGAAAAATCTATAAAAACTACTTGGATTTGCGAAAAAAACTGCTGCTTCAATGGGAGAACTTGTTGTCGGTCGTGGGTTCTTTTCCAAGGCAGCCCTCGCGCGTCGTCGAACAGGTCGAAGACCTTAAAAATAACATTTGACACACTGTTCAAGAAAAAGTTGAATAATTTCCCGTCATACAAAATAATAGAAAAAGCGCTTGAGTGTCTAACGAAGTTTTGCGCCAGTGAGAAAAGATGGTGAGTTGAGGAATGATAATAAACGCATCAAATCAGTTAGATGGATTTACATACGATATAACACACGTTCTCTGAGATTTTCAAAAAAATCTCTTGGTACAAGAATTTCAAGTTGGTTCTTCAGAGCTCGTTTTGCTATCAGATATACTACATAACCTCTTCAACTCATAACACCTGGTTTTCAGAGGCTCCGCCCACTTTCATGGTTACGGTAGAGAAAAATACCATAAAAAAAGCTATCTTTTTTTCTGGTGGAGCAAATTGGTTCAAACCAACTTTAACGTAAATAATGTGCCATTTTGAGCATTTTTTTGTGTTGATAGCGACTCTGAGAAAAAAATTTCCTTCCTCCAGAAAAAAATTCGATTTATTTTTTTAAAAATTGACGATTTTTTTCGATACTTCTGTGTTTTTTTCTTGGTCAGCAACCCCCGATGCCGTGGATTTTTATTTTTCTTAATCGACGTGTTAGGGTCTTATGAGTATGGGAAAAATAGCCGCATAGCCAAATTTGGGGTGATCCAGTTGACCTCCATCTCGGAGAACGCGACCAACTTGAAAATGACTGAATCTTCAAAAATTCTTAATATTCTTGAGAGCAGGTTTCGTTTTTGTTTCTTTTTGCGATTATGTTGCTTTTTAGGAGATGCAAAATTACAGCGGGGAAAAAAAATTTCTGAAAAGCTCAGAAATTTTTAAATCGATTTTTTCATTTTTCGGAAATTTCAGATGATTAGCTAATTTTGGAATCTTAGGCTCTACTGCGTCAGGGACCCCCGATGCCGTGGATTTTTATTGTTGAATTTGACGTGTTTGGCCTTCATGAGTAACAGAAAAATGGTCCCAAGCTCTGGTTCCGGGTGATCCAGTTGACCTCCAAGCGACCAAAGTTGACGACCTCGAAATCGTGAAAATTTGAAGTTGCTCAAAAACACATGCCTTAACTTCAAAACATATTCAAAATATTTTTCATAGGTTCAACACAACTCTTTCATTGAAAAAATGCGTTCGAGTTCGAAAAAAATTCCTTTTTTTCATTTTTTGAAGATTTTTCGATTCGAGCCGCTTTTTTCGTTCGCCCTTTTTTCTATTGTCTCGCTTTCTTTCAGAATGCTCATCAGATGTTATTGAAACCCTTCCTAATGTTTTTGAACAAGTTTGGCTGAGAAAAACCACCGTTACCCCGCGAAAAAAGCCGAAATCATCTCGTAGACGCCCAATTTGACAGAATTAAAATGAGAATTCTCATTCAAAATTGTTGCAGATCCTTTGAAAACAATGCAAGACAATGTGTGTATTGGAAATAACAACTGAAAACCTTTTATATGATGCTTTCTCGCAAATCCAAGAAGAGAAAGGGACTAGGTTGCGTAATCTATCAAATTGAAAACCGAAAAAATTTTGCTTACTTACTTACTTAGATACTTAGATGGTCCATCTTCGCTTTCGACCTTTTATTGCCTTTTAGTGCCTTTTATTGATCGAAGCGTGGACCACACGTTTTCCAGGAGGTCTTATGCAATCGGTCATCCAGTGTTGTCGTCCTGGTTGACTGGTATTCTTGCGAAAAAGTTCCATCCGTGGTGTTGAACGTGTTATAGCATAATTGTGGTCTTATTATCCTTTTTGCCTTGCCAGGGCTAAAAAAGACCGCCCATTCTGTTAGCAGAAGCAAGCCGAATTGCGTGACCGGTGTACCGTTAGCCGCCATAAATGGCGTTGCCTCCCCATCACCGCGTAGAGGTGGTACTTGAAGGGGAAAAAAATTTTGCAGATAACTTATTCAATGAAAAAAAGTCTTTTTCAATAAAAAAATAAGAAATTTCCGCCAAGTTTTCGATTACTTGCGAGCCTCTAAAAAATGATAACGCATGTTTTTGGTAAAAATATCAAAATTGGAGCTCTTCCAAGGTTTTCGATTCGCGCTAATCTGCATCCTGTTGTGTCCGCAGTAGCCCAAAGTCGAAGTTGAAGAGCAGGTTTATTCGTGGAATGAAGAAGTGTCAGAGAGGTAAAAAGGGCCGCCTTATATACCCATCTCACGTAGAGATAAGAGTATTTATTAGAGAGACGTGATATTCCAACACCTCCCCCCTAAGATGATGGTAAGAGGGAAAATCATCTTATACAGGTAAACTAAACATAAGACTTCAAAGAGGGGTCCATGTTCAGTCGTTTCGGCGGTTGATGATGGCGTTCGGAGCGTCTCAAAGTGGCGGGAACGTCGTTGTCGGACGGTGGCAGCTTCTGTGATGGCGGCGGCGGCGATGATGACGATGATGACTGCGACGGCGACGGTGACGATGGTTGCGGCCAGTCGAAGTCGTCCCAGGGCGTGGTCGGCGTGTCGTCGGTTTCGCGTCGGCGCAGCTGGTTGGCGTGTCGGCGAACGATGTTGTCGTTGACCAGGACGTCGTACAGCGCGTTGCCCAAGCGAAGTAGAACTTGTCCAGAGATCCATTTCGTCTGCCCGAGTCGGTAGTCGCGCACCCAAACGAGGTCTTCTGGTTCGAACTGCTTCGGACGAGCGTTGTGGTGACGGTTGAACTGTTGTTCCATCTTCTCGTCGCGGTTCTTGAGGATGCTTCTTGGAGGGTTGAGCATCGAGAGCGTTGAGCGGAGTGGTCGTCCCAGGAAGTTCTCAGCAGGTGAACGAGAATTCGGTGATGACGGGCATGGTGTACGGCGGTAGACCATCAGAAACTTCTGCAGCGTCTCAGATGAGTTGGCGTCGTCCTTGTCTTTCAGCAAAGCGCGCTTGACGGTGTCGACGAATCGCTCGGCTTGTCCATTCGATTGAGGATGGTACGGCGGGGAACGGATGTGGTTGATTCCATTTGCCTTGCAGAAGTCGGCGAATTCTTGAGACGTGAACTGCGTGCCATTGTCGGAGACGAGTGTTTCCGGATTTCCAAACTGCGCGAAGAGTTGCGTCAGCTGCTTGATCGTGGCGGTGCTCGTCGTCGATTTCATCTCGATGACCTCGGGCCATTTCGAATAGGCGTCGACGATGACGAGGTAGTTCTTCCCCAGAAATGGGCCAGCGTAGTCGATGTGGACGCGGTTCCATGGTCGATCTTCTTTCGGCCAGGAGAAGAGTTCCGTCTTGATTGGAGCTTTCTGAGCTTCTTGGCAGTTGCGGCATTTCTTGACGAATGATTCGATGTCGGCGTTGATGTTCGTCCAGAAGACGTACTGACGAGCCAGTACTTTCATCCGTGCCACTCCGGGATGTCCTTCGTGTAGTTGTTTCAGGATTCGGTTGCGGAGTGTGGTTGGGATGACGATGCGGGAACCGAAGAAGAGGCAGTCATCCTGGAGCGATAGTTGTTGAGGCTGCTGCAGGTACTTGGCGGCTGTGCCGGAGAGCTTCTTCGTCCCAATGTTGGAGCGAACGGAGGCGATGACATCCTTCAGAACTTCGTCGATCATGGTTTCTTTGGCGACGTCGGTCATCGTGACTGGTAGGAAGACGGCTGCGGCTTGGTACTCAGCGTCGGCGTCAAGCGTTGCTTTTTGCGATGACGATGTCTTCCGTGGGCTGGATGTCTTCGGATATGAGTCGAGAGAGTGCATCGGCTTGTCCAAAGCTTGTCGTGGAGCGATATTCGATCTTGAAGTCGTATCCACGAAGAATCAGCGACCAGCGTAGAAGACGGTTGGCTGAGTAGACCGGCAGTCCTTTCTTGTTGCCAAAGATGGTGAGAAGCGGCTTGTGGTCCGTCAGAAGCGTGAAGCGTCGACCAAATATGTAGCGGTGGAACTTCCGAACTGCGAAGACGAGACCAAGTCCTTCTTTCTCGATTTGCGCGTATTTCTTCTCTGCATCGGTGAGGCTGCGGCTGGCGTGGCAGATCGCCTTCTCGGAGCCGTCGGCATAGCGATGTAGAATCACTGCTCCAATTCCGTAGTCGGAGGCGTCGGCCGCGACGATGATGTCCAACGTGGGGTCGAAATGTGTGAGCAGGAGCGGCGAGGCGAGAACGTCCTTCACGCGCTTGAAGGCGTCCTGGCACTCGGGCGACCATTCGAAACGGGTGTCCTTCTTGAGTAGAGCATCCAGAGGTGTGCGGATCTGTCGCATCTTGTCGATGAAGTTTCCGTAGTAGGTGATCATCCCAAGAAACGAGCGTAGCTGTTGCACGTCCTTGGGTTGTGGCATCTTGGTGATGGCGCGGACCTTCTCGGGGTCCGGCCGGCGTCCGTCCTTGTCGATTATGTGTCCGAGGTACCGAATCTCGGGCATCAGGAAATTGCACTTCGGTAGGCGAACGCGGAAGCCGTAGTTGTGGATCCGGTCGAAGAGGGCTTCCAGGTTTCGGCGGTGCTCGTCGGTACTGCGGCCAGTGACGATGATGTCGTCAAGATACGCAGCAACGCCGTTGAGTCCAGAGATCATAGAGTCGATGACCTCTTGGAAGATGCCGGGCGCAGACTTGACTCAAAGGGCAGTCGGTTGTACCGGTAGAGTCCTCGGTGCGTGTTGACTGTCAAGAGTTCTTTGGCGCTGTCGTCGAGCTCGATTTGGAGGTACGCGTCAGCGAAGTCGATCTGCGTGTAGAGCTGTCCTCCGTTCAGCTTGTTGAACACGTCTTCAGCGGTTGGGAGCGGGTGCTGGTGCAACATCAGCGCGTCGTTGAGTCCAGTCGAGAAGTCAGCACACATTCGGATGGTTCCGTTGGCTTTTCTTTGACGGCGACGATCGGCGCAGCCCACTGCGAGTAGTCGATTGACGATAAGACTCCTTCGTTGACGAGTCGATCGATTTCGGCGTCGATCGCAGGCTGAGAGGCGTATGGGAGTGGTCGCTTCTTGATGTAGACGGGTCGGCTTTCAGGTTTCAGGAACAGCTTGGCCTTGGTCTTGGTGCAACGTCCGAGCCCTTCTTCGAAGACGGAGGCGTACTTCTGGCGAAGTTTAGCGACGGTTTCTTCTCGGTTCTGGCAGGTCGTCGTCATGCGGCAGCTCAGCTCCTTTCGAAGATGTCGATACTGCGGGATCGCGATGAGCCAATCCAGTCCGAGCAAGTGGGTCTTCTCGGTGACGTAGCATGGTCCGGAGCCAGTGGTAGAACGATGACGAGCGTCGAAGATGTTGAACTTCGCGTTGAAGCGTCCTTGAACTGTCATAGGCGAGCCATCAGCCGTCTTGAGCGAGAGCGGCGTCGGTTCCAGAGCTGGTGATCCGATGATGTTCCAAGTTTGGCGGGAGATCATGGTGATGTCGGCGCCAGTGTCGACTTGAAGTTCCGTGGTGAAGCCGTTGATGTCTACTTTCAAGTATGTTCGCGCATCTTCGGTTTCCGAAAATGCGACTTTCTTGGCGAATCGTCGAGGTTGATGTTCAGATGGCGTGGTCGAGCGTCGTCCGAACCTTGACCCATTCCTCTGACGATGGCGGGAGGAGTGAAGCGACACTTCTTCATTCTACGGATAAACCTGCTCATTCAACTTCGACTTTGGGCTACCGCGGACACAACCAGTCGTCGAAGGTCGAAGTCCCGTCCGCGTCGTAGTTGAACGATTCTATTTCGTTCATCAGCAGACCATAGACGTCGATTGAGGGGCTGGATGCTTGGCTGGAGACGTTGCTGCTTGTCAGAGTCCTGATCATGTCGACCATGTTCTTCTGGAAGTTTTGTTGGTCCTTCTGCATCTGCTGCATGAAGGCGATGAAGTCGGTGTACGTTGGCGTCTGCTGCCTTGTTGGTGACGGCATCGTTTCGAAGCTTTGTTGTCGTAGCGGAGCACGAAGAGTTCTTCAGCTGTAGTCGTCCAGAGGAGTCGATGCAGCTGCTATCCTGATCGCCACTGTTGTGTCCGCTGTAGCCCAAAGTCGAAGTTGAAGGAGCAGGTTTATTCGTGGAATGAAGAAGTGTCAGAGAGGTAAAAGGGCCGCCTTATATACCCATCTCACGTAGAGATAAGAGTATTTATTGGAGAGCGTGATATTCCAACACATCCATTGTCTACAACAGTTCAACTAAGCGTTTTATGTTCTTAAAAACGCTAACTTTCAAAAAAGATCACGAAACTGTTCGAAAAATGGGCGTCTACGAGATGATTTCGGCTTTTTTCGCAGGGTAACGGTTGTTTTTCTCAGCCAAACTTGTTCAAAAACATTAGGAAGGGTTTCAATAACATCTGATAAGCATTCTGAAAGAAAGCGAGACAATAGAAAAAAGGGCGAACGAAAAAAGCGGCTCGAATCGAAAAATCTTCAAAAAAATGAAAAAAAAAGGAATTTTTTTCAAGAATAATAAGAATTTTTGAAGATTCAGTCATTTTCAAGTTGGTCGCGTTCTCCGAGATGGAGTTCAACTGGATCACCCCAAATTTGGCTAGGCGGCTATTTTTCCCATACTCATAAGACCCTAACACGTCGATTAAGAAAATAAAAATCCACGGCATCGGGGGTTGCTGACCAAGAAAAACACAGAAGTATCGAAAAATCGTCAATTTTAAAAATAAATCGATTTTTTTCTGGAGGAAGGAAATTTTTCTCAGAGTCGCTATCAACACAAAAAATGCTCAAAATGGCACATTATTTACGTTAAAGTTGGTTTGAACCAATTTGCTCCACCAGAAAAAAGATAGCTTTTTATGGTATTTTCTCTACCGTAACCATGAAAGTGGGCGGAGCCTCTGAAAACCAGGTGTTATGAGTTGAAGAGGTTATGTAGTATATCTGATAGCAAAACGAGCTCTGAAGAACCAACTTGAAATTCTTGTACCAAGAGATTTTTGAAAATCTCAGAGAACGTGTGTTATATCGTATGTAAATCCATCTAACTGATTTGATGCGTTTATTATCATTCTTCAACTCACCATCTTTTCTCACTGGCGCAAAACTTCGTTAGACACTCAAGCGCTTTTCTATTATTTTTTATGACGGGAAATTATTCAACTTTTCTTGAACAGTGTGTCAAATGTTATTTTTTTTTAAGGTCTTCGACCTGTTCGACGACGCGCGAGGGCTGCCTTGGAAAAGAACCCACGACCGACAACAAGTCCTCCCATTGAAGCAGCAGTTTTTCGCAAATCCAAGTAGTTTTTATAGATTTTCTCACCATTTTCCTTGATTAGGAGGCTCCAGTTACCGTCACACTCCCCAGGAAATGAGCCGAATCGTCAAGTACATTGACCAACTGACTTATGAGTGTATGCCTGATTATCAGTAAGTTTTCCAAAGCACAAAATGATATTAAAATATAAATTTGTGACCTTTCTTTAGATATATTAACGAAACACTCAAAAATATAGCAGCCGAAAATCGAATAGTGTTTGGGAAGAAACCCGACTGGATCGGAAAAATAAAGCCCGTTGGTAGTTCAGAATGCGTTGATTCAAAAGTTTGACGAATCGATGTGATAAGACATTTGCATTCGAACCTTCAGCAATCAGACTCTTCGACGGACAACAAAAAAACGGGGTCCGAGTCTTCGGAGGCCGAAGAGACGGCGCAGAAACGAGACAGCAAGCGGCCGAAATGGTTCCGCGGCTTTTCCGTTCGATTTTTGTAGAGAAGTAAATCTTATAGGGCTCCGAAAATTCCTGAAACTCTACGAAAACAACTGAAACCCCTTGGTAAGTCGTTATTTCTCTCTAGGTTTTTTTTTCAATAGACGATCCGGAAGAATCTTTGAAATTGATTCCGCGAAATTCAAAATGGCTATCAGGATGTGAAAAAGATAACTGAATTTTGGAGAGTCCGAGATAATTTCGAGTTCCGTAAAACAAGACATGAGGAAAGTTAACAAAGGGGAAAAGTTTCATTCGAGTTATTTGGTCAATTCCAGCCCACACATCGCTTTATAAATCGGTTGTCAAAACGCCATCTCGCATGAAATCTCATGCCGAAAAGCCGAGAACAGTTAGAAAGAAGCCGTGAACCGTCGATTGATTCTGATCGTGAGTTACCGAGGGGAGGAAGCTAGAGTGGCTGCTATGGTATTCGCAATAGTGTTTTTTATTCTATGTCGTTTTAAGACATACATGGGCTAACCAACTACTTTTTGTGACGTCATCACGTACCCCCCTTGAAAAAGTACGTACTCCCCTCGAAAAAGTACGTACCCCCCCGCGGATGACTATCAATGTGAAATGATTATTAAAGTTAATATAAGAATTGAATGAGACTATTATCTTATTTCACGGGCTTTTTGGAAGTATATTCAGCTAGGTGTCAACACTGCAAAACAGAAACATTTCAACTTTTTAGCGTAGACCCCTAAATCCGAAAAATCGATCTGTTTTCAATGTTTTCCTACATTATGAATTGAGTTTTATGATCTGGCAGAGTTTCAAGCCGTTGGGATGAGTTTTAAGAAAAATAGATTTTTGGACCACCGGGAAGGGATATTTTGAAATTTTTGAAGTTTTTGGCTCAAAAATCATTATCAACCTTGAGTTAACCCTAAATGAGGTATATGCTTCAAGTTTCCAGGCTTCCGGACGTTTTTTTGACCAAGTTACAGTGTTTCAAAGTGTTATCACTTGACGGTTTGCGTACTCCCCCATACCCCCCAAAAATCCGAAAAATCGATCTGTTTTTCAATGTTATCCTACATTTATGAATTGAGTTTTATGATTTGGCAGAGTTTCAAGCCGTTGGGATGAGTTTTAAGAAAAAAATAGATTTTTGGACCACCGGGAAGGGATATTTTGAAATATTGAAGTTTTTTGGCTCAAAAATCAATATTAATCTTGAGTTAACTCTAAATAAGGTATATCCTCCAAATTTCCAACCTTCCGGACGTTTTTTTGACCAAGTTAGAGTGTTTCAAAGCGTTATCACTTGACGGTTTGCGTACCCCCATACCCCCAAAAATCGGAAAAATCGATCTGTTTTCAATGTTATCCTACATTTTTGAATTGAGTTTTTATGATCTGGCAGAGTTTCAGACCTTTTGGATGAGTTTTAAGAAAAATAGATTTTTGGACCACCGGGAAGGGATATTTTGAAATTTTGAAGTTTTTGGCTCAAAATCAATATAATCTTGAGTTAACTCTAAATAAGGTATATCCTCCAAATTTCCAACCTTCCGGACGTTTTTTTGACCAAGTTAGAGTGTTTCAAAGTGTTATCACTTGACGGTTTGCGTACCCCAGTACCCCCCAAAATCCGAAAATCGATCTGTTTTTCAATGTTATCCTACATTTATGAATTGAGTTTTATGATCTGGCAGAGTTTCAGACCTTTTTGGGATGAGTTTTTAAGAAAAAATAGATTTTTGGACCACCAGGGAAGGGATATTTTGAAATTTTGAAGTTTTTGGCTCAAAATCAATAATAATCTTGAGTTAACTCTAAATAAGGTATATCCTCAAATTTCCAACCTTCCGGACGTTTTTTTGACCAAGTTAGAGTGTTTCAAAGTGTTATCACTTGACGGTTTGCGTACCCCCAGTACCCCCAAAAATCGGAAAATCGATCTGTTTTCAATGTTATCCTACATTATGAATTGAGTTTTATGATCTGGCAGAGTTTCAGACCTTTTGGATGAGTTTTAAGAAAAATAGATTTTTGGACCACCGGGAAGGGATATTTTGAAATTTTGAAGTTTTTGGCTCAAAATCATTATCAACCTTGAGTTAACCCTAAATGAGGTATATGCTTCAAGTTTCCAGGCTTCCGGACGTTTTTTGACCAAGTTACAGTGTTTCAAAGTGTTATCACTTGACGGTTTGCGTACCCCCCGTACTCCCCAAAAATCGGAAAAATCGATCTGTTTTCAATGTTATCCTACATTATGAATTGAGTTTTTATGATTTGGCAGAGTTTCAAGCCGTTGGGATGAGTTTTTAAGGAAAATAATTTTTGGGGCCACAGTAGATATAAGAATGCATGCTGATCACGATTTTGCTAGTTTTTAATTGTTAAACTTGTATTTTTTATCGTTCACATGTGTGGTAACGCCGTAGGGTGAGTTGATGAGCGTTAGGGTGAAACTTTCTCTAAATCAAACATGTTGTAGAACACGATTTTTTTAGGATTTTTGAAAAACCGAATATCATCACTCAAGCCGTTTTCGAGATACTGTGGCTCAAAAAAAGGGTACGGTAGAACCCTTCAAAAAAATCTATATCTTGACATAAAAATCGACGAAACTCATCCAAAGTTTGTAATAAGGTGCAATATAATCTTATTCAATTTTTAAAAAAATCTTAAACCTCATTTTGCTCATTATTGCTCATATTACAGAGTTTTTTTCAAAACCACAAAAAGTACTCTTTTATTGAGTCAAACATGGATTATTCGAATTTTCCATCTAACACCCGAAAATTCCAAAAAACATGTGATTTTGGGTAAGTTTCCCGAATAACTTTTTTATCTCCTGTTTTTTTGGATTGAAACTAGCAAAATCGTGATCAACGCGCATTCTTACATCCACTAGGTCATTTGCAAAACGAAACGAGGAAAAAATTCAAAATTTCAAATATCCTTTCCCGGTGGTCCAAAAATCTATTTTCCTTAAAACTCATCCCAACGGCCTGAAACTTGGCCAGATCATAAAACTCACTTTAAAAATGTGGAATAACATTGAAAAACAGATCGATTTTTCGGATTTTTGGGGGACTGGGGGTACGCAAACCGTCAAGTGATAACACTTTGAAACACTCTAACTTGGTCAAAAAAACGTCCGGAAGGTTGGAAATTTGGAGGATATACCTTATTTAGAGTTAACTCACGATTAATATTGATTTTGAGCCAAAAACTTCAAAATTTCAAAATATCCCTTCCCGGTGGTCCAAAAATCTATTTTCCTTAAAAACTCATCCCAACGGCTTGAAACTCTGCCAAATCATAAAACTCAATTCATAATGTAGGATAACATTGAAAACAGATCGATTTTCGGATTTTTGGGGAGGGGGTGCAGGGGGTACGCAAAACCGTCAAGTGATAACACTTTGAAAACACTGTAACTTGGTCAAAAACGTCCGGAAGGTTGGAAATTTGGAGGATATACCTTATTTAGAGTTAACTCAAGATTAATAATGATTTTTGAGCCAAAAACTTCAAAAATTTCAAAATATCCCTTCCCGGTGGTCCAAAAATCTATTTTTCTTAAAAACTCATCCAAAAGGTCTGAAACTCTGCCAGATCATAAAACTCAATTCATAATGTAGGATAACATTGAAAAACAGATCGATTTTCCGATTTTGGGGGTACGGGGGTACGCAAACCGTCAAGTGATAACGCTTTGAAACACTCTAACTTGGTCAAAAAAACGTCCGGAAGCCTGGAAACTTGAAGCATATACCTCATTTAGGGTTAACTCAAGGTTGATAATGATTTTGAGCCAAAAATTGTAGATTTCAGAAATCATTTTCTTATGGGGTCAGAAGTTGATTATTTTTCAATTTTTCCAAACGGCTTAAAAATTTGATGAGCATGTATATATCATCCATTGGTACCATTTAAACTAGAATTCAGGTCGATTAATCAGCTCTGGAATTTTTTATAAGGCTATTTCTACGATTCCTCTCGATTTTTTCTACCGTTTGGAGCTAGGCAAAAAGATAGGCAACGAATTTCCCACTAAATGTACTTTAAAAAGCTCGATAAATAATATGGATGCATTTTCCGCGGCTTAGAAAGCCATCTGAATGAATAGGGGGGCCCGAAAGTGAAAAACAGCCTGTTAGCCCACGTATGTTTTAAGACTCACTTGAGCCCTTGAGCGTTAGCGCAAACTATAGGGTTTTTTTCAAGATTTGTTGCCAATGGAAGCGTTAAAATTAAAAAACCTTCATAATTACTTTTTGTGTCGTGAGCATTTTTTTGAGCTTCACTAATCATAAGGAAAGTCGAAAAGGGTGGAAAAGACTCCCTATAAATATTCTTTTCAGGGTTACAAAGGTTTTTTTTTGCTGCCCTTTTCCACCATTTCATCCGCTCTTATGAACTAGTTTTGCTACCTTTCCCTTTTCCACTATTTCTTGAGTCTTTAAAATCCCAGATGTTGTATCGCGCGAATATATACAACTGTTAGTTACTAACTGTTTACTTCAATATGAAAGTAAAAAAACGAAGACAAAACAAAATAGGACGCAATCGCGTAACGCGATTGCGCAGAAGTGGAACTGTGAAGGTAGCCTGCACATCTTAATAATGCGCGGCAATTTGAAATGGTGTAGATTTACGGGGTGAAATCTAGACACTACAACACCTCCCCTTTTTGAAGAAAGGTGTGCACAGGTTAATAAAACAATACAATTTGCACAATGATAGATGAGCGCCGGAAGATAGAACAAGAATGAGAAATTTGTGTTACGGTGAAGGATCGTAACGAGAAAAAGGATTTCGCTGTCGTGTAGATCTTCGCGGTGCTGGCGGCACGTTGACTGACTGCGTTGGTGCGGCCGTAGTCGTTCGGGTTTGCTGCTGGGCTTGACTGTTTGGCTGACTTGTCGATGGATGTGCGGCTGCTGGATAAGGGTGAGAGTGATCACTTTTGAGTTGGCTGGTGTGGAAACGTCTGATGGATTCTCCAAAATCCACCTCATAGTTCACTTTACCAGCCTTTTTGATGATTTGGCCGGGTCTCCAAATCCATGCGTTAGCCGTATGACATTTTGCTAACACGGACTGGCCTGGGGAGAAGCTTCGGGTTTTCGCTCCATTATGGTGGTCAAACCAATTCTTCATGTTTTGCTGGTGAATGGTCAAGGGAAGTGGGTTCACGGAATCTCGAGGTTTCATAGCGTCGAGCTCTGTCCTGAGCTGTCGACCAAGATGGATTTGCGCGGCAGATTTGCCTTGCAAAACTGTGAGCGGGGTGCGTCGATATAGCATTAGGAATTGGGGAATAATCCGACGTTACCAACATGTTTGATTTTCAGCATGAAAGTATAACCATTCGATCCGTCTCGTCGAGATACGTACGAATATCATAAAATTATTTGGCGCTAGTAAGAAGAAATAACTTTATGGTGTGCAAAAAAACCAGAAAGAAAAATTTCAAAAAAATTTCGCTGCATTTTTTTCGACGCTGATTCAATTCAACTATCGCTACTACGCCATGAGAAGAAATAAACTTTTTAAAATAGGAAAAAAATTGAAAAATTATTCGAAAAAAACAACGCAAAAAGAGAAATCACAGTAAAAATAAGCGACCGCGTCGAAGCCTCGCGCTTACGCACAGTATGCTCCTTTTAATATCTGGGAAATACATTTACAGATTTTTTTGCTACGCGTATCAAGTTTGCAAAACCGTTTAGAGCTACCTGATAGTGTTTTTTTCCTGTCCACGTTTTGAAACTAAATGCTTTTTATGTCAAGTATTTCATTTATTTGACGAATTGTTCACTGTGGCTCAGTTTTTTTCGAAGCGAGCCACAGTCGGCTTCTGCGCTATGCGCGCTCCGCCTCCGTGCGAAGCCTTAAAACTAAAGCTCTATTTTCTTAAGTAATTCATTAAAAAGAAAAAGCAAAAACTTCTATTCCTCAGAATAATTACTTGATTGAAAAACTAATAAAGTTGATCTTAAAATTTTTTTCTAAGTGGTCAGCGCCAAATAATTTTATGATATTCGTACGTATCTCGACGAGACGGATCGAATGGTTATACTTTTATGCTGAAAATCAAACATGTTGGTAACGTCGGATTATACC